CTTGACTTAATGATTTATCAGTAATACATAGGTTACCTTCATTGAAATCTAATATTTCAGAAGTCAAGATAATTTTTTTTTCTTTTGTACCACAATGACACCATGTTTGTCCTATTGAATTGATGACTCATTGTGCATGCATCATGATCTATTAACCTGTTGTTTAATTCTATGATGTACACACAATTGTATTCCTCATTAATACACAATGGCTTGGGACATTTTGCCACAGCAAAGCAGTCCTGTTTTTTTATTCCCAACCCCTGCCATTTGAGAATGTTAAAATATATTGTAAATGATTGAAATCCCCATCCTTAAACCATATATTTCTTGTTTGTCATATAATGATTGAGTCCCCACAGTCATCTCCACTCCTGCCATTTGATAATGTTGAAATATAATGTAAATGGTTGTGATCCCCACCCCTAAACCATTTATTTTCTTGTTTTTTATTTGAAGATGGAACTCCAAGGAGTCATCACCACCCCCTGCCATTTGGGAATATTCAAATATCTTGCCAATTGTTGAGATCCTCTAGTCCCAAACCAAAATACTTTCTTGTTTGACGTATCCAGTTGAATTGAATGATGTAAAGGATGAATCCCCAGGGATATATATTAATGGGGACTTCCTTTGGGAGACTTGTCTATTATAGTTTTCAAGATTTTAGGTAAAAAAAAAGAAAAAATGATTTAAAAATCATTCAAGGGACTGTCAACTTTGGTCATTTGACTTATTTGTTGATCTTATCTTTCTGATCTTTTTTTCTGCTGTATACAGTTTCTCTTTATCTACTATACTTTGCATAAAAAAGGACAACAACTCCTACAAGGATTCAAGGATTTTATTTTGCAGATCATTTTTTGCTATAAATAGTTTTTATCTATCCAGTATCATTTCTACAAGAAAACCTGAGAAAATGGTTAAAAATCCTAATTCAAAACCAATAATTTCAATAAAGAGTTTAATGACAATGTTGGCCAAGTCAACTTATTTGTATTTTTGGTAATGTTGCCTTTTTTTATAGATCATACTCTGCTGATCATTTCTGTTGTGTACAGTTTCTCTGTATCTACACTAGTTTCTGCAAAAAACACATATGGATAAAAGTCATCATCAATAGGTCGTAACTCATAGAAGTCATCGACTGGCAATTTCTACCATATTGAATGATTTGTAGATCTTGTCCTGCAGATCATTTCTATTATTTACAGTTTCACTATTGCTTTGAAGATGATAGCCAAAATCACAAAGTCATTTAAGGGCAGTATACAACTCTAATGAGGAGTCTTATAAAAATTTTAGTAAAAATGGTTAGTAGGTAAATCTTGACATTCTAAATATTTCTGCACTGTCTATTACTGTTTTCGGGATAACTGCCAATTCTTAGGAGTTGCAATTTACCCCCAATGTCCTATTTTTAGCTTTGGCCACTATGTTTGTAGTATAACAAACATGGGGTAACATATACATGCCTCCTCGTGTTGCTAATCTTATCATAGCTTGAGAGCAACAAAAACATGTGAGATGCCATGGCATTTTAATTCAGATAGAGACATATTATATCACATGACAAAATTATGTCCTTTAACAAAGGGACAAGACTCTCACGACTATACTGCGGAAACACACAAGTCATGTATATAACAGTTGGCAGGCAGGATCATTGGAAACATTTTTTAAACTACATACCAAAAAGATGTTGTCACATTATAACATTTTAGCTGCATCGAATAGAATTCAACCTTATGCAAATGAATATCAATACATCTGTTAATTGTTTCACGTTGAAAAAATCACTATGGAAAGTCTGTAACTGTTTGAAAATTGAGCTGTTAAAAGAAAATCTACAAAACAGACATAAATTCATCTTTTATGTTGTATTTGAATGTTCCAAAATCATTCAAAGTCTTTAACATGTACATGTATAGGTGCACTTGCATAAGATCAGAGACATATAAAATTGAGCTGTTAAAAGAAAATCTACAAAACAGACATAAATTCATCTTTTATGTTGTATTTGAATGTTCCAAAATCATTCAAAGTCTTTAACATGTACATGTATAGGTGCACTTGCATAAGATCAGAGACATATATTGTATTATATGTCTCTGATAAGATCGATTTCTATCCAACTCAGCTCATTTATTGCATTTAATTTATTTTCAATTCTGCCCAGTAGTTAGAGGAAAAGGTTTTTGTAGAAGTTAAGACATGGTTGTCTATAATTGCTTACTAAGGATCAACTTCTTTTGAACTTGGGTGGATTATTTGTCTCATTGGCAATCATACCACATCTCCTTACCTTTATATTTGATGTCATGTGATAAGAATTTTTGAACCAGGTGAGCTAACAAAGAAGGAAATTATCAAATTGAACCAAAATCACAGTTATATTTATGAATATTGGGTAATTGCTGGCAATGGTCTATTAAAAGACTCTGGACAATGAATAAATGATTGTTTCCCAAAATTTTATAAAAGAGGGGCGAAAGATACCAGAGGGACATTCAAATTCAAAAATCGAAAATAAACTGACAACACCATGGCTTAAAAAGAAAAAGGCAAACAGACAAAAAAAAGTACACAAAACACAACATAGAAAACTAAAGACTAAGCAACACGAACCCCACCAAAAACTGGGGGTGATCTCAGGTGCTCCAGAGGGGTAAGCAGATCCTGCTCCACATGTGGCACCCTTGGTATTGCTCATGTTAGTACAAACCCGGTATATAGTCTAATTCGGTTGGTCACATTCAAGAAAAGGGATCAGGATTGTAGTTACGACATTAATAACATATCCGCACAAATCTGTGAACCGGATTTTCCATAACGGTCAACCAACTCATGATGGCGTCCGTAAAATTTACGAAGGGATGATTTCAACTTCACCATTTGAAACTCTTGTTTTAATAGCTTCCTTGTGAGCAGCAACCCTCTATCAAGAAAATCATGATGGGAAATACAAGCCTGGGAATATCGTATCAATTGGGAGATATATACTCCGTATGCAGGCGCTGCTGGAATGTTGCTACACAGAAATGGAAAGTTCACAATTGGGAAGCTGAAATCATCTCTTTTGTCGTAAAGTTTTGTTTTCAACCTAGCCTCATTGTCAATTTCTAGATGTAAGTCAAGATATGAGGCATACTTAACTGTATCTGTTGTATCCTTTATCTCTATTTCGATGGGATAGATGCGTTCAACATAGACACCAAATTTTGAATTATTTAGTGAGAGAACATCATCTATATAGCGGAAAGTAAAGTTAAAGGATACTCCTAACTTCTTTTCTTTCTTCCTAAGAAGTTCCTGTATGAAGTCAGCCTCATAAGAATAAAGGAACAAGTCGGCAAGAAGCGGGGCACAGTTGGTTCCCATGGGATTGCCGATAGTTTGTTGAAAAACACGACCTCCAAACTTAACAAATATGTTGTCAATCAAGAAATCAAGCATCTTGATAATGTCAGTTTCAGAGAATTTTTTGTTTGAATCAGAGTGATTTTTTACAAAGTAGGATTTATTCCTCCCTAAGACAAGATACTTGTATCTACGTTGGCAATTCTTTTTTATGAAACAAAGCAATACCAACTCTTTCAATTTGTCTTTTAGTTTGGAGTGGGGAATACTTGTGTGAAGTGTAGAAAAGTCAAATGTTTTAATACTATTGCAAGATGAAAGAGTCTTAGATTGTATGTACTCTAAAAGATCTTTGGAATTTTTTGGTATCCACATCTGATTCACGCCACCTCTAGAATAGGCAGTTTCACCATAACTTTGAAGCTTGGCTTTGATTGCTGATAAAATTGATGTTAATAAGTTAGAAAGAGGTTTCGTAGAGCACTTGGAAGACCCAGCAATATACCGTTGTTTGTAAGGACACTTATGTACTTATGTAGTTTAGGTATCCAATACAGTGATGGAAGATCCAGTTCTTCATCTTTTTTTTTTGGTAGAAATTCCAAAGGAACATAGAACAGACCTATGATTATCCAGGATTTCCTCTTTAGTAAGTGTCGTGGGGGTATATGTTGAGTTTCCAAGAGAATTGTCAATACCTAATTCATTTATCAAGCAGTTTATGTAATGTGATTTACACACAAAAATGATGTTGTTTGGGGCTTTATCTGCGGGGACAACAACATATTTGTCATGGAGGTAGGACAAGTGTTTTGCAACATTTGGGTCTTTAAAGATTGATGTAGCATGGGAATTTATAGACCCATTCAGTTTCTTAATTCTGATTTGTATCTACGTCTTTAGTGTTTAACCCATTGCCTGGCATAATCCTCGACTGAATCCATCAGTATTTTGAAGTTGTGTTTCCAATTGATGGATTTAGGCACAAATGGATGCAAGTGAATAATTGATATGATATGCATTGTTAACTTTTTACACATTGTGACTTGGATGGATAGTTGTCTCATTGGCACACATACCACATCTTCTTATTTGTATTGATAAACAATTTTTCATGCATTATATGACAAACTTGGGTCTTTCTAAATAAAGGAGTGGTATATGTTTCTTAACAATCCATTAAGCTGTTTACCACCTGAGGTAGGTTATGTAAAACGATTTGCTGTTAATAGGTTGACTTATCAAAGATCAATCTCTTTAAACTTTTTATTGTCCTAAAAATTCCTCTTTAACTCATGTCAAACTATTTACCCACAATTCTTTATCTATTCATTCATAAAGAATATTATCCCGAGATTAAAATTCATTCATGAATTGTCTCCCTTCTCATTGTTTTCTTTCCAGACGATTTCACTCCATGTGGATTACTACATTCATAACTTTTGTAGGGCAATTATCAAAGTTCAAGTACTTTAAGATGTTGACACTACAATTAGTTTCAAAATGATGATAGTTACTATCAAAATAAAGAAAAACCTGTATTTGAAAAAAAAAGAATTGAGATAAAAGAGCAGTTGCTACATTAAAAAAACAAACACGAAACCCTCTCGAGAACCTCACTTTAAAACATTTGTGTAAATATTTCCTATCAAATACACACCTGAACAAGTTACATACATGTTTAGAATCTGCAGGTAAAAATCAAGTGAGTTAGTTTTACATATATCGTACTTCTCAGGGAGGATTTAGTTGAAATATCACAGGTAGGAAATTCTACAATATTTTTAAAGGTTAAGAAGAAAATAAAGGAATTACGATGACTGTTTTAGCAGTCATGGCAGTGTGTCTGATATATTTCATTCAGGTAGGTGAAAATATTTTCACCTGGTTTTCTAGCTATGTTAAATGTGATTATTGACCTTCCTTTCATATCATTACACTTGGTCAGCAAATTTAGCATTAAATGGGTTGAATATTGAATATACATGATATACGTTTGACAAAAAGTAAAGGACTTATTATCATGATTATATTACAGTGTAATTTTTCATAAGGAGTGGTACATTTTTTTGTAATTACGTTTGACCAGGATATATAGAGGGAAGTCAAAACGTCATTGATAAACTGTTTTGTAAGCTCACATGGCCCATAAGGCTAGTCAGTCTCAGCAGAGTCATGCATATATAAAAAAATATTTTATATCTGTGGTCTTAGCTACATGTGTTGCCATCACTTGACATTCTGTTGTCCATTAACTTTTACAAATAATTCTCCCCTGAAAATAGTAACTCCGCCAATTAATATTAATCGGAACAAACTCAGCCACAATCGTTCTTAAAGAATATATTAGTTTAAAACATATGTCTGATGTTCCCTACTGCAAATTAAATCAACATGGCCACCATGGGTAAAAATATACCATGTATATAGGGGTCAGTAAATGTCTAATTTATCTTGAAAACCGTTATATATAGCGAAAATATAACCAAGCGAAAATGTGCAGAAATTTGGTTTTTGACTTGTTGTTAAACCTCATTATAATCTGATAATAGAGATATATTGAAATGACAAAAATTATCAGAAAGAAAAGTTCTACAAATCAGTCAACACGACAGAAATGGTTGAGGTTGACTCTTTACTGGATATTTTTTTACCCAACCTTTTCATTTTTTGCTATAATCTTGAAAACTATATTACATAGAGGGAAACTTTTAACTGCCATAATGATCAGCATGACAAATCATCTGCAAATAGTTCATCATGACTGAAATCATCAGTCTCTACTCTTTATAGCACTTGCCTCAAAAAAATCACAGGCAAGACAAGGGTGTGCTGTTTCTGGCAGCTGTATAACATTTGTAGCATTGATGCATCTCATATCCATGGAGATTATTTTGGCCATTATGTTAATTGACATTGGAATTTCTGCATACTAGTAGTTAAAAAGTTGTGATTTGGTCAGTTTAAGGTGAACCACTTATGACAAGTCAATGATATTTGGTATGCAGTTATATTAGCATTGGCATATATATCTCTTTTCATCTGAGATTATTTGGCCCTGAACCTTCAGTCATGGTTCATTGATTTTGGATGTTTGCTGATTTCACATGTACAGGTGAGACATATCTGTGTCAACAGTTTATTATATATATATATATATATATATATATGCAAGTCATGCCATTATTTTATTCCTTTTTTGTGTCACATATCTTTTTATTACATATCCATGTATATTGATATATATATATATTTGGCGCAACATAATTATTACTTTTTAAAACTTGGGAAAATAGAATCTCTGACATTTGTAAAATGATTTAATTGAGTATTAATCTTCTTTAGTATACAGTACCTATGCAGGGAATTAAAAGGAAAAGTCATTTAAATTCCATGTGAGGGTTTTTTGTTCTGAAAAATAGTTGTCTCATATTCTTTGAAGTGGACCATGGTGGACTTTGAACTTGATTTAAAATCTGATATTATACATGTATAAAAGTTTTGTAACCAGCCAAATGAATTTGACCTTTTGTATACTCAAAAAACTTTAAATTTCTTTGTCAACTTTTTTGAACAAACAAGAAAAAATTTCTCCAAATCTTTTACACTTTTGGTTCCTGACATTTTTTTGAATATGTAATGATGGGGTAGGGATAAAGAATAATGGGGATGTGTAGTTTTACATGTCATAAATGTCAAGATCAACATTTGTACCTGCTATGCTATCAATTTTTACCAAAATTGTCATTTGACTTGCTATTCAAGTTATTGCTCTAAATGACACTTTTTTCCACCAATTTTGGCAATTATCATGAAGACTACTGTATATTAGATAGAGAAAAACTGTAAATAGCAAAACAGATCTGCATTACAGCCTACAAAAAATCAAATGGCCAATATCGTCAGTATTTTGCGAAAACTGTAGTCTATAGACGTATTGAAGATAGACGAAAACTGTAATTACAGCATGTAGCAATAATGGTCAACAGGACAAGATCTGCAAAGAAGTCAACATGACCATAACTGTCAGTCGACCCATTAAGGAGTTATTGCCCTTGAATAATATTTACACTTTACAGTGTTTTTTTTGTGGATACTGTTAATAATAGAATTTATTTTCTGGACAAGATTTATAGATAAGTCAAACACGGCTGCAACATTGGAGTTATTGCACTTGAATTATGTTTTTTGTGCTTTTAGTAAATAAAGGAAACTGTGATTTGCACCATGATCTGCAGGATAATATGAGTCTACATTGCTGAAATCATCAATCAACGACTTATAGAAGTTATGCCCTTCAATGACCATTTTTATATGCCAATAGAAGACGGGATATTATATGGTATACTACTGTCCCTTGCCCTTCTGTCTGTCAACACTTTGTACGATAAATCAAATTTGCTTTAACCTTTTTTTATGTAAATTTAACACAACACTAGGATTAACAGAAGAAAGCCCCTTTCGATTTAGAAATTTTTGAAGTCATCTATCAACTTCTTATAGAAGTTATGTCTGTCAATGACTACTTTTAGCTTTCGATTTTGAAATTTTTTTTAATTTTTTTTTTCCAGAGTTACTTGTCTTAAAAGGTTTGAATTGAGGCAATTTTTCACATACTGCACACTTACTCCATTCAAACTTACATTTTATTGTTGGGATTGATAAAAGTCGCAGAATGCGAGATATAGGGATTACAATTATACAGCGGTGGGAGCATAAACTATTTGAATTAAGCTATATATTTCAGAGGGTGGTAAACCTAGAAGCTTCATACTTTGTATGCAGATGCCTAATGTTAACAAGTTTCCGTCTGTCCTATGTCTAGTGTCCTTGACCTCATTTTCATGTTTAAGCGACTGCAGCTTCAAAAAAATTTTTTTTTTTTTTTATTTTGTGAATTTCTCACTTATTATGAGTAATAGGATAACTTTATTTGGTATTTGGGTTTCTTGCAAGGTCAGCATATTCGTGAGACATGGTCTACCTGACCTCGACCTCATTTCATGGATCAAGGGTTAAAGTTGCATGATTAGGTGTGTTTCTCAGATACTGTAAGCAGTAGGTCAACTATATTTGGTGTATGGAATGATTGTAAGGTGTACATGTGAGTCTGGCAGGTATCATCTGTCCTTGGCCTCATTTTCATGGTTCATTGGTCAATGTTAAGTTTCAGAATTAAGATCTTCTTCTAAGATACTATAAGCAATATGGCTATTATATTATTGTAAGGTGTACATGTTTGTCTGGCCTGATTCATCCAACCTTGAACTCATTTTCATCTTTCATTGGTCAGTGTTAAGTTTTCCTTGTAATAGGTTAAGTCTGTTTCTTACATGTAGATATTATAAGCAATAAGGTCAAGTATATTTAATGCATAAAATGGTTGTAAGGTGCACCTGTCTGTCTGGCAGGGTTCATCTTACCTTGACCTCATTTTCATGGTTTATTGTTCAATATTAAGTTTTCATGGTTTGGTCTGTTTTTTTGTTTACTATAAGCAATAGGTCAACTATATTTGGTGTGTGCAATAATTGGATGTTGTACATGTCTGTCTGGTTTGTTTTATTTGACCTTGACATCATTTTCATGGATAATTGATAATGTTAAATTTATGTGATACATGTAGTAAAAGTTTATCATTAGGACTATTAACATAAAATCAATAATGGTTAATAAAGCAGGTGAGATATTTCAGCATTTTCACTCTTGTGTGTATCATGTGTATTATATCTTTAAAACTGCTATGGATTGAGAAAATCTGACAGTCAGGGGCAGAAATTTAAAGAAAGTTGAGATCTACTAACCTACTGTCTATTTACACCTAAACTGTCAGATAACTTCTTATGGGAGTTATTGCCCTTTAATGACAATTTTTTCTAATTTTTTTTCAAATTTGCATAATACCTTGAAAATTATAATAGAAAGAGAGAAACTTAAAATACCATAAATGTTAAGCAAGACAAATAAGTCAACATAGCCCAAATTGCCAGTCCACTCCTTTATATATGATTAATTGCCCTTAAAAGACGAATTTTACCAATTTTTTGTCTCACATGCGATGAAAGTCAGGGAAAGCTTGACATAGGGATTGCTTTGATGGCGATGATGATGATGTTGCATTACTATCGGTACATATCAGTTTGACGACTATTTCAAGGCCCTGCCCCTAGGTCATGTTCCAGCCACTTTTCAATTGATAAGAAATTTTTATTGTTAAGTTTTCTGCTTAAGTCAGTTTGATAGGAACTACTTGTGATGGATCAATGATATATTGAATAAAGTTGCATTGCTATCAGTACATATCAGTTTGACAACTTTTTCGAGGCCCTGCCCCCTAGGTCATGTTCCAGCCACTTTTCAATTGATAAGCAATTTTAAATGTTAAGTTTTCTGCTTAAGTCAGTTTGATAGGAACTACTTGTGATGGATCAATGATATATTGAATAAAGTTGCATTGTTATCAGTACATATCAGTTTGACAACTATTTTGAGGTCCTGCCCCCTAGGACATGGTCCAGTGACTTTGAATTAATTAACAATTTTCAATGTTAAGTTTTCTGCTGAAGTTAGATTGATAGGAACTACTTACAATAGACCAGGATATTTTCTGTTAAGTCACATTACTGTCTGTACATCTCAGTTTGTCAATCATTTCTAGGCCCTTCCCACAAAATCATGGTCCAGTGACTTTGAAATAATAAGCAATGTTGCTGTCCATCAGATTGTCTTTTTCTGAAGTTTATGCCGACAGGCGAGACATATCTCTGTGTCAACAGTTTATTTGCACTTTTGCCTATTATCTTGAAAACAATGTAAGATAGATTGAAACTTTAAAAAGCAAAAATGATCAGCATGACAAGATATAAAAACTCTCAATACTTTTCAAATCGTAGGCAGACTCTTTATAGTAGTTATTGCCCTGAAATGAAGATTTATAACAATTTAAAAAAAGTTTAACTTTGATGTCCTTAAAAAGGTCCTTTCGTTCCTCATGGTTATCTTCATTTAAAAACAAAATCATAAAAACTACTTGCAAAGTATATTAAAAGATTTTTTATTGCAGAAGAGTACAATAGTTTTCCTAACATTTCTTATAAGCCAAATTTAACATTATACTGACATATTAAAATTTGTTATACCTGTAGCTAGTATTGATAAAAAATGTTAAATTTGCAGTTGTCTGTATTTTAAGTGGCAACACCCATGTTTCAGGTTTTTCAGTAGCCTAATGAATGGTACATATGTGACACATGCCCCTGGATTGTGCTAATTGTGATGACAAAATGCTTACAGTATGGCCCAAAATAAACAAATGAATTAAGTCAAACGTTAATTTGAAATGAGTATATATGTCTAAGACATAAGTGCTAATGTATGTTATATAGTTATAACATATATGTCTAAGGATAGTATATTATGAACAATATGATAACCATTTTTATGATTTGATTAAACTTTATAAGTTTAGAAAATTCCACGGATTTCTTCAGGATTTCTTCAGTATTCTGTCAACGAAATGGATGTCAATTCCACAACCCATTATTGACAGTAATAAGTTGCTTAGCAAGAATTGATTGCATACCATGGTAATGAAGGAGTCCTGATTATACATTGTAGGACATCCACTTAACCTGATACATCTAACCATTTTGTCATATATATGGTAATATTATGAATGACAGAAAAGTACAGTATAATCAATGTAAAGGCATACATTAGTCAGGAGTTACTTCATTAATGTTTGATAGGACAAAATGGTCCCAAATAAAGAGAAATATTACACTTAATTTATATATACATGTACATATGTTAAATGAATGTATAAAAGTGATTTTGTGTTTATTTACCCTTGTAATACATAGTTATACCAGAAATGGATTTGACTGTTTGTATAAAAGGTCAAGCTTATCTGATTAATATATATATATATATATGAGAGGGTTATGAAGTGAATGCATGGTCAAGGGTTAGCTACTTTTTTGCATGAACAACAATACTTACATCAAAAGGAATTTAATCAAGATTTTAAAAAGATAGGTCATATGATCGGTGATTCAGTAGATATACTGTGAGATGTTAATTTTAATGTTACATGCTTTGATATGTGGAGATACATGTACATGTATATGTGTGCAATATATCACCATCATACAGGTTGTGATCAGAGGATTTATTATTTATGTACACTTAACTTGTTCTCATGTGCTTCTACTTTTTAACTGAAGAATTTTAAGTTCCACTACATGCATTTGACTGTAAATAATTTAATTGGATACTTAACATTTAGAAGTGTAAACCAGACATGTTGTAATCAACAGTTATCCTCAAATGATTTTAAGTTCAAACTGTTTATGGAACAAACGCAGGTGGGGTTCATAAACTTGAATTATACATGAACAGTTTGCATACAGCTTGAGAAATAATCAAACTGATATTCAGTAGTTCTAGTAGGCAGTTATAATCAATCAATGAACTGAAAGGAAGAATTCCATTCAATATTAAACTGTTTGTATGACAAATTAAAACTGATAAGTTAGGAAGTTAGAACTTAATTGTTGTGGTTAAGAAAGAAAAACTAAATATATACAGACAGTTATGTTGTGGTTACAAGGTTACAAGATAAAGGACTACTATGAACTTCCTGCCATCAATAGTATGTGTATTGTATATTAAACAGTATTCTATTGTTTTAAGGATGGTATATATATGCATTTGAAAATTATTTTTTTAAGGATTTTTAAGTAACAATTGCACATTTAAGTGATCTTTACAATTTAGTGAGATTTTAGATGATATATTAATTAGTAGCAGTAAATACTTTTGACAGCACTTTAATTCAAATTTATTTTTGATTTTTCCAGATTTGGGCATAATTCGTCAGTTGAATATGGATGGTGATACAGGTGGAGTTTGTCCCATATGTCATATGCCTTTTGACAAAGGAAAGAAAAGGAAATTGATTGATGCTTGTGGACATGAACGTTGTTACATGTGCATGTTTAACCATGACACATGCCCTCTTTGTGATAAAAGTAAGTTCTCATCCTGGAAGTTTCAGATTTAAGGGCATGCGATACAGTAGCAAGAGCAGATAATGCATCCAAAAATAAAATTTGTTTTCACAAAGTTGAAAATGATAATCTTTTAAAGTTCATGAAAAAATCATTTACATCATCAAATCAGTTACATGAATTTTAAAGTATTTGTGAAAGAAAAAGTTAAACAAAAAAAAGCTGAATATGTCTGATTTGATGTAGTATCAATACAGTTTGATTAAAAATTTACCATTTAGATGAAAATAGGCAACTGCCTATAGTATTCAGCACGTCGGAATGCAACTGCCTATAGTATTCAGCATGTCGGAATGCATCCCCTCTGTTACAAATTGTTTAACTGACTCCTTTCTTTTCATGCTTTTAAATTCATGCAGACTAAGGAGTTTTTAAAAGTTGAAGTGATTTGTAAGTTTGGACATACAGCTAAAATATCAATTTTTGTCTCGTCTTGACGGCGTAAAAAATCGAGACTTAGGTATGCTGTTTCCAGTCAACAGTGTATTTAGTTTGTGATTAGGTCAGTTAATGGGGAACCACTAGTGGTAGGTCAATGATATTTGGTATGCAGTTGTAGCATTGGCACATCTAATTCTATGGAAATTACTTAGCTCCACCCCCTCAGTCATCGTCTATTGACTTTGAATGTTTTGCAGTTTACATGTTAAGTTTGTGATTAGATCAGTTTAAAAGGAACTGAGATGGTTAAGTCAATGATATTTGGTATGCAGTTGTATTAGCATTTGCAAGTCTCTTTTCCATGGTGATTATATGGCCCCACTCCTCAGCATGGTTAATTGACTTTGTAACTTTTACATTGTTTACAAATTAAAGTTTGTGTTTAGGTTATTCTAAATGAAACCACTTATGATAATTCAATGGCATTTGGTATGCAGTATTATACACATTGGAATTTCTCAATTCCATGGAGATTATTTGGTCCTGCACCTTAATTGACTTTGAATGTTTTGCATGGTTTACATAATAGAAAAACAAAGGCTATGGGGTATCCATCCATGACACAAAATCAGTACATCGCGCACAGCAAAAAAACACACAATAAGCAAAGGAACAGCACACAATAAGCAAAGGAACAGCGCTTTTTTTGCCATTGAAGCCTGTTTGTACAGATTGTAATATATTTCTGCAATGTTCTAATGACATAAAAATTTAATCTGTGAATCTGAATATATCAGTGTGAATCAGATAGGGATTCTAAAAAATTACAAAGATCTGTTAGAGAGCATAAAATCTAAGTCTCTTAAATCCTCTTGCAATAGTATTAAAACATTTTTGACTTTTCTACCCTTTACTCAAGTAATTTCCCCCTTCCAAACTAAAAGACCGATTGAAAGAATTGGTCCTGCTTTCTTTTATAAGGAAGAATGGCCAACGTAGATACAAATATCTTTTTTAAGGGAGGGATAAATCTTACTTCTGTAAAAAAGCACTCGGATTCATACAAAAAGTTCACTAACTGACATTATCAAGATGCTTGATTTCTTGATTGACAACACATTTGTTATGTTGGGAGGAAGTATTTTTCAACAATCAATCAGCATTCTCATTGGAATCAACTGTGCTCCTCTTGTTGCTGACTTGTTGTTTTATTCACATGAGGCAGACCGCATACAGGAGCTTCTTAGAAAGATTAAAAGAAGCTAGCATTATCCTTTAACTTCAGGTTCCGCTATATAGAGTGTCCTCTCACTGAATAATACAAAGTTGGGTGACTGATGAACGCATCTATCCAGATACTGATACAGTCTGCCTCATATCTTCACTTACATCTGGAAATTGACAAAGAGGATTGGTGGAGAACAAAACTTTACAACAAAAGAGATGATTTCAACTTTTCAATTGTAAACTTACCATTTCTATGTAGCAATATTCCAGCAGCGCCTGCATATGGAGTATTTATCTCCCAGTTAATGAGATATTCTGGAGCTGACATTTCCTATCGTGATTCCCTTGATAGAGGGTTGCTAATTACAAGGAAGCTATTAAACCAAGAGTTCCAAGTGTTGAAGTTGAAGTCATCCCTTTGAAAATTTTACAACACCATCACAAGTATGGTTAACTTTTATGGAATATCTTTGTCACAGATGAAGAAGGATATGTTCCAAAAGTTGTAACCACAATCTCTTCTTTTTTTCCTGGAATGTGACATACCAATTTAGAAATACTGGTGTTTGGTCTTACATTAGCAACACTACTGGTGCCACATGTGGAACAGGATCTAGCCTTTTGGATCACCTGAGATCTTCCTTGTTTTTTGGAGGGGTTCGTGTTGCTCAGTCTATAGTTTTCTATGTTGTGTTTTGTATACTGTTGTTTGTCTTTTGGTCATTTTTCGTTTTTTTGCCATGGCATTGTCAGTTTGTTCTTTAATCATGAGTTTGACTATACTATTGGTATCGTCCGTCTCTCTTGTACATGGTGTTATGTTTATCTCCTATATATTCATTAATTTTTCCAGGCTTAAGAATAATCCAATGTATATTCTTTAGCAGATGATAGTAGTGGGTTTAAAAACTGATAAAGCACACAGAAATTAATTAGTATTACAATAAAAATATAGGTACCATTTTGTATTAGATATACATAATGCCATAGCAGTCAAGTTTGCACAAAGTTTCAGGCCAGGGTGTGTTGTAGTACAATTGATGAAGTAAATGTTTTTATTAATGTATACAATTTACTTGCAAATTATTAAAAAAACAGGATTTCAAAATTATTATGTTTATTATGAGTATTACAGTAAATCCAAGCATACATACAGGCAAAAGCTGGCAACAAACTTAGATGTTAAACTGAGTGTTAAAGATGTTGGTTTGGTAGCACTGTACATAGGCCTTTTACAAGAAGCATGTTAAAGTTAAAAGATTTCAAAGTTCAATACCACAAGAAAAACTTTCGTCTTACTTGTAATTCACTAAAGCTTTTTATCTTCAAATTTATGATAAATTTTCAAGTTGTTACTTTTTTTATTAGAACATGAAAGTTAACAGATAAATTTGTCTGTTACTGTAAATTCAGAAATTATTGCGAGGTTTTTATACGACCACAAAAATCGTATATTGCTATCACGTCGTCGTCATCCGAAGACATTTGGTTTCCAGACAATAACTTTAGTTTAAGTGTATGGATCTCTGTGAAATTTAACCAAAAGGCAGGTTGGGAATGTTTATGGGGTGATGATCCCAACCGTTTAGGAATTAGGGACCAAAAAGGGGCCCAAAACAAGCATTTTTCTAGTTTCAGGACAATAACTTGTGTATAAGTATTTTGATTGCTCTGAAATTGTACCACAAGGTTCAATACCACAAGTAGAAGGTTGGGATTCATTTTGAGGGTAATTGTCTAAACCGTTCAGGAATTAGGGACCATAAATGGTATAAAACAAGCATTTTTCTAGTTTTCAGACAATAACTTGTTTTAAGGTGTATGGATGTCTCTTAAATTGTACCACATTTTACAAAAAGAAAATTTCTTCAAATATTATTTTTTTGGAAGAGGGGTTTCGGGGGGGGGGGGGGTAAAAAAACCTTTTTTTTTGGGGGGGGGGTCAATTTTTTTCCTCAAGATTTTAGAAATTTAGAAATTGTCAATTTTCCAAAGAAAAATTGGGGGTCACAATTTATTTTGCTAATTCTTTGTATATAGTCTGAAAACAGATTGACTAAGTATTGTGCAACAGCACAGTGTATTGCACAACATTAAGAAATCTTCAATTGAATATAAATTCAAATCATATAACCAATTTCAAGTTCTTTGACTACATTTATTCTGTGTCAGAAACCTATAATGTGTCAAATATTTAATTACAATCCAAATTCAGACCTGTATCAAGCTTGAATATTGTGTCCATTTTTGCCCCAATTGTTCAGGGTTGGATCTCTGCAGTCGTATCCAGCTGCGCTCGGCGAAGCAGTTTATTATTAAAGCGAATAATGCGACTGAATGAGTATCGCAATAATAAAAACTCGCATTCTGATATCTGATACATATAACTGTATGCAGATTTTCCTGAAATCGCATTTTAGTCCATTCTTCAAAATTCGCAATAATAAAAGCACGCAATAATTTCTGCATTTACAGTATATAGAATTGAATTACACTGCACAAACATAATTCTCCTAAATGTGTTTGAAGATAGAATTTATATTTTTATTGAATATTTGTATGCAGGCTTACACTATACGAGAATTCAAAGTCTAAATTCATTCTTTGTATTTAATCTGTTAAACCACACAATGCTTTAATATTCCAATTGTCCAAGGTGAAAGTATGCATGTAACATTAAATAATCCTTTTCATATTTCACAGATAATGTTAATAGAACTCAAGCAAATAATTTACTTCAAAGCAGTGATTCCTTGTCACAGCGACCTAAATTGAAAACCAATGGCCATTTTACACCTAAGATGCAGACTTCACAACCATACAGATACAGCAGCCATCAGGGACCAGTAGATTCAATGACCCAGACAACACCCAAACTACATGTATGCCAGACAAGTATGTATCTTATTTGGGTTACATTTCGTCTTGTGAATTTTGTAGTGTTATATGTTTACTTTTGATAAAAATGGACATAACTATACATATGATATAAAAGTGTAATGGTCTATCTCCCTATACAACTATAATACAAGATTTCTACTCTCTACAAGTTTTTATCAGAACGACACTGTTCTATCTCCACACTCCAATTGGATCATACTAGCTTATATATAATTATATTTCATCTGGTTAGTTCAGAGAAAAATATTTTGATAGTGCTGTATCTCCACTTTTTTTTAGATATTTTTCCTGTAAAATAATTGTTATCTAAATCCTCTTAGTAGTACTATGTGTGAATTGTTTGCATGGTTTGAACTCCATTTATGATCAATTCTTAGCAAATCCAGCAGTCCAGAATTGGGGATATTACAGAAACAAAAAATCCATGGTCTATCTCCAATAGAAATATAGGGATAAATTTCTAAAACAACATTGTTTGTAGTGGAGTGTTTTATCTCCAGAAAAGGGGATGCCTTATTTATCTAAGTTGCTTGTTTATAAAAAAAAAATTGAACAAAGAGTTTCTCTTCATGTACATAAATTTGATTTGTAACTTCGTTACTGGTAACTTTTTATGTCAAATATTTATGATATTCCTCTTTTAAACTTCATATTCAATTTCCAAACCATTAGAAAAATGGGAAGTACACCATTATAAGATTCTCACAAGGATTTGTTGTGCTGCTATTATTATTCTTTTAAAAAACATTACCGTATTCAATTGGTACAATGCTGATTAATTAATGAATGTATGGCAGCTGGCTAGTGAGGACTCATTACCCTTTGGCCTCTAGTCTCTTGACCAAGTTCAAGCAACTGGTGTTTTTTAGGACATGTTGGTGTATGGTTCTTAAGTTTTTTTTTGTTTTCTATAAAAAGATTTTCCATTAACAAAATGTCTTTTCAACATAACCAATAAAATCATAACCCTTTGGCCTCTAGTCTCTTGACCAAGTTGCATAGGCTTCAGATATTTGAATTAGGGATGCATGTTCTCAAGAAAATCTGTCACATGCAATTTAACTTGACCTTTGACCTAAAGTCAGATATCTTGTTTTGTCCTTAGACATAGGCTTTAGATATTTGTAATAAATGTTTAGACTGACCTTGACCATGACAAAGTTAAAATAATTGTTTTTTGGGAAATTTTCCACTAAAACAATGAACTACATAATATAGTGAATGTACTGCAATTCAGGAATTTTTGCATGATTTATTATTGTGATGGTATAACAATGTACAAAAATGTTGCATACAAATTATGCTATAAAACCTATCCAATTGCATCACAAAAATTTAAGAATTTACACCCAATTTTAAGAAATTATACTACTTCAAAGTAGAAAACACAGCAACAGTCCTACTACACAAACCAACGCAAATGTAGAATAAGAATGTCTTTGTTGTGCCTTTCCTTTACTGGAGTGACTTGTATAGGTTGATAATGTTTTTCTAGGAGTTCCAATTGGGTTCATCCGTAATAGTTTTTGTAAGCAAAAAATATGGAAAAAAAAAATAATAAGAGTTCATTAATGTATCATGAAGTAATAAAAAATATAACAGATTAAATAGGTTTTGTAAATCTTTGAAATATAATGTTTACAGAAAATAAATTGTTTTACGAAATTTTACAGAAAATCTATTTATTATATAATAAAAAGACTGATTTTATTGGTTATGTTGAAAAGACATTTTGTTAATGGAAAATCTTTTTATAGAAAACAATAATATCCTTTTCCATATTACATTTATTATAAATAAAGTTACATTGCATATTCATCGTGTTCATATAAAACTTTGGACTTGAATATAGAGAAATCCTGTTTTTGAAGTAAAATCTATAGTGTTTTGATTAGGACAGTACCAAACCAGCTTAATTTGTTTGACACACGACTTGACAAGAGTTGTTCCTCTGTATTTTGTTATACCGTTAAATATTCAATTGAATATCATCATGGACTGGAATTTGCTATGCTGATATTAATTACAGGCAATCTAGTTGTCTAAAACATTTACTGCTTCATCATGGTCTATAGGAGCTAGTACTGAATCGATTTGGATATATATCGACCAAAGAATTATGTCATTTCTGTGGAATTTTTCACGTTTTAAGCATAATCTTTTTTAGCATTTGACAATTAGTCAGTCTAAAATACTGGGACAATGCATATGTAGATATAAGAAGATGTGGTATGAGTGCCAATGAGACAACTCTCCATCCAAGTCAAAATTTATAAAAGTAAACCATTATAGGTCACAGTACGGTCTTCAACACGGAGCCTTGGCTCACACCGAACAGTAAGCTATAAAGGGCCCCAAAAAATTACTAGTATAAAACCATTCAAACGGGAATATAATTACATGTTATGGAAAAGGATCACTGTTGGCAAAATATGGCCTTGTTTTCAACTTTATCATAAAATATCGAAAAGGCTACAATCTGGTCCTTAAATTTATCCATTTCAAGAGCCTTTAATAATTGCTAAGTAAACCAAATCTCTTCTTTATAGTACATTGTAGACTCCAAAGTCAGCTCATTATAGAGTTATTATTAAAATACATGATTTTGTGCATTTTTTCGGACCTACAAGCTTTAGGAATATGTTCTGCAACCAAACAGTGCCAAGGTTAATATTGAATAGCAAGAAACAAACATTTTTGTCTCGCCTTGACAGAGTCAAAAAGAGAGACATAGGTATGCTGTTTCCGGCATATCTCATTTCCATGGAGATTATTTGGCTCTGCCCCCTTAGTCATGGTCTATAGACTATGAAAATTTTGCTAAGTTAACATGTATTAGTTTGTGATTAGGTCAGTTCAAGGGGAACCATTAGTGGTAGGCCAATGTTAATTGGTGTTCAGTTGTTTAAGCATTAGCACATCTCATTTCCATGGAGAATATTTGGCCCGCCCCCTCAGTCATGGTCTATTTACTTTGAAACTTTTGTTTACTTTACATGTATTAGTTTGTTATTAGATCATTTTAAGATGAATGCTAATGTTAAGTCAATGATATTTGGTATGCAAATTTATTGGCATTTGCAAGTATCATTTCCATGGAGATTATATAGCCCCACCCCTGATCATGGTTCATTGACTTTGAAACTTTTACATAGTTTACAAGTTAATGTTTGTGTTTAGATTTGTTTAAAGGGAACGACTTATAATAAGTCAATGGTATTTGGTATGCAGTTGTATTAGCATTGGCACATCTCATTCCATGGAGATTGTTTAGCCATGTACCTTCAGTCATGGTTCATCGACTTTGAATATTTGCATAACTTACATGTTAAATTATTGCTATTTTAATTTCAACATTTATCAAAATTACAAAAAGGCGAGACATATCTCTGTGATAACAGTTTATTTAGATCAGGGATGGTGGCCTCAGTAAATTATGATAAAAACTGCTATAAATTTTGGAAAATTAGACCGAAACTAATATTGCAACACAAATAATGCATAATTTAGGGGTCATAGCTTCGTAATTTATATTGTGAGGTGCCAAAAAGAAGTTCATTTGTATTTATAATAAAATCACAACTATTTCTCTGTTTAATTTATAGTATTTGTATTGCCTGATTTAGAAAAAAAAATAAGATCTTTAAGTGTCAATTTTAGCCCTTTTTGAACCTACCCCTTAAACAACTTGCAACATAGGTTTGATACTTTTAACTTAGCTCACCTAGCCCTAAGAACCAGTGTAAGCTATCATGCCATCACTTGGTGTTTGTCGTCTATTGTCATTTGTCATGTACATGCATATGTTAAATTTGTTTAAATCTTGTCCTGTAACACCATCAGGCTCATCATAGTATTCTAAAAGGGTCTAATTTTAGATTTGTTCCTGGTTTTCCAGTTGACCAATCACCATGGCTACTGTTACTAAAAATAGATCATTAGGGTAAAATGCAAGTAATTGTCTTATATCTTGAAAACCATAATAGATGATAAAATCTGACAGATAAAAACACTGATAATGTCAAGATCTCCCCTAGTTTTTATTTAAACCAAATTTATCAGATGACTATATATATAGCTACTTGGGCTCATGAAATTTGTCAGCATTTGGAAATAATTAAATCTTTTAAATATTTTGTGCAAGATTTTATTACTTTTGCCAGAATCATTTTACAGGTAACACAGGTAAAATATAAAGATAAGTTTTAAAAAATATGTAGCTGCAGAAAACTTTTTTAACAAGTTAAATTGAATGCAAGTTTAATGAAATGAATAAAGATTAAACAGAATTCTAGTTCCTAAGAATATAAGATAGCAATTGCTTTAATATTCAGTCAGTATGGGGGTCTTTCATCTTCTTGGGTTGCAAATAATAGCAAATGATCAATCCATATGAAATAAGCAAATTTTGATGCAGGTGTGCAATACATTTTAGAAACTGAATTCATATAAATGAAGAAAATAATGTGATTTTTATACGACCACAAAAAAATTTTGTGGTTGTATATTGGTATGACATTGGCGTCGTCTTCGTCCGAAGACACATTGGTTTTCCCACTCTAACTTTAGTTTAAGTGATGAATTTTACCATAAGGTTCAATACCACAAAAGGAAGGTGTGGATTGATTTTGGGGGTTATGGTTCCAACATTTAAGGAATTAGGGGCCAAAAAGGGACCAAAAATAAGCATTTTTGTAACTTCCAGACATAACTTGTGTGTTAGTGTATGGATCTCTCTGACATTGTACCACAAGGTTCCATATCACACAGGGAATGCTGGGATTGATTTTGGGGGTAATTGCCTCCAAATTTTACGAATTAGGGGCCAAAAAGGGGCAAAAAACAAGCATTTTTCTAGTTTCATGCCAATAACTTGTGTGTTAGTGTATGGATCTCTCTGACATTGTACCACAAGGTTCCATATCACAAAGGGAATGCTGGGATTGATGTTGGGGTAATTGCCTCCAAATTTTACGAATTAGGGGCATAAAAGGGGCAAAAAACAAGCATTTTTCTAGTTTCCTGACAAAAACTTGTGTGTAAGTGTATGGATCTTTATGAAATTGTACTACAAGGTTCCATATCACAAAGGGAAAGCTGGAATTGAGTTTAGGGGTAATTGCCCAAAACGTTTAGGAATAAGGGGCCAAAAATAAGCATTTTTCTAGTTTCCAGACAATAACTTGTGTTCAAGTGTATGGATCTCTCTGAAATTGTACTGCAAGGTACCATAGCACAAAGGGAAGGCTTGGATTGATTTTGGGGGTAATTCCCTCAAAATTTTTGGAATTAGGGGCCATAAAGGGGCAAAAAAACAAGCATTTTTCTAGTTTCAGGACAATAACTTGTGTGTAAGTGTATGGATCTTTATGAAATTGTACTGCTAGGTTCCATATCACAAAGGGAAAGCTGGGTTTGAGTTTGGGGGTAATTGCCCTAAACGTTTAGGAATTTGGGGCCTAAAAGGGGCCAAAAAACAAGCATTTTTCTAGTTTCCAGACAATAACTTGTGTTCAAGTGTATGGATCTCTCTGAAATTGTACTGCAAGGTACCATACCACAAAGGGAAGGCTGGGATTGAGTTTGGGGATGATGAATCATAAGGGGGTTCAGAAAATTTGGGGGGGGGGGGGGGGGTTGTTTTCCTTTTTTTTCTTTTCCATTTTGAATTGGTTATTTCTGATTTATATATAAAAGCAAATAATAATGATATGGTTTGAATAGGTAAATTAAAATTTTTTAAGTTCTTAGACCACATTCATTCTGTGTCAGAAACCTATGCTGGGTCAAATATTTAATTACAATCCAAATTCAGTGCTGTTTCAAGCTTGAATGTTGTGTCCATACTTGCCCCAACTGTTCAGGGTTCGACCTCTGAGGTCATATCAAGCTGCGCCCCAGCGGAGCATTTTATATCTTTTGGTATCAACTTTTTTTACAAATGCATTATATTTTTTATTGATTAAAAGAAGTTACACTTTGCTTGATAAAAGAGGGGATAACTCAGATGATTTAATTTATTAAGGAATGTGCAGTGCTTTTTATACTGGTATGGCGTTGTCGTCGTCTTCCGAAGACACAATGGTTTTCGCACTCTAACTTTAGTTTAAGTTAATGGATCTCTATGAAATTTTACCATAAGGTTCAATACCACAAAAGGAAGGTTGGGATTGATTTTGAGGGTTATGGTACCAACAGTTAAGGAATTAGGGGCCAAAAATAAGCATTTTTGTAACTTCCAGACATAACTTGTGTGTTAGTGTATGGATCTCTCTGACATTGTACCACATGGTTCCATATCACACAGGGAATGTTGGGATTGATTTTGGGGGTAATTGCCTCAAAATATTAGGAATTAGGGGCAAAAATAGGGGCAAAAAACAAGCATTTTTATACAACTGCAAAAAAATTTTGTGGTCGTATATTGGTATCTCGTCCTCGTCCGAAGACGCATTCGTTTTTGCACTCTAACTTTAGTTTAAGTAAATGGATCTCTATGAATTTTACCATAAGGTTTAATACCACAAAAGGAAGGTTGGGATTGATTTTGGGGGTTATGGTACCAACAGTTAAGGAATTAGGGGCCAAAAAGGGGCCAAAAATAAGCATTTTGTAACTTCCAGACATTACTTGTGTGTTAGTGTATGGATCTCTCTGACATTGTACCACAAGGTTCCATATCACAAAAGGGAATGTTGGGATTGATTTTGGGGGTAATTGCCTCAAAATTTTAGGAATTAGGGGCCAAAAAAGGGGCAAAAAACAAGCATTTTTCTAGTTTCATGACAATAACTTGTTTGTAAGTGTATGGATCTTTCTGAAATTGTACTACAAGGTTCCATATCACAAAGGGAAAGCTGGAATTGAGTTTGGGGGTAATTGCCAAAAATGTTTAGGAAAAAGGGGCCTAAAAGGGGAAAAAAATAAGCATTTTTCTAGTTTCCAGACAATAACTTGTGTTCAAGTGTATGGATCTCTCTGAAATTGTACTGCAAGGTACCATACCACTAAAGCAAGGTTGGGATTGATTTTGGGGTAATTGCCTAAAAATTTTAGGAATTAGGGGCCATAAAGGGGCAAAAAACAAGCATTTTTCTAGTTTCAGGACAATAACTTGTGTGTAAGTGTATGGATCTTTATGAAATTGTATTGCAAGGTTCCATATCACAAAGGGAAAGCTGGGTTTGAGTTTGGGGGTAATTGCCCTAAACGTTTAGGAATTTGGGGCCAAAAAGGGGCAAAAAAACAAGCATTTATCTAGTTTCCAGACAATAACTTGTGTTCAAGTGTATGGATCTCTCTGAAATTGTACTGCGGGTACCATACCACAAAGGGAAGGCTGTTATTGAGTTTTGGGGTGATAAATCACAAAGGTGTTAAAAAAATTGGGGGGGGGGGGGGGGATTTTTTTTTCCTTTTTATACGACTGCAAAAATTCAAAATTTTTTGGTCGTATATTGGTATCACGTTGTCGTTGTCGTCGTCAACATAGTCCGAAGACAGATGGTTTCCGGATAATAACTTTAGTATAAGTTAATAGAAATCAATAAAATTTTAACACAAGGTTTATAACCACAAAAGGAAGGTTGGGATTGATTTTGGGGGTTATGGTCCCAAAGGTTTAGGAATTAAGGGCCAAAAAATGGGTCCAACTAAGCATTTTTGCAGTTTCCAGACAATAACTTGTGTTTAAGTGTATGAATCTCTCTGAAATTATACCACAAGTTTCCATACAACAAAGGGATGGTTATGGGGGGTTATGGCTAAAACCTTTTAGTAATTAGGGGCAAAAAAGGGGGAAAAACAAGGGTTTTTATGGTTAAAGGACAATTTAGACAATTTAAAAGCAGTGTAAGGGAGGTAATTCAATCTATTTAAAGAATACTGTTGTATATATGAATTACCTCCCTTACACTGCTTGTAAATTATGTATCAAGAAATGATGATTGTCTTGAGATGATTAGCTGTAAATTTGTTTTTAAAAGTTAATATTAATTAATATTAATTTTAACCATGACTGTATGTCATTTTATATTTTAATATTTTATGATGTATTTAAATGAGTAGTTATGGTTGCAAACTCAATTAGAAATTTAAATTGAGATTAGTTTTGGAATAAGGGAAAGGGGGAGTTGAAAAAAATTTGGGGAGGTGGGGGGGTTACAATTCGCAACAGCATAGTATATGGCACAAAAGAAAAAAATTGAATATAAATTCAAATCATATAACCAATTTTAAGTTCTTTGACTACACTTATACTGTGTCAGAAACCTATTATGTGTCAAATATTTAATTACAATCCAAATTCAGACCTGTATCAAGAGCAAATAGTGTGTCCATTTTAGCCGCAACTTTTCAGGGTTGGACATCTGCGGTCGTATCCAGCTGCGCTCAGCGAAGCAATTTATTTCCTTTTTTTTTCTTTAAAATTACATTTTAAATTGGTTATTTCTGATTTATATATATAAGCAAATAATAATGATATGGTTTGAATAGGTAAATTAAAATTTTCTTAGACCACATTCATTCTGTGTCAGAAACCTATGCTGTGTCAAATATATAATCACAATCCAAATTCAGAGCTGTATCAAGCTTGAATGTTGTGTCCATACTTGCCCAAACTGTTCAGGGTTTGACCTCTGTGGTCGTATCAAGCTGCGCCCCAGCGGAGCATTTTATTCTAGTTTCATGACAATAACTTGTGTGTAAGTGTTTTGATCTTTCTGAAATTGTACTACAAGGTTCCATATCACAAAGGGAAAGCTGGAATTGAGTTGGAGGTAATTGCCCAAAACGTTTAGGAATAAGGGGCCAAAAATAAGCATTTTTCTAGTTTCCAGATCAAGTGTATGGATCTCTCTGATATTGTACTGCAAGGTACCATACCACAAAGGGAAGGCTGGGATTGATTTTGGGGTTAATTGCTTCAAAATTTTAGGAATTAGGGGCCAAAAAAGGAGAAAAAAACAAGCATTTTTCTAGTTTCAGGACAATTACTTGTGTGTAAGTGTAAGTATCTTTATGAAATTGTACTACAAGGTTCCATATCACAAAGGGAAAGCTGGGTTTGAGTTTGGGGGTAATTGCTCAAACGTTTAGGAATTTGGGGCCTAAAAGAGGCCAAAAAACAAGCACTTTTCTAGTTTCCAGACAATAACTTGTGTTCAAGTGTATGGATCTCTCTGAAATTGTACTGCGGGTACCATACCACAAAGGGAAGGCTGGGATTGAGTTTGGGGTGATGAATCATAAGGGGGTTCAAAAAATTTGGGGGGGGATTTTTTTTCTTTAAAATTTTCAATTGGTTATTTCTGATTTATATATAAAAGCAAATAATAATGATATGGTTTGAATAGGTAAATTAAAAAATGTTAAGTCCTTAGACCACATTCATTGTGTGTCAGAAACCTGTGCTGTGTCAAATATTTAATCACAATCCAAATTCAGTGCTGTATCAAGCTTGAATGTTGTGTCCATACTTGCCCCAACTGTTCAGGGTTCGACCTCTGCGGTCGTATCAAGCTGCGCCCAGCGGAGCATTTTATTTCTTACATGATAATGTTTTTGTTGAGCCTTCGACTTTAGTCGAAAAAGCGAGACATAGCGATCCTACATTCCGTCGGCGTCGATGTCGGCGATGGCGGCGTCCACAAATATTCACTCTGTGGTTAAAGTTGTTGAAATTTTAATAACTTTCTTAAACTATCCTGGATTTCTACCAAACTTGGACAGAAGCTTGTTTGTGATCATAAGATAGTATCCAGAAGTAAATTTTGTAAAAATAAAATTCCATTTTTTCCGTATTTTACTTATAAATGGACTTAGTTTTTCTGCCGAGAAATATTACATTCACTCTGTGGTTAAAGTTTTTAAAATTTTAATAACTTTCTTAAACTATCCTGGGTTTGTACCAAACTTGGACATGAGCTTGTTTATGATCATAAGATAGTATCTAGAAGGAAATTTTGTTTTCTTCCAGTTAACATTACATTCAGTCTGCAGTTAAAGTTTTTAAACATTTATTAGATTCATAAACTATCCTGTATTTTTACCAAACTTGGACAGAAGCTTCTTACAATCAAATTACCAAACTTGGACAGAAGCTTCTTACAATCAAAAGATAGTATCAAGAGGAATATCTTTATTGATTTACTTCCTCATTTTTGTTGAGCCTGCGATTAACAGAAAAAGTAGGCGAGACACTGGGTTCCTTACGAATTTTTTTTATATATAATCCTTATAAAATGCAAGGTATTGACAACCTGTGAATTGAAAACATTACCTTGGTGTTTACTTTTTTAAAACAGCACCTTTTAACCTTCATTTTGGTAAAGTATGAAAACATTCTGTAATTATTTTGTTCATACAACCTTAAATATAGTTACTGTGACTTGATAGTAAGTGTTTCTCAAACTTTCTCTCCACCAATTGCTATTCATTAAAAATTCTGACCAAAATTGGATGCAGAGAAATTGTAAATAGCAAAAATGTTCAGCAAAATAAGATCAGCATGACCGAAGTTGTCACTTGACCCCTTAAAGGAGTTAAATGCCAGTTGCCTTTTATCTTGAAAACTAAAATAGATAGTTAGTAACTGTAATCAGCAAAAATAATCAGCAATACAAGATTTTTTTACTTATTTTCAGTTTTTGCCTCTTATTAAGAAAACTAAATTAGATAGATTAAGAAACTGTAAACAATAAAACATCAAAGTTTTGAGAGGTGAGCGAATCAGACTTTTAGGAGCCTCTTATTTACACATAATGCCTCTATATATTAAGCTGATTTTTGTTCCATAAGTTTATAATGGTGCTCCAGATGTCATTTTTTTCACAGAATTAAGGAGTCCTTCCATCATTACACAGGTGGGGGCATTCCTGATTCCAAACATATCATGTGATCAAAAGTTCCATAAAGTCAGAAATGAACTAAATGAAAAAAATGATAAGTGGTTCAGTAAATATCCATTGTTTTGATTTCTGCAAGTTGAGTTTAAATTGTATTTTTTGACAACTTTTTTGGTTAAAAACATGAATGTCAAAAATATGACTAGTTTTTAACCTTAAACATCCTGTAATAAATTTTATAAACCAGTTGTGGATATCCCATTCATGTTTTTCCAATTGACATTAGATTTTTTATAACATTGGAATTCAACCTTGTAAAGGAAAACATGAAGTTTACAAATAACTGATGATAAATCACATCATTCCTTTGTATATTCATGTTTAATTTGGTACATATATATATTTGAATCAGAAATGGCTTTGAAGTGAAATCTATCTAAGAGATTTGATATGCCTTATTGTCTCAGAATAAACCTGGAACTCTACAGCTTAAAGTATATTGGTGGATGGGGGTAGTGAGGATATCAAATGGATCAATTGACTATGCAAGTATAGTCATTATCTACAGGGGATGTGTAAAAAATGATACAATGGATTGAAAGTTGAAATTATATATAACACCATTTGATATTAAAGGATTAAACAGAATTGGCTTTTTATTAAAGAAAATATTGATTTATTAAAAAATTATTAGAACTTATATATATGTTAGTCTCAGATTGATATCATTTCCTCAAATCAAAATTCCATCTGACATAACCGTCCTTAATTTCTATCCTCCAAATTTAATGTCATGTTTTACCAGAATGAACTCTTGATCTTATAGACCCTCAATATGAATTATATATGAAGTGGTCTTAGTTTGATTCTGCCTGAATAGGCAACATCACAGATCATAATCATGATAATATTGTCACCGAGTTGACTTAATTATGCAATAGAAAGCGAAAAGAGACAACATCCCATCCCCAAAGGAGCAACTTTAACAAAGTAAAACGACAGATACGGTATTGACAAGAAGATAATAAATTATGTGGATGTTATTTTTTCCCCAGATGTTTTCATATCCCCCCTTTTTTCTGCCAATATTTCATTTTAAGATTCTGTCAATTATGTTTACATTATACCTATCATTACATAGTCTCTAATGGCAAGTTTTAATCAAAGTACAAGTGTGAATGAGCATTTGCCATCTCTATAGGCATCTGTTGTCTGTCTTCGTCATCTAGAGTCTGTTAAATTTTACAAAAATCTTCTCCTCTGAAACAACTGGGCCAAATTGAATCAAACTTAGCCACAATCATCCTTGGGTTATCCAGTTTAAAAGGTGGGTCTTATGATCCTGCCAGCCAGTCAAAATATCAGCGTGTGCAATCTGTTTGTGTTGCTTTGTTGTTGTCATCTAGTTACATACCCCACCTCTCCTTTGTTCATAGATATTGTAAAATATTAGTGGTTAGACACACACATTACATGCTATTTCCTGTTTAGCTCATCAGATGCTCTTGATCACACAAAAAGCTTCATATTGTGGCTAATGTCTTATGTAGAAAACTTGAACAATTGTCCTGATTGCGTGTGCTTAAAATATTTTGATTCTGTGTGTAAATTTCCTTAAAATGTTCTATTGACATGTGATCGTAAATAGGAGAATAGTAAGAAGAATTCTGGACATTTATGTGGAAAAAATACTAATCACCTGTGTAAACAGTTTTACATGTTTAGGAATTAAGTAAGTGGGGGTAAATCCCAATAAGACAGCAACAAAATATCACAAGTTCACTTAACATAAATGTTACAATTTGTTATTAAGGAAGCAATAAAACATGTAGGTGGAAACTTGAGCTTTACTGCAGTGACAGTCAAAAGAGATTAAAGTGAATCATTTTTAAGGCATTTCAAAATTCATTAAAATTCTGCACTTTGTAGGTGTTTACAATAAAATCTGCTTTAATTTTTACTCCTTATAAAAACTTTTCATATGCCTAAATCCATTTATAGTTGCATAGAAGATGTTATGTGTTTAAAAATTGCCATTTCGATAGTTAAAAATTTGACATTTGGATAAGCAAAAATAAACTTTTTAATTTTCAAGATACGTTAAATCTACCGAATTGAATGCAATTTAGCCCTTCTTGAAAATGAATCACTATATTTACTTAATCATGGATTCGTGTATTTTCTTGTTGACAACAAAAACTATTTTTCTATTGTAGATTAAAATTTAGTGTTTAAATTGTGAGGTATTAAAAGCTTAAATGCTTTAAGTTTACTATTTGTTGTTGATCAGTGATAAAATTAGAGATTGTCAAAAGCATGAATGAAAATTAGATATTGAAAAAAAAAAATTTATTACAAAAAAGAATGAGTCATCAGCCATTGAGCAAAAAATAAATGTATTCAGATTGTGTCACTTCATGTAATGGTTGGTAGGCTAAATGTTGAATCAAGCTAGGCCAAACCAAATATTGTATTTTTAATGTTTAAACACTAGTATTTATTTATTTATTTGTAGTACTGACATTTCAAAAGTAAATCTGTTTATGATTTTATATGTGTAAATTAAGGATTTATACATTCCATGTAAAATATATATGTTCTTGACAAATGGAATTTTGTTCCTTTGTAAAGATCAAAAGGATTTTTCAACAATGAAAGTTATATTTGTGATTTTCACTTTGTTAACCAGCACATCATTTGATTTTTTTAAATATTCATTAATATTTTCACTTATCAAAAAAAGACATTACGATTTTCACAATAACAGTAATGTGTTTCATGATGCTCAAGAATAGAGGGTCATCATATAAAAACTACTGTTATTGAGCAGGTACACATTAAATAAGTTAAAATATTAAGAAATATTTACTAAAACAAAAAAATGATATATAGAAAAAAAGGGGGGAGGTCCAGTCCCAAAGCACCTGTAATTTCTGGATAAGAGAAAAAAAAACCAATCGTACGGTCATTCTAAGATTTTTAAAATCCAGCAAGATTTATCAGTACAAAGTAACAAAAGAGCATGTTTCAGTTTCTAGACAGTTACTACTGCAATTGTGGACATCTTTTTTATAAGGAAGAAATAATTTCCATGCATTTTATTGGACAATTGAAGATAATAAACCAGATATTTTTCTGCTATTTCCTTTTTGAGATCAATAAATTGATAGATTTGCTGGAAGTTTTGATTGCTCCTAAAATGTATTTGTTTACAATTCCTATGTTCTTTTCCTTCTGTGAAAGAAATTTCCTTTAAAATTGAGAACATATCATATTGAAGTAAATCTGCAGTAACTATTGGAAATTGTGTAATTTGTATGGAGTTTGATTGACACACTTTGCAAATGGATTAGACAGAAGAGAATTTTATGCATGTAATAATCAGACAAATAAGTGAATTAATAATGTATATATTTCTTGGGCTTTTTAATAAAATTAGTAGAAAGGAACTTGAATACCTCTCAAATTAGTAAGGTAAGTCTGTAAAAAAATAAGAAATTGAAAGGGTATATTTTCATAACTATTTTATTGGAATTTTAATATGTTTTAATTAAAAGGGATGATTTACATGTGTTGAAAACAAAGACCTTGAAACCTAAAAAAGCATTTGATTTAATGACTCATCAGTTTGCATGGCCTGTGTCATAACAAAAAATTATAAAAATCCAATAAGAAAATTTATTTTCTTTAAGGTTGTATTTAACTTGGCCATATGGTATACAAATTGTTATTTGCAGCAAGGACTTTAATTTATAATATAAATGCTTCAAACTTTAAAATATTTTTTTTTATTTTAATGTATGTACATGAACAAGTTAACCTTTAATAGGTGAAATTATTGGAATGTGAGGTAGTTTAAACCTAAATTTAACTGTTTTTAATGTCAGTATATAAACAGTTCTTTAGGTGATTAATATAGAGTTACCACATTTGTACCAGTGACAGAAATTGGAGTTGGTTATAAAATAATAATAGATAAATGGAAACATAAATGAGCAAAAATAATCAGCAAGATGATCTTCTACAAAGAAGTTGTATGGGTGAAATCATCAGTCGACTGCTTCTTGGAGTTATCACCCTTTAATGACTGCTTCTTGGAGTTATTACCCTTTAATGACAATTTTTACCCATTTTTTTGAGTTTTTACAATCTAAAATAGATAGATAAAAACTTAAATAAGTAAAAATGATCAGCAAAACAAGATCAACAAATAAATTAACATGGCTGACTTTGTCAGTCAAAACCTAATTGGAGTTCTTGCTCCTTAATGACAATTTTTATCAATTTTTTTGTGTTTTTGACCGTTTTCTTGAAAACTTTTAAAGATAGATAGACACTTTAAACCATCTTACTATCAAAATTACAAGGAGGAGTCAGGACATATCACTGTGTCAACATGTTAATTTGAGTAAATAATTGGGATGTTATGTTGTGCAATGTGGAAAAAACAATTTCCAGAGTGTTTTGAGTCGAATGTTAATAGTGAATATTAGTAATGAAACTGTTGATCGATGGTAGTATAAATAAATGTAAGGAAAAAGTAATTCCCCATGACTTTTATTTTGCAGGCAATAAACAACAGCAGCAAACAACTAATCTTCCAGCCACACCAACTAAACCAAGATTTTTTCAGCCAATATGTCCAAGTCCAACACCACCAATTCCACCACCTCCAAAAAATTACACAGCAGATTATAATCATGCCAAATATTACAGTAGTGACTCTGCAATTGGCTCTCCTGACCTCAGTGGCAATAGCATCACCATGACAACGAATGATGACCTTGATGAACTTTCCAAGTTAGATCACTTGGGACTTAACTTGCATGCACCCCATGGTAAGTATTACAAAAAAAGGTAGACAACTTGCTGTTTTAAATTGATAAAGTTCATTTAAGATAAATATTGTTCACATTAAATTTTGTCTCAGAAAAATTCTGTTTTTAGATACTGCAGACTCTTATTTTGTTCAACATTTTGATTATCACAGAGATTTTGCATTGTGATTTAAAACAGAAGCTTATTTGGTTAGTTGCAAGAAAGAAAAAGGACATGACTATTTGGGAAAAGATGGCATCAATGACCTTAAACCTTTGGTCAAAGTTTCTGTGTTCGGTATTATTAAGCTCAAAAGGGAACAAATTTGTGCTTGATATCTACAATCTTCTATAAATATCATCTTGATACTGATCTTCATATATAAACAAATGTGCATTATACAAAGAAACAACAGAGATTCAGCAGATTAATGTAAAAAGAAAAAAAACAAATATACTGATTGTCTTTAAATAAACCTTTTTCCAAATCCTCATGTTTTATTGTCTCCCTTTTTAGCTCATTGTAAAAGAACGTGAGCTTGAGCTCCTTCATTTGCTGAGCTGTGGTTTCTTTGATTTTGTCAGAGATATAGATCATGATCTACTTTTACTAGTCATGTTTTCAATGGTTGATTTTGTTTTGGTGTTAATGAACAAAATGATTTATCAATTATTATCGTAAAATTTCTTAGGATAGTGGTAAGTTTCTAGTCAATTGAAATATCTTTGACATTGAAACTAAGTATGAATCTAATCATTGAAAAACCTCAAAAACATAGAAGTGAATTATAACAACACCTTGGATAGAGTACTAGCGAAAAAGTTGTGTCAAAGATACAAAAAAATTTATACAATGCTGGCCTGTAATTTCATTTTTTTTTGTAAATTTGTTCTTGTAGTGTTATGCAAACAAAATATGGACTAATCTTGTAAATGGAGAAATGAAATTACCAGACTTGAAGGTAAAGAAACATGGAGTTATTTATGATGGAGGTTGTTAGGAAAAACATTTGTGAAATACAATATGGCTGTTTTTGTCTCGCCTGCATTGAAAGTCGCAGAATGCAAGACATAGGGGTTACAATCGGGCGGCAGCAGTGTAAAATATTTGTAATAAGCTTTATTTTACAGAAGCTAGTTGACCTGGAGTCTTCATATATTGTATGCAGATGCCGTATGTTACCAAGTTTTCATTTGTCATTAGTCTGTTGCCTTTGACCTCATTTGCATGGTTCAGTGACCGCTTGAAAAAAAAGGTTTTTTTTTGTATGTGCATTCATCACTTATTATGAGTAATAGGATAACTATTTGGTATATGTGTTCCTTGTAAGGTTTTCATGTTGGTCAGACAGGGTTCATCTGACCTAGACCTCATTTCATGTATCAGTGATCATGAAAGATGCAAATTTCAAACTGAAATATCTCAAAAAGTAAGTCATGATGGTATGTTTTTCTTTGCATATTTTGATAGTACATTTACTTTGTGCCAAATTTTATTTGCAGCTGGGAAATACAGTCCTCCTCCTCCACCACCAGATGTTGCTCAAAATGATCTGATGATGAGACTAGGGTTGTTGCTAGGAGAAAGAGTACCTATTAGTGAACAGGACCAGTTGACACCAATCTGTCAATCAGGGAATCAGACTGAGGAGACATTTACCAGTGTGTCTTCATTAGGCAGTATTGATGCTACACCAGATAGGGGGATTTCAGATACAAGTCCATTATCTACATTGACAGGTACATTATCGTCCTTACCTTCACCTATATCACCCTGCTCAGTCACTCGGTAATTCTCGTATCACGGCTATGAGACGTGAGGAGGCATTATCAGCGACTTCACAATGTTGAGGAGAGTTAATCAGCGACGTCACAATATGTGAGGAGACGTTATCAAGCTTGCTTTCGTCGTAAAACTGCCTAAGGGAGATGGAAAAGAACAGTAATACAACGATAAACAGATTATCAGGTTTTCTAAGTATTGATATTGTAAAATATCAGCAGCTCGACACAATGTAAACCTTTTTACCTCGTTTCCTGTGCTCACTCGCCAAAAAGGTTCAAATTGTTGCTCACAGCTGATATTTTATGATATCAATGTGTAGAAAATCTGAAGATCTATTTAAAGCAGGCAGAATTTTTGTCATGTTTAGCACCTTTTGATATGATTTTGCAGACTAATTATCCTCCCCAGATATAATATGTCTAAGCTTTTATTTTGTCTTGGTTTTGTAACCAATTCTTGAACAAATTTACCCTCACAGTTCCACTTGTTTCTGATTTTATTATTTTTCTTCAGTGGCAGTATCCAACCAATAGATTTTCATTTTTTTAACAAAATTTATATTTTCAGATCAATTATCATGATTATAACTCCCTTTAATTTTTGAGGAATATCTGTTATGTTGTTCGGGAGTGATTGCTGTTGAAGCACACAATTTGGCCCCAAAATTTCTATGGTGTATAATAACTCAATTTTTAAAGTTAACATGTATTAGTATGTGATTAGATCAGTTAAAAAGGAACCACTAGTGGTAGATCATTGATATTTGGTATGCAGATGTATTAGCATTGGCACATTTTATTTCCATGAAGATTGACTCTTCCCACTCAGTCATGGCTCATTGAATTTGAATCTTTTGCATAGTTTACAAGTTAAAGTTTGTGTTTTAAGGGAACCACTTATGATAAGTCAATGGTATTTGCATTATACTATTAAATTTGAATAAAGGTGATACATATCTCTGTATCAATATTTTATTTTAGTATTTAATATCCTTTAACAAAAAACAGTATAAGATTCCATAGATTTCAAAACCTTCAAAACTAAATTCACATCCCAATTACGTACATATATAGTTAAGAAAGGTTTTATATTTTATAGACCTCCCATCAATCTTATAACTAAGACGTGCTGTCCTATAGGTATATTATGTACATTTATAACATAAGACAATGCAGAATGAGTTGTATTAATCACACTAAAACCACATCCAGAGTGCAGTAAACTGGCTAAAAGTCCAAAACATTGGAAATGGAAGGTGTCCAAGAGCTTAAATTATTCTCTGTAGCAAGTTTTCCAATGGTTTGAGATAAGATTAGTACCTATTTACTTTTTGATTTTCCCCATGATTTCATAAGAAATATATTTGTTCATATAAAGAAGGAATATTTTGTATTGATTAATGACATAAAATCCCTACATGCTATTGTTTTTCAGCTTCATCTGGTAGTGAAAGAGCCTCATCAGGAATACATATGGGATGTGGATCTCTTTTCCCCTCAAATCGTGACCCCAGTGCTGACAGTGTTAATTCATTGATGTCCAACAGTTCTGGTCATGGTATGAGTCCACAGTCAACTACACAGAGACCCCACTCAATTACTAGTTAGTGATATAATTCTTTTGCCTTTCTTATTATTTATAGAAATAAGGAGATGTGGTATGATTTCCAATGAGACAACTATCCACCAAAGTTCAATTGAAGTAGATGCCAGCAATTATAGGCCAATGTACGGCCTTCAACAATGAGAAAAACCCAAACCATATAGTAGGCTATAAAAGGCCTTGACATGAAAAATATGAAAAATTCAATTGAGAAAACTAATGGCCTAATTTATAACTTAACAAATTATAAAAAACAAATATGACAGACATGAACCAACAACAACCACTGAACTACAGGCACATAAAGAATGTGGCAGGATTAAACATGTTTGTGAGTGCTCAACCCTCCCCTTACCTGGGACAGTGGTGTTACAGCACAACATAAGAACAAACTTTAAAAATCAGAGCTCAACTCAACGATCAATACAAAGCAGAAAACATCAAACAAAAACAGAGACCGGACGTGGCAAGATATTTATACATCCCTTGACCATTTGAATATTAATGAAAGTAGATGTGGGACAAACGTCAATGACACAGCAACTCGACAACATAAATAATACATCAAGGAGGCAACAGGTCTGGAATTTATTGCCTGGTAACAAAGCATATTTACATGCATGCTTAAGATATTGCTGAAAACATAATCTATTCCTCTTTGCCATAGTATTACAATGGAGTTACTTTGATACATGAATTTAGATTTTTATGGGCTGTAGACATGTTCTTTTTGTGATTTTAAATTTATAATATTAAATAGTATGGATAGGATCGAATTTTTAAATACAAAATTATTCTTGATTGAATTAAAATTTATATTTGTCAAATGATTAGATATAATTGTATTTTAAGGCAACATAAAGATTCAGTTAAGTTGACTTAATTCAACTTAAGTCAAATTTATTTATTCTTATAGCCTCACAGCCAGGTCAGATTGAAGATCTGGGATTGTTTGGTAAAAGACAGTCACCAATGAGAAGATCAGCCCGTGCTGCTCTTAGTCATCATCAAGACAGTCGTGGTGGCCGTATGTTGAGAATCAAACCACCACAGCTTCACTTGTATCCAATCAACTTTGAAATACCACATCCAGAAGGCAAACCTATTTTCGTTGGTAGAGAATGGCTGTTCAAAGAAATGGAAATGGTAAGCAGTTGTGAGACAAAAAAGACTATATCATTTTGTTTATTTTCTTTTGTAAACTTATATTAGAATCAATTTAGCTGCTCTTCTGGCAATTGGGACCACTGTACAAGAAAGAAGAATATAAAATTGAGAATGGAAATGGGGAATGTGTCAAAGAGACAACAACCCAACCATAGAGCAGACAACAGCCGAAGGCCACCAATGGGTCTTCAATGCAGCGAGAAACTCCCACACCGGGAGGCGTCCTTCAGCTGGCCCCTAAACAAATATGTATACTAGTTCAGGGATAATGAACGTCATACTAAACTCCAAATTATACACAAGAAACTAAAATTAAAAATGATACAAGACTAACAAAGGCCAGAGGCTCCTGACTTGGGACAGGCGCAAAAAAGCGGCGGGGTTAAACATGTTTTTTGAGATCTCAACCCTCCCCCTATACCTCTAGCCAATGTAGAAAAAACAAACGTACAACAGTACGCACAGTAAAACTCAGTTTAAGAGAAGTCCGAGTCCGATGTCAGAATAGGAAACAAAAGAAAATAAACAAAATGACAATAATACATAAATAACAACAGACTACTAGCAGTTACTGACATGCCAGCTCCAGACCTCAATTAAACTGATTGAAAGATTATGTCTTCATCATATGAATATCAGGCACAATCCCTCCCTGTAAGGGTTTAGTATTATACCATCATAAAATATATGAGAAGAACATAACCCATGTCATGCCAACAACTGGTTTTAGAATAAATATGTTTAATTCCGATGCAAAGACCCTATAAGTGAATCAATATTAAAGCCAAAATATGCAATCTTTAATGACCTGACAACAGTATCGTAACTATATTCCTTCTTAATAAGTCTGTTTAAAGGTTTTGTTAGCTTTTGAGGTGAATACTGACATTTTTGTGCTTTGTAAAGAATATTACCATAAAATATTGGATGTGAAATACCCGAACGTATAAGATGTCTGCATGTTGAGTTATATTTACGAATGATGTCCTTATACCGATGATAAAATTTAGTAAATTATGCATCTTGATAATGTTGAGTTGTCGAGTGTAAGCAATTTTTACATCTGCCATGCAGCCACTTTCTGTATGCTGATAGTTTGAAATTTTAAAACACTCATTGTACAATGAAAATTTTCTTCAAAGTTTTCTTAGCTTCTATGAAAGGGAATGATCAGTTATGCCTCCGACAGTATACATGTTACCTCAATCAATTGCATATATGGACACAGGTCCAGACATAGAATTTGTCTTGTTATTAAAATACATGGATAAAATTAAGGGAGGTATTTTGGTTTTATTTAGGCATTGAATAGTGAACCAACTTCAGACCAGCCAAGAGGTGTTGTAATCTCAGGAGGTATTGGTGCTGGTAAAACTGCCATCATGGAGCAATTAATAGACTGTAGTTGTTTTGGCGATGGAAGAAGTGGCCTTGTAGAAGGTAAGTACTTTATTTCTACAAATTTGCTAGAGTTAAATATTTTGAGAAACTTTTTTTCAAAGTAGCAACATGCTGTAAACAAACTAATTTTTAAGCGCAATTTATTTTTATGTGTAGAAAAAATAAGGTGAATATAAATCGTAGCGAATATGTAAAATATGGGTCTTCCCTTATATAAAAACTCCACGAAAATTAGAAATTGTGAATGTTAATGGCTCTGAAGTCAGTTGGAAAAGACTAAACGCAAAATAAAGTATCAAAGAAAATCAGTTGATTTACAGTATTCTGACAGAACCAAAGTTTTAATATAGCTTAAAGTAGAATTTACATATAATTGTTGTATCAGACATATTAGAATGTGATAAAACACAAATACATTATTGATTTTTGTAACAATAAAAGAACATTAAATGTCTTCCCTAACATGGTCATTTTTTAAACATGACCATTAAGAACTTGACAGGAATTTTCTGTAGATCTTGCCTTTTTTCCTGAAAACTGTAATGGATAGACAGAAAGTCTGTCCACCAATAAAGGTATAGTAAGACACTAAAATTCATCATTTAAGGGCCATATCTCCTATTAGAAGTTTATCCTTAGAAAATAAACAAGAATTTTCATTAAACCAATTAAAGCATTTACTTCATGGGAGTCAAATAAGATACCCTTCTAAAATTTTACCATTAAATGTTCTATTGACATTCAGCAAAAACCAATGGTTCAACTTGCATTTACAGCAGTTAAGATTCAGATATATTGTTAGATACCCATTTTCAGGGATTGTAAACTACATTGAAAAAGCAGCAAATGACAAAATGATTACCCTTGAAATTGTAACTTTAATATATGTTATCCGTGAATGAAAATTTAAGTAATGATTCAATACATAAAAATAAGTATACAAAGTTTAATAATGAAGATGTCATATATATTACCATTTTCATTTTTATACAGTTTGATAATTAGTCGAGATACGTGTAACAATGCATTCTGTTAATAAAAATATGTATGTATACATTATTTTTTTTGTAGGATCCAGTCATAGGCTTCACCAAGACCGATTTCACTCTAATGGAATAAACTACAGCCCAACTTCCACACTAAACAGTTCTCCACATTCTCATCTAAGTGCTTCTTGTGGCAACATGTCATATGACGCATTGCGTAGCTTAGGATCACAAGTTGTAGCATACCATTTTTGTCAGGCAGACAATAATGTGACATGTTTAGTACCAGAATTTGTACATAGTCTAGCTGCTAGGCTTTGTCTAGTACCACAGCTGGCCTCATACAGAGAACTGCTGCTTCAGGATACACAGTTGCAAGATGTGTTGAGCCTTAAAGAATGCATAAAAAATCCTTCCCTATCTTTCATAAAGGGAATTGTTGAACCATTACAAAATTTAAAAGAAACTGGAAAACTTCATTCAGATAGTTGTATAATTTTAGTGGACTCTTTAAATGAAGCAGAATTTCATAAACCAGATTATGGTGATACAATTGCTTCGTTTTTATCACATCACCTTGATGATTTTCCTATGTGGCTTAAACTAGTGGTTACTGTGCAGACAGTCCTTTTAGATATAACCAAGTCTCTGCCATTTCAACAGATCTGTATTGACAGGGATCCAGAAAACCAGTTTATTGCTGCTGATCTTCAGGATTATGTCAATCATCGCCTGGAAACCAGTCCAAGTGTGAAAAACAATATTGCCTTAAATGGTCGATTGGAAACAGCCACACAAGTCAAATTTTGTAGCCATTTACAAACATTAAGTAAAGGTTCATTCTTATTCTGCAAATGGACATTGGATCTTATTGAACAAGGTCACTTGGTGCTAAAAAGTTCTAATTATAAGATATTGCCAATGAATATATCAGAAGTGTTTTTATTGCATTTCAACATTAAATTTCCAAGTGTAAGGTCTTTCGAGAAAGTTTCACCAATTTTAGGTGTATGTCTTGCAACTTTATATCCTCTTAAAAAAGAGGAAATATTTGAGACAATTAATTCAGGATATACACAGAGGTACATTTCTTGGGAGGATTTTAGTCATAGACTTGAAGTTCTATCTAAATTCATTCATAGAAGGAAGGATGAAACATACATGTTTTTCCATCCAGCATTCAGGGAGTGGTTAATACGACGTGATGATTCTGATAATCCTAAATTTCTCTGTGATCTTAGGTAAGTTAAAACTTTTATAGGTTGTTTACTTGTTTATGTATCCACTGTATACAACTTGTTTTAAGAAAAAGCAACTGAGTTTTGACTGAAATATATGCATGACATGTCAGTAAATCATTAATGATATGTTTTTTACCAACAATAATTTTAAGAAGGATGACAGGGGAGGATCCAGCCATTTTTAAAGAGAGGCGGGGGGGGGTTCCAACCCAGAAGAAAGGGGTGGTTCCAAATATATGTCCTCATTCAAATTCAAAAACTGTACAGCATGGTTCAAAAGAAAATGACCAACAGACAAATAACAAAATGCTACACAGAAAGCTGAAGACTAATCAACATAAAACCTTAAATGATCAATTGAAAACATAAACCTTAGTCAAACAGAAATTTGAGGATTCTCATTGGTCAAGTGGTCCAAATACCAAGAGAAAAGTTGCAAGTTCATCTACTGTATCACTAGCCTGTCAACACTGAGGTTGTGAGTTGGAACCCTGCACATGGCAGGTACAGTCCACTCCAGTCTTAATGAACATAGATTGTCAGTTTTCATGCTCTCTTTGGGCACTCCAGCTTACACCACCAATAAAAACTAAAACAGTGCTGGAAGTGGCATTACAGCACATGGACTTGAGTGTGTAGGTAAAGGTAGTATCTTTGGTTTGCTTGCTTGCTCGCTGAACCATGAAATCATTATCAGCTAAAGTATTACCTTCCTTTGGGAGGAGTGAATAGTTAAACAGAGAAATAATCAAACATAGGGCCAGTGTATGAACATTGTGAAATCTGTTTTACAAGTCAGTTTAAAAGTAGGTTTTCAATCTAAAATTAAAGTCTTGTATCAATTATAAGCTAATTCACAAGCATATTTTAGGTGTGTTTGATTTGTCCATTTCATTTCAATCAATTAATACTAATTTATTTATAACTAGATTATTTACATGTGTAATTCTATACTGTAAGTAGTAGTTTACAATGATTAAATTGATTTATACAACAACAAAAACTTTTCATATCTTTTAAATATATGTTTATATATATAATAAGGAGATCACCATCTTTGAATTTGTTATAAATGAACAGACTTCTGAGGTAATTGATTGAAATGAAAAATTGACAAATCAAACAGACCCAAAACATGCTTGTAAATTATCTAATAACTGACACTAGATTTTAAATTTAGATTGAAGACCCATTTTTAAACTGACTTGTAAAACTGGTTTTGCTATTCTTATATACAGTCACTACTTTTGATTGGTTCTCTGTCCAAAGGTAGGTAGTAACTTAACTAGCAAGCAAGCAAACCAAAGATACTACCTTTACCTACACACTCAAGTAAATGTGCTGTAAACACCAACAATCAATCATATTAGAATTTTATTTTTATGCCCCACCTATGGGCATTATGTTTTTCAGTCTGTACGTCCACTCGTCTGTCCGTTCAACCGTATGTCCCGCTTCAGGTTAAAGTTTTTGGTCAAGGTAGATTTGATGAAGTTGAGGTCCAATTAACTTGAAACTTAGTACACATGTTCCCTATGATATGATCTTTCTAATTTTAATGCCAAATTAAGAGTTTTGATCCCAATTTCACGGTCCACTGAACATAGAAAATGATAGTGCAAGTGTGGTGTCCCGCTTCAGGTTAAAGTTTTTGGTCAAGGTAGTTTAAGATGAAGTTGAAGTCCAATCAACTTGAAACTTGTTGCACATATTCCCTATGATATGATCTTTCTAATTTTAATGCCAAATTAGAGTTTTGACCCCAATTTCATGGTATACTGAATATAGAAAATGATAGTGCGAGTGGGGCATCCGTGTACTATGGACACATTCTTGTTCAACCTATATTTATCATTTCTGACATGTACATATCAAAAAGAAAATGTTTAAGTGATGAAATATGAAAGAAACAAAAAAAAGAAAACTTTTAAAAAGGAATTCTATTGTGTATATTTTAAATGAAAATTTAAAGAGTGAGAATTCACACATCTTTTTTTCAGAAATGGCCATGCTTTAATGGCATTTAAATATTCTCGAGTGGATGCTCCTCTTCTCTCGGACAAGACAATAGAACTTGGACATCACATCTTAAAGGCACATATTTACAAAAACATTAGCAAACAGCGAGGATATTCATCACGTGATATGCAGGCATACTGGATGGCACTTAGTTCAGATAACTTGAATGCTGCCCTAGCTTGTCACAGGAATCTCTTTTCTCCAAATGTTAAGGTGAGAGTATTATCAATATTAGAATTAGGTAAATTAAAATTAACTTCAACAATAGCATTCTAAGATTGTTTTCTTTTTCAAAATTATTAAGTTTGTAAAGATAAGAATATATTGCTAAAAGTTGTAAAATGACCTGCTTTTGACATGTTTGATGGAAACCCAAGATGATAAGTGACAGATCTATCAACAAAATTTCTCAATAGACCTGTCACTGGTGTATAAAATTGAAAGGTGTTGGATAGACATATTCATAATCAAATAACAAGCTCTGATAAAACAATGATTCTTTAAGAATAATAGATAAAAGATAAACCATGGATATATGCCTGTACATGTTCCACCAAAAAATTACAATCTGAACCTGACTTAGTTCATCTCTATTCCTTTAGGTCAGTCGATTGATTTTATTGTCTGGAGCAAACCCAAACACTAGATGTAACCAGTTAAACCATGCACCAGTCTTAGGAGTAGCTGCCAAGGAAGGATTTGCTGATGCAGCATCATTACTGTTAGAATTTAATGCTAGCGTAGATGCAGTCAATGATCAGGGAATGTCTGCACTGTGTTTTGCAGCAGCAGAAGGTCATATTGATGTCATGAAGATGTTGTGTAGGAAAAATGCTAGAGTAAGTTTTCATCTGAATTGAAAAAAAAATGGAAAGTATTTCTAAATTCAGATTGATATCTATCTCAAGTGCTTGTATATCTGAATATATGTAGGAGGTAGTTCATCTTAAAATAAAAAAAAAACATCTGCTTTCAAATATAATCCCTACCACAAGAAAAACATGAGCAGTATAAGGGAGATAACTCATATTATATTTATGATGAGGCAATACGGGATAGAAATCCTACATCTCATCCATACTTAAACAATGTATTTTTCTATATATATATTTGTATATGTCTGTTAATTTCTCATTTGGTCAACAACTTTTTTGTTTCACCTCTCAAATTTATATTTTGAGAGACTTCATAAGAAGACAATCATGTCTGAAACAATAACTTTTATGTAAGATATGTAAGCTACATTTTTCACAACTCTAAATGCCTGTGAAAGTATTTTTATTCTCTCCTCCTCAACTTTGCCTGAGAGAGTTGGAACCTTAGTTTCTTCATAATTTTTTGTCTCTCCTGGGACTACTATTATTGGCAGGATCTGGAGAGGACTTAGTAGCATTAAAAATCTGAAAAAAGACATTTGTAACATTAAAAAATCTGAAAAGAACATTTGTAACATTATTAAAAATCTGAAAAGGACATTTGTAACATTCAAGATCTGAAAAGGGCATTTGTAACATTATAAAAAAGTCATACATTATAAAAAAGTCATAATGTGGCCTATAGTTGTCAACTTCTACGTCATTTGGTGTCTGGTGGAGAGTTGTCTCATTGGCAATCATGCAACATCTTCTTATTTTTATTATATATACTGTTTTACCTCTATCTGTCCGTCTATCCGTCCGTCCGTCCCATGAATATTTATCGTCGCATCTTTCTCAAGAACTACATCATAAGGATTTCTGAAATTTGGTTTCAGGGTTTATATAAGTCAGCTATACCGTGTGATGCGTTTTCAGATTCATCACTGAACAACTTCCTATTTACTGAACACTTACATCTTTTTACACTATTAAACTTATCCAGTTGCGGCGGGGGTATCATCAGTGAGCAGTAGCTCGCAGTTTCACTTGTATAATGATGTTTTTGTTTAAGTTTTTATGCCCCCGCCGTAGCTGTGGGGGCATTAAGTTTTACCCTTGTCTGTCTGTACGTACGTCCCAAAATTGGTTTTCGTTCTCTAACTTGAGTTTGTCTCAACCAAATATTATGAAACTTATACACAATGCTCATTACCACAAAACACAGATCAAGCATGAATTTTGGTGGCGTCACTTTAACCGTTCTAGAGTTATGCCCCTTTATAAATGGAAAAATTGCAAAATTTTTAGTTTCCGTTCTCTAACTTAAGTTTGCCTCAAGCAAATGTTACGAAACTTATACACAATGCTTATTACCACAAAACACAGATCAAGTTTGAATATTGGTGGCGTCATTTTAACCGTTCTAGAGTTAATGCTCCTTTATAAATAGAAAAATTGCAAAATTTTTATTTTCTTCTAAATATCAAGTAATTTTTAAAATTGGAGTTATCTTCCTTTGTACATGATTATAGTTGAATCAACTACAATGCAATGTTTAATTTTGACTTCCACTGATAAAACACAGATCAAGTTGAATTTGGGTAGTGTCACTTTAACCATTATTGAGTTATGCCCCTTTATAAATCGGCAAAGATTGCAAAATTTTTAGTTTCCATTCTGTACTATACACAATATTCATTACCACAAAACTAAGATCAAGTACAAATTTTTTGTTTCCGTTTTCTAACTTTAGTTTGCCTCAACCAAATGTTATGAAACTTATACACAATGCTTATTACTACATAATACAGATTAAGTACGAAATTTGGTGAGAACACTTTTACCATTCTTGAGTTATGTCCCTTTATAAACATAAAAATTATTGAATTTTTCGTTTCCATTCTCTAACTTTAGTTTGTCTCAACCAAATGTTATAAAACTTATACACAACAGTTCTAGAGTTATGCGTGTTTACAAATAGAAAAATTGCTGAATTTTTAGTTTCTGTTCTCAACATAAGTTAGCCTCAACCAAATGTTATGAGACTTACACGCAATCCTTATTACCACAAAATTCAGATCAAGTTCAAATTTGGGTAGCGTCACTTTTATTGTCTTCAGTTATGTCCCTTTATAACTATATGCTATGCAAGCAGGGGCATCATCTGTGTCTACATGTGGACACTTTCCACATTTATTTGTACTATTTTTGCAGCTGTCTCATGTTGACAATTGTGGACAGTGTCCTGCAGTCCATGCAGCACTGAGTGGTCATCTTGATGCTTTAGCCTATCTCCTTCAATGTGATTGGTCATCCTACGATGGACAGCTGATCAAAGTAGAGGCCATGCAACAGGCTTTAGTGGCTGGAGCAGCCATGGGACATGTAGATGTAAGTTTTTCTCCATTATAAAAAGTATAGTTACTTGTATAGTTTCTTTTTATTACTAGTAAGTTTTAATTGAAATTATACACTGTTTAGGTTGAACCAATTTTTATATGCCAGTTGTTTAACAGGAATTTTTAGGAAATATATTGTACTGCTGGCTATTTTAATTGTTGTTCAGAGTTTTTAGGACTTTGAATATTCATAGCTTGACATGAAATTTATCAGTGATATCTAAATCAATAAAGGTAACCTTCTTTTTCATGATTTTTGTGTAGCCTGACAGAGAACCTGCAGTGACACATAGGGATTACATCAATTGTCCATTCACATCTTAATAATCCTTAACTCACTGAAAAAGGCTTCATAGAGTTCAACTCTTCACGGATTCTTCTACATGATATGATGTTTTGCATTTGCTATTCTAATTTTTTAGTTGTTTTTGAGTTTCTCATACCAAAACATGTGCTTAGTAATTTCTGCTTGTATCAGTTTATTAATCCACACTTCCTTGAAAACTTTGACTATGTAGATTGGATGAGTAATCATAATATGAGAATTGGTATTATTTGTTTCTTAAATGATTTAATGAAAATCTCCAAATATAATGTTTTGAATAGATATAACAGCAAACTACATGTGACAATTTTTTATGAATGTGGTTTTACCATATGTTTATGCAATTGGTCAGAACCAACTTTATTCCATGAGAGTTAGACCAATGAGATTTGAGTTGACAGTTTGGGTATAATGGAAAAAAAAATTATGTTTAATGTCTCTAGATGTCTGAAAAATTTCAACCTTTTCAGGATATCTGTGTTCCCTTTTATCTGACCTTTATTGATGACAAAAATATATTTTAGATTTGTGAATACCTGTTACAGACAAACAGTCATTCAGTAGAAGGTTTCGGGATAAATAGCTTAGACACTTTATTTGGTGATACACGTAAGTTATTGAATTATATACCTTAATTTATTTCTCTTAATGACATCAGCAACAATCCACTAGGAGTAGGTAACAGTTACCATTTTATTTCATTCTAATTTCATTTATAATTTTTCCTGAATCAAAGATAACATTATAACTTCTATAAGAATTCAAAAATTAAAAGTAGCCAACAATACTTGCCAAATTTCATTTTTTAGAAATTTTACTTAATTTTAATCATGCAAATAGCTTTTACTTTTTTTTGGAGAAATATATTTTTATTCTCAGATTTTGCTTATTCAAAATTAGAGAGAATCATCAATTAAACAATCTATCAGTTAATCTGACTTGTTTTTACTGAAGCTTTTTGGTGATCATGTTTTTCTGATGATTTATTGTTGCAAGGGAAACATTGCCAAAATTTGTAAACTGAATTGAATATGGGTCATGCTACTAATCTTGGATTAGTTGGCTGTTTCTTTTTAAAAAAAGTGATCACTCTATCTTTCTGTCCATCAACATGATCAATACTTCTAGTGGTACATAAAGTAAAAATTGCCTTGACCGATTTCCAAAATTTGTATGCACAGTGTTAATTAGTATGGAAGGAAGGTATCTTTTTGTGAAATTTGGCCATAAATTTGGGTAAAAAATCTTTGGAGAAATTTTGAGAAACAATTTGTGATCATTTGTGTGCTAGAATTTCTACAAAATTTGACAAATCAGGCATGAAATGCTATTTAAAATTGATTTGCAATGACAAAAATGCATTTTTTGTTATATTTTATGTATGATTTTCTAAAAAAAAACACTCAGTTTTTGTAAAAAATTCAGAGAAATCTTGAGTAACATATTTTTGTGCAAAGATTTCAATGACAATTGATAAATAGATATAACAAGTCATTCCAAATCAAATCAAGATGTCAAATTTTTTTTAAATGGGGTAATTTCTAATTTGAAAAAAATAATTTATTTATGATTATAAATTTATATAAAATATAACATGCTTAATAAATCGTCATTTCAACTTTTAACAAAGGTCATTTTAATGTTTTATCTACCAATAAAATCATGACATTAAATATATGTGTTCAGTAATCAAAGTCTAAACGACAATTGGAACCCATTCCAAAACACTGTCCAAATTTCATAATTCAAAGGAGAAAATAGGATTTTTAAACGGAAAACAGTCTCCTGACTCCAAGTGGAATGAACATGATAGAACAGGGCGACTTGAAATCGTGTTAAATGACAGATTGTTTAACATTTGCTTCATATTTTCTTTTATAGCCCTTACAGCCTCTTGTGCACATGGCCACCATGACATGGCCAGCTGGTTAATAGACCAAGGTGCCAATCCAAGTCAATCTAATGGTAAAAGCTTTTCACCATTGTTGTGTGCTGTGGATTCTGGAAAGTGGGATGTGGCTAACCTCCTTTTAAATGTTGGTGTTGATATAGAACAGGTTGACAAGTATGGAAGAACGCCACTGATGATAGCTGCTTATAAGGGACACATTGGTGTGGTAGAGATGTTGCTGGCTAGAGGTAGGTTGATTTAAATATTTATCAGACATGTTTTTGTACATTTGAACAAGAGAGTTGAAGACATTTTCATAACTCAAGTATTTAAGTAAATTATTTAGAATAAGTCTTCCTATGATTTAAATATGGAAAGAACATTGTAGTCTGCTATTAGGTTAAACTTCCTTATACAAGGAATAACTTGAAACAGTGGCATACAAACAAGCCAGTCATTTCATCAGTGTCTAACAAAATAGGACAAAATAACTATTTACATTTTGGTGTTTCTGTGTTATTTTTAATTAGTTGAATTTTTCTCTTTCTATTCCAGGAGCATCAGTAGAATCAGTAGACAAAGAGGGACTAACATCACTGGCGTGGGGGTGTCTGAAGGGGCACCTACACATTATCCAGACTTTACAGGAGAGAGGATCAAATTTACACCATACTGATAGGTGTGGTCGTTCACCTTTACAGCTGGCAGCCTTCCATGGGGATTCACATGTTGTAAGTTCTTGAAATCATAAGATTATGTTTTGATTTCATCAAGCTGACAGTAAAATAAAAAAGCCAAATGTCACTCAACATGCTCAACACAAGAATGTCAATGTTGAATATTAAGTACTAATATTTTTAGAACTAAATAGTGATTAGTTCTAAATACTTCTGGTTAAGATTTTAAAAATAACTAATGTCAATATATATGTGAGCTGACTGGACCTGAATTAAATATATCATGCAAATAATTAGTTCTGTTAAAGTAAAGATTTACCCATTATTATAAAAAAAAGAATAGACTATTAGTACAGGAACATTTCGCCGAAATTTGTATAGAGCACAAGCATTGTCTAAAATATTTATTGGTCAGCAGGTATATAAACAAAGAATACACTTCCCGTTTCAATAGCTGTTTGGACAAAGGTTGTGCTCTCTATTATTTCCAGCATCTTCAGTTAATTGGTCACACCATTTTTGACAAAGCTACCATTTTATTATGTTGGCCATGACAAATGTTGTGTCACAGGATGATAGACTTAGGGTTGCTAATCTGGCAGTAACATTTGCCTAAACTATTTGTTTAAAGCTTTATATTTCTGAAGGTAAAAGACATGGATATTTCATATCTTGTATCCAGATGCCTAAAGTTCTGCAGTTTTTCTCCCATATAAAAATAAGGCGATGTGGCATGAATGCCAATGAGACAACTATCCACCAAAAGTTCAAATGAAGTGGATGTAAGCTATTATAGGCAAACATACAGTCATCAACAATGAGAATAAACAGCTGCGCCATGATCGCATGATACGCCTGTCGCCTTAAATATTTCTGACATACGGCGCGACATGTGAAAAACCCCTCCCCCTTTTTTTACAAAATACTCAATAACTCAAAAATAAAATTTTGAATCATCACCAAAAAGTATACAGATCTTAAGATTAATATAACTAAGAAGTGTGTAAAGTTTTAAGCAATAATCATAAATTGTATTTGAGATACGGAGCGACATGTGAAAAAAAAACACACACCTGTTTTAGTTACTAAGTCCTGTAACTCAAAAAGTTTTAATCTTATTTTCACAAAAGAGTATACAGATCATTTGACCATCATAAGAAACAACTATGTTAAGTTTCATGAAATTTGGATAAGTCATTCTCAAGTTACGGTGCGACATGTTTATGCCGGATGGACAGACGGACAGACAACATTTGTATACCATAATACGTCCCGTCAAAATTTTGACGGGCGTATAAAAACCCATGCCGTATAGTTGGCTATAAAAGGCCCCACCATGAAAAATATGAAACAATTCAATTGTGAAAACTAACGGCCTAATTTATAACAAAACAATTTACGAAAAACAAATATGACAGACATGAACCAACACCAGTGAACTAAACGCTCATGACTTTATACAGGCTTATACAGAATTTGGGTGGATTCTACTAATTAAGACTTTTATGTGTTCTCTGAATTGCAACCTTATATTTTGAGGAAAAATCACTTTCAAAAATTTCAAACTAGTTCAACAGCCAATTACAGTGCAAAAGAACCCAACATTCTGACAAAATGAATATTTGTCTCCTGTTTCATTTCATTTGTATGTAAAACATATTTTAAATGTCCAGTCCTGCAATTAGATTTAGTCATTAAGACATCACCAGAAACAGAATAGGTAGCAACAGGTAATTGAATATTTATCAGTCAGGGGCATTACTTAAATAAGTAACAATTAAAATTACCTATACAAGTAATGTTGAAAACGAAGCTATTTTAAATATTACTTATATAAGTAACTTTTCTGAATATTATTTTTATAGGTGTCCAATTATACAGATTTTAGTAGCTTTAACAAATTTTCACAGTCATCTGGTTATTTTTCCCATGAAATATAAAATCTAATCCTTCTGAAACACTAATTAACTTTCTGACGCACTTATCTTTCATACTGACGCTTCTGGGTCAAAGATTGGTCTCATGGGACTATTAAATTATCATTTTCCTCCAAAATCTTGAAGGTAGACTGATATAAATAGATAGATACTTGTGAATTAATTAAGACTTGAAGTTATTTATAACTTGTAACCAAAATCAATTACATATGTTCCTTCAATAAGTGTTATTACTATTTTTTTCAAAAATGTATAAAATAACTTATTCAAGTAATATTTTTGTCATTATTTTTAAAGTAACCCTTTATCTCTATACTCCTCTCAAATCTAATAAATTCTTTATTTTATGATATAAAATGATGTAAAAATTCATGAAAACTACATTTAGTCTATGCTTCTATTGAAATTTAAAATAACTCTATTAAGTAATTTTATTATTTTTAAAAACAAAAATTACTTATATAAGTAACTTAAAAAAATAACTTGTTTAAGTAACGCCCCTGACTGTTTATTATCATTTGAAGTTAACTCACCTGAAGGTTCAAAATTGTAATAAAAACATGCAGTATAATAGTTCTTTTCATTTGCACAGAATTTCCATTAACAACCTCTTGCAGGAGTAGTGGGACATACAGTGGTTAATATATTATTTGAGGTACTTTGTTATTGGTAAATCATTTTAAATATAATACTTTTTATGCCAAAGTATGTATGAATGTATGTTGCATAATTTATAGGTCCAATATTTGATAGACCAAGGAGCTAATATAGAGCATGAAGACCTTAATGGAATGAGAGCCTTGGATAGAGCAATTGATAGACGAAATACATCTGTTGTTGTTAGCTTTCTAAGAAAAGGGGCCAAATTAGGCCATACAACATGGGCAGTGGCTGCTGGAAAACCTGATATCATGTTGTTATTGCTCAACAAGCTAATGGAAGATGGAAATATTCTCTATAAGGTATTGTATTCAAAAGTTCACCATAAAATTAGCATGTTTGATACACATGAGATGTTATACAAAGATATATGTATTGTTATATAATTAACTTGCCATTGTTCTCAAGCATAAAAAAATCATGTTAAGAAGAAGTCAAAATATTACTTCGGGAAGATGGAAAAATCTTCTTTTTTTTTTTCCCCTTTCTTGTTTATGCCAGTTTAATGTATGATACAAGCAGATTAATATAGTCAGTAAATACAAATTAAATCATGCACAAAGTTACTTTGACCCTTACCCTTAATATTCAGAAGGGAGGATTCAAGGCTAAAATAATGCTTTCATATAAATGACTAGATATTTCAAAAAATCATCAAGACAACCATGTAGGATAATTTAAATGAAGTCACAACAGAAACCCAAAAGTTGATAAATTGTTTACCCTAACCTAGTGTCATCAGGTATAATGTATTCTGTAATCATTGTAATATTCAAAATCATTAAAGGCTAAAATAATGCTTTCATTTAAATAACTAAATCATAGGCCAAAACATCAAGATAACCAATCAAGATAATTGAAATGGTCACAATAGAAGCCCAAATGTTGATGAGATGTTTAAAGTAACCTATTATCATCAGATTTAAAGTTAACCGTAACATACAAAATCAGAATGCTAAAATAATGCTTTCATTTAAAAGACTAGATATTTACTTAAATCATAGGCCAAAACATCAAAACATTTAAGGTAACTGATGAAAATTCTTCAGAATATTAATCTGAACGAATAATTTCGGAAAAAAGTTTCATGAAAATTGGTTTAAGCATTTTTGAGTTATTATCCTACATGTTGACGACAGACAGACGGACAACGGTATACCATAATACGTCCTGTTAACTTCAAATTTATGGCTTCCATGATAGTACTGTTGATTTTTTAAATCATATTTGAAAGAAAGAACACAGCAAGTCCATATAAGTAATCAATATTCTGACAAAAAAATTATAAATTTCGGTGTTCCACAGGGCTCTATACTTGGTCCCATTTTGTTTGTTTTGTACATAAATGACCTTCCATTATACAATGTATATCAAAAACTGCCATTCAGACTTGTATGCTGATGACACAACTATGCATACATTAGGAAAAAGTATTGCTGATATGCAATTAAAAGTACAAGATGATCTTCAATGTGTTGAAAAATGTTGTCATGAAAATAACATGTTCATAAATTTGGATAAAACCAAATGTATGGTTATAGGTACAAGACAAAGGCTGCGTTTCCATCAAGCAGAACCATTTCTAACTATTGAGAAAAATATTCTTCAAAAATCATCAATTGAAAAACTTTAAGAGTTAGAATTGACTCTAATCTGTCATGGACAGGCCATGTTAATTACTTATGTTCATCAATATCATCTAGACTTCATTTACTCTCTAAGATCAAGAAATTTTTAAATATTGATTCAAAAATAATTATTTTATAATGGTTATATTCTCCCACTGATAGATTATTGTTGTATTATTTGGAGTGGTTGTGCTAAAAATGAGCTAGTAAGAATAATAAAATTGCAGAAAAGGGCTGCAAGACTAATTTTAGATGCTGATCCACTTTCAGCATCAGCACCTCTGTTTAAACAGCTTGGGTGGAAGACAGTAGAAAACAGAATCTCATACCATAAATCTGTTTTGATGCATAAATGCATTAAGAATGAGGCCCCTGTGCATTTAACTGAAAAATTTAAAGAAATGCCAGAAAGTAACCAATATTGTTTGAGGAATACGTTCCAAAAGCCAAAACAGAGCTGTATAAGAAATCTTTTATATATTCAGGATCTATTTTATGGAATAACTTACCAATATCCCTGAAAAATTGCCCTCAAGTACAAGCTCATTCAAAAAAGATTTAAAAAATTACTTCTTGGAACGTTAAGAAGCTGTGTAATTTTATATGCATACCGTTAAATTTTTTTACAAACTTACCTAAACTTTAAATATTGTTGAGGTAATTTGAATGATGCCAATACTATATGAATTCATCATTTTTACTGGTTTTTAAAATTGTATATTTCATAACAATTTCTTATGTGTGTGTTTGTTTGGTTCTTTTGTTAGTCCCCTACCGACGAAGTCAAAGGGGACTTTAGGTTTGCACTTCGTCCGGCTGTCTGTCTGTCTGTCTGTCTGGCAAATCAGTTTTCCAGACTTTTTCTTCGTGTTTGAAGATATTGATTTGATATTTGGTGTATTGTTTTATCTTGACAAGTTACAGGTCAAGTTCAATTTTCACGATTTTAGCTTTTCTCTTTGTTCAGTTAAAGCCCTTTCCCTAGAATTAAATTTTTGATGAAATACTTATTAATTAGTAGATTTCTGTTCAAAGGGAAATAACTCATTTTTTAAAAGACAAAATGACATTTTGGATTTTTTTCCTTTTCTTTGGTAAATTGTATGAAGAATTTAGTGGTAGGTTTGTTGGTCATTCTTGAAGATATTGATTTGATAATTAGTATATAGTTTTATCATGACAAGTTACAGATCAAGTTGGAATTTTGTTCCGGTCTGATGCTTTTGTACAGAGTTAAGGTCTTTGGACATAGAAAATTCACTTAAATAATCAGTTTTCAACAGTTTTTTTCGTCATGTTTGAGGATTTTGATTTGATATTTTTATGTAGTTTACACCATTACAAGTTATAAATCAAGTTAGAATTTCCTTCCATTACAATAAATTTTTAACCGGTAGGGGACTATGTATTGCCATGCAATACTCACAGAATGCTTGTTAATTTTCTGTTTGTTATATTTCAATGTATTTCATGAGGGCCTCAGAGAAGATTAGTTTTATAGCTAACTGTGTAACCCTCTTTAAATAAGAATTATTATTATTATTATTATTATAAAAAATTATGATTTTCCAGTTTTCTGACTGCAACTCAAAATGCTTCGAACAATTTTCATGAAACTTTGGTGATTGGTTTATATCTGTTAGAATAAGCTCCCTTTAGTTTTTTTATAAATTTCTGGTATGACATTGAGGAGTTATGGAGCTTTATTTGTTGAAAAAGTGATGGGCGTATCATGCGCTCATGGCGCAGCATTTTATTAGACTTTGTCATTTACTTCATCATGTTTTTAAAATCTGACAGGAACAATAGTCAGTAACACAAATAGATATCAAGTGGGCACCCACAAACATGTTTAACCACACCACATTTTGTATGTGTCTGATCCAAGTCAGGAGCATGTAATTCAGTGGTTCATTGTTTTGTACATAAATCAGGCCATTTGTTTTCTTGTTTATATTGTTGTTAATTTGTCATTTCGGGACCTTTTAATAGCGGACTATGCAGTATGGGTTTTGCTCATTGTTGAAGGCTGTACGGTGACCTATAGTTGTTATTTTTTATAAGACCGCAAAATTTGCGGTCGTATATTGGTATGACGTTGGCCTCGTCGTCGTCGTTGTAGTCGTCGTCGTTGTCGTCTTCCGAAGACACTTTGGTTTTTCTAGTTTCATGACAATAACTTGTGTGTAAGTATATGGATCTTTCTGAAATTGTACTATAAGGTTCTATATCACAAAGGGAAAGCTGGAATTGAGTTTGGGGGTAATTGCCCAAAACGTTTAGGAATAAGGGGCCAAAAATAAGCATTTTTCTAGTTTCCAGACAATAACTTGTGTTCAAGTGTATGGATCTCTCTGAAATTGTACTGCAAGGTACCATACCACAAAGGGAAGGCTGGGATTGATTTTGGGGGTAATTGCTTCAAAGTTTTAGGAATTAGGGGCCAAAAAAGGGGCCAAAAAACAAATTTTTCTAGTTTCAGGACAATTACTTGTGTGTAAGTGTATGGATCTTTATGAAATTGTACTACAAGGTTCCATATCACAAAGGGAAAGCTGGGTTTGAGTTAGGGGGTAATTGCCCTAAACGTTAAGGAATTTGGGGCCAAAAAACAAGCATTTTTCTAGTTTCCAGACAATAACTGGTGTTCAAGTGTATCATGGATCTCTCTGAAATTGTACTGCAGGTACCATACCACAAAGGGAAGGTTGGGATTGAGTTTGGGGGTGATGAATCAAAAAATTGGGGGGGGGGGGGGATTTTTTTTTCTTTAAAATTTTCCATTTTAAATTGGTTATTTCTGATTTATATATAAAAGCAAATAATAATGATATGGTTTGAAAAGGTAAATTAAAAATTCTTAAGTTCTTAGACCACATTCATTCTGTGTCAGAAACCTGTGCTGTGTCAAATATTTAATCACAATCCAAATTCAGTGCTGTATCAAGCTTGAATGTTGTGTCCATACTTGCCCCAACTGTTCAGGGTTCGACCTCTGCAGTCGTATCAAGCTGCGCCCAGCGGAGCATTTTATTGTCATTTGGTCTCTTGTGGTGTGTTGTCTCGTTGGCAATTAAACCCCATCTTTTTTGGAGACTTAATTTTTCAAAAACAATGAAGAGTTAAAATTTATTTTTTATTTTTTTTCCTATTCAGAAAAACCGTATAAAGGAAGCAGCCCAGAGATACCAGTATGCCTTAAAGAAGTTCCCGCAAGGTGGTGAATGTGATGATACCAAAACATTTAAAGAACTTCGTCTCAATCTACTGCTGAACTTATCCAGGTGTAAACGTAAAGTAAATGTAAGTATAAGTATTTGTATAGAAAATTACATTTGAAATAGAAAATAATACATAGATTCTTCTTAATAGAGTTCTTGCAAATATGAGTCTCTCTTGGTATGACTATCACTAGTTTTGATTTCTTAGTTGATAAGAAAAGTATTTGACAACACCCTGATAGTAAAAATACCATGATATTTGGCCATATTGCACAGAAGGTTTAAATATGGTAAGAGAAGGTGGACGGATTAGTAAAGAAATCATTAGTATCGTTCATGTATAAGCAACTTCCCCAAACAGTTTATTGCCAAGATCCTTTTGAGTAATCACATTATTTCCACATACAGTCAACCTGACCAAACAGTCACACTTTTACTAAATGGTTGAAACCCAAGATCAAAATGAATAATGCATGTTACAATCATAACAAACCCAGGGAAATCAAAACTTATTTCTCTGTGTGCACATATTTGCTCAAATTTTGTTTAAGAAACCTATTTTTTATCAAATTCATTTAAACCAATAAATTCTATTTGTTAACTAGATCAGTGATGTAGCAAGGGTCTGTCTGGAAAGGTTGTGATATAATGGGTATAATGCAACACTAGTTATTTGTCTATTAAGTATACTAAAGTACTCGATTGAGAGAACTTGTCATTCAGAGAGTGGATCTGATGCAAACACTAAAAAAAAATTGTACTATGTAGGCTGTAACATGATATGATGAATTAAACAATATCATTGGCTCAGTCAAGGCTTGAGAGATGCTGGTTTTGGCATGTGACAAATGCATTAAGCTGACAACCAATAAGTCAATACAAAAAAAGACACACCAATGAAGCCATGGTTATACATTTTATTTTAAGATTGATTCACAGGTGGAAAATAGGAAACTGGACACCGAATTATGCGGTCTTAAATAATGCGATAGTTTAATGTTGACTTAACATACTGATAAATGTGAATGTTTTAATAAAATGATGCTAGGTATATGCAAGCAACCTGTCAAAATTGTAAAGGAAATATTTGTTTGAAGAACGGAAGGATGTAATATACCCCTACTCCAGGGTATACTGATAACATATTTACATATAAATGAAAGGGTTGACGTTTTATTTAAGTTTGACGGTTGTTTCGAACAAAAATCATTTATTAACTGAAGTTTTAAAGGCATGCAAAACAAGTAAACTTTAATTTTTGTATTGACAGAAATATACATATCTACTTTAGTGATGCACTGTTCTTTTAATTGACTTTGATGTGAAAATTTTATTGGGTTATAAGATTTGATTGTATCATAGCGTAAAAATGTGTTTTTATGCCCCACCTACTATAGAAGTAGGGGCATTATGTTTTCTGGTCTGTACGTCTGTTCGTTCATCCGTCCGTCCATCTGTCCCTCTTCAGGTTTAAGTTTTTGGTTAAGGTAGTTTTTGATGAAGTTGAAGTCCAATCAACTTTAAACTTGGTACACATGTTCCCTATGATATGATCTTTCTAATTTTAATGCCAAATTAGAGTTTTGACCCCAATTTCACGGTCCACTGAACATAGAAAATGATAGTGCGAGTGGGGCATCAGTGTACTGGGACACATTCTTGTTTTCTTAAATTATAAGTAAAGTAGTAATTGTACACATGACTAATTAATTTACCCGGGTTTATCTCTTCACATTCAGAGTATATCAATCCCCCTCCCCTACATAATCTTTTTCAAAGTTTAGATTTAACTAGTAGGAAAGAGTTCATAAAAAATTGTCATATTTTCCTCAAAATAAATAGTTTAGAAAATTCGGTAAAAATTATTTAAAAATATTTTTTTTACAGATAAACTCAAATAAGATGCAAATTGACATAGAAGGCAAATAATAGAAGTCTGAGGCACATTGAATCACAATGCTGGTATTCAGAGTAATAGTTACTTACTCACACCTGTACATCAAGGTGTAATACCACCATTGATTTTCCCCTATTAGTCTTTGTTAAATTTGCACTTTTCAAAAAATTGTGCAGAATTTATCTTTGTTTCAAATAAAGAAATACTTGGCATGAGTAAAGTTTTATCCTGTCCAGTACTATAGAAAAAATTTCACATAACATTTCATTGCATATAAGAAAAAAACCATCACTGGAAGGTAACCAATCGAATTTTTCCCCTTTTTTACCCTGTGTACAAGCTTTAGTAACCATGTAACCTCAAGTTTCCAAAATATTCTATAGAAATCCCAAATAAAGAAATAATGGTGCTTTGAAGTACCCAAGATATATGTTTATGACTCAGAAATTTTTGACTGCAATGAAATGTAGGATCAATTACCTACAACTGTCAAATTCAAGGGAATATTTTTTTTCGACCTATTTTCGTATGCAACCGGATATGACGTACTATGATTTGGTGGTATTACACCTAAACATAGACTTAACACAAACTAGTTGTCTTAAAACTTTTTTTTTTACCGATAAGAACGAGAAGAGATTGATGGTTGTTTTGTGAAGGTAGATTTGTTCCTCTTAACAGATGAACCTTGGTTATAAACAATGCTACAATATCTGTTCCTGTTGGAATAAATATTTTATCCTTCAGTAACAAATACAGTAGTGTTTCTTCCAGTGGAAATAATATTCTAGAATATTTTTTCCCTTTGGAACTAATATTATAAAGAAACTTCTATTCCATGACAATTTGACTGTGTATTGAAACTGAACACTTTAGATTATGAAACTGTTTAAGGAATTTTTTCTTCATTTCACCTGTTGTCATTTTATGGTCTTTCTCTGAACTCCCTTTCAGCTTTCTTTCCTCTTTACTCTACGGCTTCAACATAGTATAATTTTACTCAATCCTTCACAATGATGTTACTAAATTAAAGGCATGTGGAAATATAGCATTTTTATTTTACAGGACTATGAATGTGCCATAGAACTTGCCACAAAAGCCTTAGACATTAAAGCCAATAGTTTTGAGGCCTTTTATGCTCGAGCACGAGCTAAGAGGGATAATAGGCAAGGTGCTTCAGCCTTGGAGGACTTAAAAGAAGCATTAAAGCTTGCACCAAACAACCGTGAACTTCAAAGACTACTGATGAGAGTTCGTGATGAATGTCGAGATCAAGCTCGATATGAAAACATCCAAGGAAGCCATCAAAGTTTAAATGATCAAGAAAGAAGGAGAGAAGAAACTGCATTATAGGAAAAATAGTGTTTAGTAATAAATGTTCCTTATGATTTTCGAGTTCATAAAGTTTTATTTATTTTTTCAGCAATGTAAGCTTTTCTGATTTAGTTATTGTGTAACAGCATTACCAGCACTGATTCATATCACTTCGGAATATATATCTAAATATCAAAACAGCATCATTAAAACTTGAAGGGGATTAAAAATTAAATAGAAATAAAAAAAAGTTTTAAAACTGTTAAAATTAATGTAAGATTCAATGTCATTTATACGTTCTGATCATTCGATCAGTGCAAATGATAAGTTTCCAGAAAATATGAAATGCATACCTGTCAACTGACCTGTATTTTGTGGGTGTGACCTGTGAATTTATCACCTCACCCAAGATTTGTTTATGGTTCGTCTGGGTCATCAAACTTCTAGGGATTTCAGTATCTTACCCGTTTTCTAGTCCCATGAAACTTTTTAGTTCATATTTTAAAACATTTCCTCTGAAATACTTTAAAATTTGACATTCAATTTGAACTTGATTTACTGTTCAAGATTGTTTAACAACTGCCAAACAATAGTTTGTCACTCCAACTGATGTAAGTCACTAATCTGGTGATTATCATGTCAATTATAGCATCCAGAGGTGTCAAACTCCAAAGGAAATTGCCAAGAAAGTCTAAAAATTGCTGTAGGCAAAAAAGCAATAAATAATCTATGACAAATAGAAGTAAATACATTTTTAAACAATATTAATCTCAAAATGCTAAAATGTTACATCATAGTAATCCCAAACCTGCTTTAAACCATTAAATATCTTTTATAAATGACTTAAAAATATTAAAATGTGCCTAAATCCCCTTAAATGTCCTGTAGATATATAAACTGTCATGGACCTTCTAAAAAACTTTGAATTTTTTATTAATTCCTGCAAACAGTAAGGGGAACAACCCTTAACTATAACAATCTAAAAAGAAACTCTCGACTGTAACAAAACTCAACATTATGAAACTTTTGAACTATAAATCTGAAGTTGTCATAATACAAGGAGTTTGAATTAGTTATTTGATGAATTACTAGAACATTCATAATAGTATGTTACATCAATGTGTCAAAAGTAAAATTCAGCTAAAAAAGTTTGTACATGGAATGATCTGATATATTATTACACAATGCAGGTCATGACCTACATTTTCACTTTCAGTGGTTGACAGGTATGGTAATGTTGTTTTGGTATTAAAATATTACTATCTGAAAAAAAAATCACATAAGTAGGAAGAATAAAGATATTCATGAAAAATTGACATTTGAATAGCACATATAATTTTATAATTTGTTTAGTATGAAAACTGACATATTCTCAGAATCAAAATATGAAACAAATTATGTTTTGTAGTTTCATTCTTTTCTCAAAGTTTTTAGTTTGTTTTTAATAGAGTAAGTAATCCAAGAATTCAAGTATAGAAAAATATTCGATGAGTGACAGAACAACACAATAATTGATGAATGTGCGTTGTGCATAAGTTAATTAATTATCAGTGTTGTTCGTTCACAAGTTGAACATTTTTGATATTTTAATTCTTGGATAAGTTATTCTTTTTATTACATTGACCATGGTAAGATGATGGACTATTAAATTAAAACAAAATAGAAAATGGAAGGAACTATTTCTTCTTCTATGCATTCTAAATTGTTTTGATGCTACGTCATCGACAACGTCGTGACAGCATTTATTGTTGTATGACTTCAGAGGAGTGAAATTATCGATTTTTATTTCACTAAGAAATCACGGTAATTCATTGCAATCAATGTAATAATAACATTATTAATTAGAAGAGAAATCTGAGGATGAGGAGATTCTTATTTTTTTTGTTGAAAAGTTATCGCCTGTAAATATTTCAAACGCTCTACAAATAATAAGTAGACATTTTAGTTCTTGATTTCAATGGTGCAGCTTTATTCAGCTTATTTATTTGTTTTATGTCATAGTGTATTGTTTTATTTAATCTTAAATAAAAAAAATTCAAGATATGTTCATTAATGATTCTTAACAGTTGACAAAATGAGCATGTCAAATCTGAGTTTTTCATTTGGAAAGTCTCTAATACAGAAATGTCAACTTTTCATGTTCATTGTATCACTTTTTAAAATTTTTTTTGTTTATTAATTTATACTCCCTTTGATATTTAAATATGAGCAACTGCCTTACCCAAAAAAATATTTTGTCAAAAGATGTTGTTTACATAGATGTTGATGTGCATGACATATTTTTTGGGGAAGTCTTTTGCTGTTATTTTTAACTCAAAAGGCAATCTTCTATCAAATACCTCAAAAATGACATGGTTAATATAACAGTGACATCACAAATGACATTTCTGCGCAAAAACTAGATTATAATGCTTTCACCAACTTTCATGAAACTTGTAAGGAATATTAAATCTGTCATAGAAATCTCAATTTTGAAATTTTTACAGTTTGTTATTCCAGAGTTTTTCAGTTGAGTATGTATGTTTGAATCAATTTACTTCAAACTTTATATTGTTGTTGGGATTGATGATCTTCAGCTCAGCTGATTATTACTGATTGTTTGATGTCTTTTTTAAGTCAGCATTTTATTAATTTATTTTTAATTGTGTTATGTTAGTTTATTTATATAATTTAAAGGTTTAAAACTTGATTTAAAAAAATATTTTTCTCTCCTCTTCCTTTATTCAGATCTTTTCGAGATCTTATACATATGAAATATTTGTATAATGCACTGGATAGATAAAATTAGATGAAATCTAGTTTTGCTTTCAGTATTTTTTGTCTTTTAAATTTTAATTTTCTTTACATTTTACATCCATCTGACTTTATTATTCATGCCTTACATTGATATTCAGTTATGTAATTGCAAGTTTTACATGTTAGAAAGTTGTATGAAATTATTAAAACAAGGTGTAATTTTTATTGTTAAATCAAGTTATAAATATTGAGAACAAATTTTTAGTGGAAAAATATTTTTCTGTAAGATGAGTATTTTTTGGTCGGAAGTAAAGTTGCTTTGAAACTTGTATCTTGTGTTTGTTATTATACGCCTGTTTACGGGACGTATTATGGTATACCTTTGTCCGTCCGTCCGTCGTCAACATGTCGGACAATAACCCAAAAACACTTTCACCAATTTGCAAAAAACTTTGGTGAATTGATTATATCTATTGACATGAGCTCCCTTTCGATTTTTATAAATTTTATATATTACGTTTCCAAGTTGTGGGGTTTTATTCATTAAATAAATGTGGATAGTACATGTGGACACAGATGATGCCCCCGCTTGCATAGCATATAGTTATAAAGGGACATAACTGAAGAACGGTAAAAGTGACGCTACCCAAATTTGAACTTGATCTGAGTTTTGTAAAAATAAGCATTGTGTGTAAATCTCATAAAATTTGGTTGAGGCAAACTAAAGTTATAAAACGGAAACAAAAAATTTGTACTTGATCTTAGTTTTGTGGTAATGAATATTGTGTATAGGTGTCATAATGTTTGGTTGGGGCAAACTTAAGTTACAGAATGGAAACTAAAAATTTTGCAATCTTTCGATTTGTAAAGGGGCATTACTCAATAATGGTTAAAGTGACACTACCCAAATTCAACTTGATCTGTGTATTATCAGTGGAAGTCAAAATTAAACATTGCATTGTATAAAGCATTGATTGTAGTTGATTCAACTATAATCATGGACAAAGGAAGATAACTCCAATTTTAAAAATTACTTGATATTTAGAAGAAAATAAAATTTTTGCAATTTTTCCATTTATAAAGGGGCATAACTCTAGAACGGTTAAAGTGACGCCACCAAAATTCAAACTTTATCTGTGTTTTGTATTAATAAGTATGTGTATATGTTTCATAAAATTTGGTTGAGGCAAACTTAAGTTAGAGAACGGAAACTAAAAATTTTGCAAATTTTCCATTTATAAAGGGGCATAACTCTAGAACGGTTAAAGTGACGCCACCAAAATTCATACCTGATCTGTGTTTTGTGGTAATAAGCATTGTGTATAAGTTTCATAGCATTTGGTTGAGGCAAACTTAAGTTAGAGAACAGAAACCGATTTTGGGACGTACGTACGTATGTACAGACGGACAGGGGTAAAACTTAATGCCCCCACCGCTACGGCGAGGGGCATAAAAAAAGGGGGATTTTCAAGTTTTCTGACAATAACTCAATGCTTTGAGCAGTTTTCATGAAACTTTGGTGAATCTATTGTCGTAAGCTCACTTTCGATTTTAATAAATTTTAGATTTTACGTTTTCGAGTTATGGGATTTTATTCATAAGAAAGGGGTGATATTCCAGTTTTCGGACAATGTCTTTAAAGTGCTTTGAGCAGTTTTCATGAAACTTTGGCGACTGGTTTATATCTATTAAGATAACCTCCCTTTAGTTTTTCATAAATTTCTGATATGACATTGAGAAGTTATTGAACTTTATTCTTTGAAAAAGCGACAGGTGTATCATGCGCTCAGGCGCAGCTGTTTATTTCATATGCTATAAATAATGAATTAAAAATACATGTACCAGTACTAGCTTAGGTCCATACCTTTACTGTATACAGTTTTGTTAATTTAGCTTTTACAGCCTTCTTCATTTCATTCATTATACCTCAAAATTGTTCACAATAGCTATTGCAGAAATAGTTGCAGAACACTTAATCTCTGCAGTTCAGTTGTAAGTCAGTCGACATAGGCATTTTATCTCCCACAATAGGACTAACTCTTAAACTTTACAAATATTGGGGATAGTTAAAACAAGACTATAACGACTAGCTCTTCTGTCAACAGTTTCTGTGCAATAACTTTTGAATTAATCAACCAATGCTTTCCAAATTTTAATATGTTGCTAATGATGGCAATTAAGAGGGAAAGTTTGATATTGACTCATGTTCAGGAGTTATGGTTCTTGATAGATCAGAATATTTCAGCCTATTCCATGCAATAACTCTTGGAACTGTTCAACCAATGCTTTTACAATTTTAATATGTTACTACTGATGACAATATGGAGGTCAAAACTGATATTGACAATTTTCATTTTCACTGTTCAGGAGTTATGGTTCTTGATAGATTGGAAAATAACACTTTCTGTCTTTTCCATGCAATAACTCATGAACGATTCATCCAATGCTTATATGTTGTTACTGATGACAAAATGGAAGTCAAGTTTGATATTGACTATTTTCACTTTTACCATTCAGGACATGATCCTTTTGATTGATTGGAAATAGGCACAACTTGGCAGGTCAAACAAGCCATCTTTTACTAAAACAGTTGCCGGGGCAACATAAAAAGCCCACAGGCGACCTAAAATTCACTGTTGGTGGCCATTTGGGGAACACAACTTTTTAAACCTGGCTAACGTAAAAAATCTTTTTTTCGGACCCTATCACGCCCATGAGCGGATTTCAAAAAATGTTTCTATTGCCGGATCAGCAATGCGCTTGAAAGTGGGGTGATTATGCCCCCACAGTAGCGGAGGGTGCATTAAGTTTTACCCTTGTCCGTCTGTACGTACGTACGTCCGTACGTCCCAAAATTGGTTTCCATTCTCTAACTTGAGTTTGCCTCAACTAAATGATATGAAACTTATACACAATGCTAATTACTACAAAACACAGATCAAGTTTGAATTTTGGTGGCGTCACTTTAACCGTTCTAGAGTTATGCCCCTTTATAAATGGAAAAATTGCAAAATTTTTAGTTTCCGTTCTCTAACTTAAGTTTGCCTCAACCAAATGTTATGAAACTTATACACAATGCTTATTACCACAAAATAAAGATCAAGTTTGAATTTTGGTGGGGTCACTTTAACCATTCTCGAGTTATACCCCATTATAAATAAAAAAATTGCAAAATTTTTAGTTTCCGTTCTGTAACTTAAGTTTGCCCCAACCAAACATTATGAAAACTATACACAATACTTATTATCTTAAAACTCGTTCTTGAGTTATGTCCCTTTATAATGTTGTATGCAAGCGGGGGCATCATCTGTGTCCATGGGGACACATTCTCCATTTATTTTAAGTGTCAATCATTTTATCAACCAAGACAGCCATTGATACAACAAACTTTGCTAAAAAAAATAAATGTTGAAAATATGAAGACACTTGAAATGATGTGGTCACAATTTTTAAGGCCGAACAGAGACAAATATGTTGGCTATTATTTACTGCTGTAGATGAGACAAAAAGGATTAACTATAAAAAAAAACACCTCAAACATGAGAAAGGGTCTAGGTAAAGTTTTCCTGAATGCTGTTCTGTGGTGTTATTGAGAGATTCTGGTGCACAAAAAAACACAATGCAAGCTGGCCAAAAAAAAGTTAAAAAAATCACTAGTATACCTTCATACCCTATTATTTTAGGGTATGCAACAGGAAATACACTTACTTTTTTTACCTCTGTACACAAGAACCATCAGAAATAAGCTGTTCAAACTTTTTATTAACAACCACCATACATGATCATGCAAGATACTTACTTCAATTCTAGAAAAAGAGATTAATATGCTCTATTAGAGACTTATGACTAGTCATGTTATGCTCTTTCAGAGCAAATTTCTTAGGCGACCTGAAATTACTGCCTGGCCGCTAAAATTGTGAATTGGCCACTGAAATTTTATACCTGGTGGCCAAATGGCAACCTGATTTTTTAACCTACTTTAGAGGGATGAATTACCTTCGAAATATAGAAAACCCTGTTTGCTGTCAATTGAACAGTTTATTTCTTGTCTATTGATGTTATTTGAGTTTGGTATGTGGTATTTCCCTTTGCCACCATACATGTTGGAGGCCAATGTGCACAAATCCCTTCTTACATCAACCAGATGTATTTTGCATTTGTTTCACTTGAAGGGTCTAAATTTAAAAGTTGTCAAATCCTTTTAATTATTTGCAAGTCTATATATCATATTCTTAAAACATTTTTCAATAGTTGTGCAAATTTCCATAAAATCAAATCATTATTTAGTGCTAGATGTTGGTATAGGGCAAATTTTTTGTAAAATTTCGTATAGAAGGACATCTCTTACAATTATGAGCTAATATGTACCCAAAGAAATTTTGCTCTTGCTTAAGAATGTCCTTGTTATATATTTTAAGCTCACCTGGCCCAAAGGCCAAGTGAGCTTTTCTAATCATTTGGCATCCATCATCCATTGTTGTCGTCCGTTAAACTTTTACAAAAATATTCTCCTCTAAAACTACTTGGTCTTATTCAACCAAACTTGGCCACAATCATGATTGGGGTATCTAGATTAGCAAAACCAATATCGGGTCTGGACCAGCATTGCTGCATGCAATGAGTATTACCGGTATGTTCTTATTTGAAAATTTGTCCTCGGTTCTTCTGTTTTGAGAGCACGACTTTCTGATGACCAGATTCCATTCTCATCGTTGGTACATGTATCTGATGCGAGATCGTCTGAAAGATACTCCTTGACCTTGCCCTATCTGTTTGGGGATTTATCTTCCATCTTGATGCATTTATTATGCTTGTGGATTTTCTCTGAGGTCATAACAAATGTCTTTAATTTTATGATGATCCCTGGACTCTGCAGCATGTTTGAATCTAGATATTTCATGGTCTATGTCAGAATTCAAACTGAACTTCGTTCCCAACAAACTTAAATTTATACGAATGTTTTGCATTTAGTTGCTCTGAAACTTTTTCAGATTTACTTGCAGCTTCTTCTTTCAACTTACGCTTAAGAGTTCCTATTCTGCTACCAAAATAGTCCCTAAAAAGGCCTAAAGTGGATTTAGTAACTTCTTTAGCTGTTTGTTGCTCTTCACGAACTACTCCAGATTCTCTACTGGTATTAGAAAAAGTCTCTTCACTTTCAGAATTTTCAGGGCTAGATTGAATATACCAAAACATAAGAAATTCAAACTAGAGGCTCTCAAGAGCCTGTGTCGCTCACCTGTATACACTGATGCTTTGGAAATCATGTAAAATAAGGTTAAAATCATAATTAATAGTATTAGATATTAGATATTATAATGATATCTAAGATAATAACAAAAAACTGCAAAATTTCTGTAAAATTACTAACTCAGGGGCAGCAACCCAACAACGGGTTGTCGGATTCGTCTGAAAATTTCAGGGCAGATAAATCTAAATCTGATGAACATTTTTGCCACCTGTCAGATTTGCTCTAAATGCTTTAGTTTCAGAGATATAAACCAAAAACTGCATTTTACCCCTATGTTCTATTTTTAACCAAGTCGGCCATGATGGTTGGAAGGCAGGGTCATCTGACAAATTTTTTAAACTAGATACCCTAACAATGATTATGGCCAAGTATGGTTAAATTTGTCTCAGTAGTTTCAGAGAAGAAGATTTTTGTAAAAGGTTACAAAAAATTACGAAAAATTGACTATAAAGGGCAATAACTCCTAAAGGGGTCGATTGACAATTTTGGTCATGACGACTTATTTGTAGATCTTACTTTGCTGAACATTATTGCTGTTTACAGTTTATCTCTATCTATAATAATATTCAAGATAATAACCAAAAACTGCAAAAGGAGTAGGTCCGGTAAGGGCCGATTTTGGCCTCAAAATTCAGGTTCATCTGATGAAAGATTTTGGACACTTTTTAAACACTTAAGTGTCTTCTTCAGTCGATTCAATTAGTTTATGTGAAAGATTTGAACTGATTTAGTCATTAAAGACGCTCAAATTCAAGCTTAAATATGAAAAATCTATCAAATATGCCACAATATGTCACTTCAGATGGTTTTTGTAAAAAATGAAAGTGGACGCATCCGTGTTCATTCTCAACCTGTATATATGTTATGTATTATCATCAAATACAACTTACATTTAAATATTAAGAATGAACACAAATGCGGCCACTTCCATTTCAGACGGAAATCATCTAAAAATTAACCAAAATGCTAAAACTTTGAAGATTTCAGTTATTTAGCATGACTTAATGATGCTAGTACCTGATACATGTGCATGGTATTGTCAAAAACATCCCATATTTATGTAACATAAGTATTCTTCTTTCCAATAAATAGCTAAAAACTTACATTTTATCAATTTTGTAAAACTGCTATATTTTGGGGCCAAAAAGGGGTCTTACTGGGCCTACTCCTTCAGATTTGTCTGAAAATTTCAGGGCAGATAGATCTTCACCTTATAATCAGTTTAACCCTATGTCAGATTTACTCTAAATGCTTTGGTTTCAGAGATATAAGCCAAAATCTACATTTTACCCCTATGTTCTATTTTTAGCCATGGCAGCCATCTTAGTTGGTCGGCCTGGTCATCGGACACATTTTTTTAAACTATATACCCTAATGATGATTGTGGCCAAGTTTGGTTAAATTTGGCCCAGTGGTTTCAGAGGAGAAGATTTTTGTAAAAAGCTAACGACGACGATGACGAAGCTTCTAGTACACTGCAATGACTCGAATGACTTAAACTACTATCAAACTACCCATTTCAAACTATTAGCTAACAGGAAGTATATACACAGCAGCTACTACTCAACATCAAGCTGCAGACCAAATATTAAAATTATTCCCTTCAATAGGAGCCAAGAAAAGTTTGATGCAAATATTTCTTGTGTCGCTACATGGTAGATGTAATAAATTGATTCGCCGAGCGCAGCTGGATACGACCGCAGAGGTCCAACCCTGAACAGTTGGGGCAAAAATGGACACAATATTCGGGCTTGATATAGGTCTGAATTTGGATTGTAATTAAATATTTGACACATAATAGGTTTCTGACACAGAATAACTGTAGTCAAAGAACTTAGAATTGGTTATATGACTTGAATTTATATTCCATTTTTTGCTTTTGTGCAATACACTTTGCTGTTGCGAATTGACCCCCCTCCCCCCACAAAAAAAAAAAATAATATTAAAAATATTAATTAAAAATAAATTTAGCCCTCCCTTTTTTTTTGCTTTTGTGCAATACACTATGCTGTTGCATATTGACACCCACCCACCCTTTTTTTTATAAAAAAAAATAATATTTGAAGAATTTTTCTTTTTAATTTCTGAAATCTGAAATGAGAAAAAATTGACCCCCCACAATTTCTTTTTAACCCCCCCCCCCCCCCCCCAAATTTTTGTTTCACCTCCCCCCTTTTTCCTCCCAAAAAAATTCTTTCCCTCAAGATATGGTCATAATCTCAATTCAAATTTCCAATGGAGTTTGCAACCATAATTACCCATTTAAATACATCATAAAAGTCTTAAAATAGAAAATGACATACATAATCATGGCTAAAATTAATATTCCTTAATAGTAACTTCTTAAAATAAATTGATAGCTAATCATCTCAAGACAAAACAACATTTCTTTATACATAATTTAAAAGCAGTGTAAGGGACGTAATCAAAACGTTGTGTTTGGATTACCTCCCTTACACTGCTTTTAAATTGTCTTAAGTAATTGTCCATTAACCAGGAAACCCTTGTTTTCCCCCCTTTTTTGCCCCTAATTCCTAAACGGTTTGAGCCATAACCCCCCCAAAGCAAATCCTAACCATCCCTTTGTAGTATGGAAACTTGTGGTATAATTTCAGAGAGATAAAATACACTGTTCCACAAGTTATTGTCTGGAAACTAGAAAAATGCTTATGTGGGCCCTTTTTTGGCCCCTAATTCCTAAACTGTTAGGACCATAACCCCCAAAATCAATCCCAACCTTCCTTTTGTGGTTATAAACCTTGTGTTTAAATTTCATAGATTTCTATTTAATTATACTAAAGTTATTGTCCGGAAACCTGTCTTCGGACGACGCTGACGACGACAACGTGATACCAATATACCACCGCAAAATTTTTTGCAGTCGTATAAAAATTGCTTACTCTGTACAACTCAACATTATCAACCTGCATACCAAATATTAAATCATTTCCATCAATAGGATCCAAGAAAACTTTCAAGAAAAATTTCCTTGTATAATTAGTGCTGTAAAATTGCAAACTATCGACAAATGGGAAGTGGCTACAGGGCAGATGTAAAACATAAAAATTACTTGCTCGCTACAACTCAACATTATCAAACTGCAGACCAAATATTAATTAATTCGCTTCAATAGGAGTCAAGAAAATTGACAAAAGTTTTCTTTCTGACTGATGGATGGACAAAGTCAAGCAGTTACTTGAACTGCTTCATCCTTTGGCGACACGGATAAAAATGAGTCCAATGAGCCAGCCTGCAGAACTGGCTAAAAATAGAACATAGGGGTAAAATGCAAGTTTTTTTTTCTATAATCTAGAAAACCATTATGAATACAGAAAATCAGTGAGGGTAAACATATGTTTACTATGTTGAGATCTAGCTATTGTCTATTTATATCCAAACTGTCATACAACTTCTTATAGGAGTTAATTCCCTTAAATGATGAATTTTACAATCTGGCTTATTATCTTGAAAATTATAACAAATCGAGAGAACCTTAAACATGAAACTGAACTATTATTACTATAAGTGGTTTTCCTGAAACTGTTTTAGTCACAAACTTTGGAAAAAATTCAAAGTCAAAAGACCATGAATCACTTAAACTGACCTAATCATTAACTTCAGCAATCAAATTATTGATCCAATTGACAGAAACAGCACCTTTTAAGTCTCACCTCCACGACTTCTTTGGAGCAAAAAAAAAATAAAAATTGTGGATTTGATAAATTTATTTTATTATGATGACTGAGAAATACCTAATTCAGTTGATAGCTGTAGCAAACTTAATTAACTTTATTTTGGAAATGGACAACAAAATGAACATCTTGCAAACAATTTTTTTTCTCAAAATTCAGGTCAGTATTTTACAGCAATTACTTTCATCTAGACTTCTAAATAACCTCACTTCAACTGTTGTACTCCCCCTGGTGGACATATTCAAAATAATATGGTCAAATACATCTCAGGACATTTCAACATTACAAAAACACTTAAGTAATAATACTGAGGTGGAGCAAAAAGCATTTGGTGGGAATCTTGAGCAAAAATTATGAATTTATTTAAAACATACTTTACTTTAGGTATACTTTTTAATTCTAAATGCCACATCTCTATTGTACTTTCTAAAATCATGAACAGTATGTTTTCTATAAATTGCATAGATTTCATACATTTTCAGTAGATAAAACATAGCTTTCAAAAGAAAGAGAAATACATTTTTTAAAAAAGAATTTTATAAATAAAATGATTGCTTAAATACTCAAACAACATTTATATAAAATATCAGTAATGCAAAATTACATCTATACCAACCTTAAAGGCAACAATAATATTAGTACATGCTTATTATCTACATCTTAATATATAAACAAGAGTATATTAAAAATATCAAAATGTTATTTACACTATTTACAGGTATTGAGTCATACCATTTTTTAATTTTTATTTTAGGGCACTTAACTTTTATTTTCCACCATTGACCAAGTAATATGATCTCAATGTGCCTAGAATGAATGATATTGAATCACATTTAATGAGACCCTTAAAGATCTGCTGTCAAACAATTAAATGGCAGAAACCTTGTAAAATTCGACCAGAATGCTCCTACCCCTCCCTAACAAGTCTGTAGCCACAGGATTTAATGACAAAAGTTTGGGAAAATATTTACAGTTACTGGTTACATGGACAACATAAGGCCAGTCATAACATTCTGGTAATCATTGCAAATCCCCCCAAAAATGTGTGGGCTTTGGTTCTGTCTAATTGAGCAAATACAGCAAGACTTAGACAATACATTCAACAGAAATCTTTGACTGGCATTTTCATTGCAGTTAATTCTAAACATTTTTATAGTATTTATCTTGACTTTTAATTCTAACTTAATTTATTTCCAACTTAGTTGAAACAAAAGTTGGAAATTTGAATTGGCTTTGATCAAACAGAAAAATTAAAAAAACATAGGTGGCCTGACATTAAATAATTGAAAATACTATCAATACCATCTGTTATAAAATAATCAGAAATTGTACAAAGAATACACATATTCATAAATCAAAATGAAATAAAACAGATATGGAGAACATACAGAGGATTCTCATGGAATGCACATCTCTAAAATATGCACAAAGGCCTATGAAATAATAAAAAAAAAAAGATTATAGGAAGAATTGCCACTAAGACTAGCATACACATTAGGAGGACTAACAGAACAACATCTTTAGCTATTAATAAGGAATCAAAATTAAAAAAGAACAATTTCTGTAAATACTGTGACAAAATCCTTCCTTTCCTAACAAATGATATTTCAAGGAAACCATAAATGACGTTTGTACTATGGGTATATGATTCTCTGGCTATAGTACCAACAAGTGTTAATATCTGTGACACAATTAAGCAACGTAACATTCTATTTCAGAAAAGGAAGCAACTATTACCATTTTGTTTGACAAAAAGAATTATTTTGAATAGATGCTCCTTAGCACAGGTATTATATATGTTTATTGTTCTCAGGTTGATTTTGAATTGAGCATCACTGATAAGTCTTTTGTACACGAAACAAGCAACTGGTGTACAAAATTTTAAGCCTGGTATTTAAGATTAGTTTGTCTTGCCATAGATATAATAGCCATAGATAAAGTACTCAGAATATATCACACTGAGCCCCATGTAGTTTCCTTTGAAATATCAAACGCACGGCACGGCGCGAAGTGGCCTGTGATGTAGATGATATCTGCCGACATCCTCCCAATAGACTAATTTTCTTATCATAATTATATTTAAATTATCGTGCACGCGTCTTATCAGCTGATAATTAATATGCGTTACCTGTCTCAAGTAAAAATATGACGTGAGGCGGTAGCAATGAAAAGCTTCTGGTTGTAAAAATTGTTCGGATTGTAATTTATTTGGAGAAAATCGGTCAACAAATAAAAAGGTTATGCTGTTGTTGAAATAATAAAATAGAGAAATTATGGAAAATGGACTTAACAGGCACGTAAAATTAAATTGCCATAGCACTTTCATCGGTTGCACTCGGGAAATAAGACCTGTATGATTGACAAGAGGAGACATATCAACTACTGATGGTATACGTGGTTAAGAGGTCGAACCTGGTCGAATTTTTCTATGGCGAGTTAAAGACAATTCTTTTTTATCGAGATTCAAACAGTATAATCACATTTTAGACCAGAAAAACAAAATTATTATATTTTAGAACACAAAAAAAGTGTTGAAACTTTCTGTCGTAACAGTAACACGAAGTTTTTTAAAAGTAAAGAGAGAAAAAATGAATAATTATAAATTTTAAAACGCCGTTTGGTGAAGAAAACGTAAGTGGTGGACATACTGAATACATTTAATAATTTTGAAATAGCACAATTATATTGTCTCTGATTTTTTTTCTTTTATATATATAATACTTTTCCGCTTACATTTTTGTTGTTGCTTGTTTTGCAATTAAATAGCGGATGGTTTAATCTGATTGTCGATTTCATTTTTGAAGTAAACAATATATATCCTTCTTAGAATTGTGCTAGGGGTGTTATTCGTACTATAAATATGGCTATATAACCCTCCGTAAGTCTGCCCGTTTAGTTGTCAACGTACTTTTTGTGTACTTTATTTTTATAACTTCTTTGGTTTGGTATGAAACTAGTTGTGTATTTTCTATTACTGTGATTTATTATATGATCGTTGAATTCACAACATTCGGTGGAAAATATTTGATGAATATTCAGGACTTATAAGAACAATGTAATTATACATCGATCACCTAGACTTGTATTTTAAGCACGTATATAAACATTAAAAAAAAAAAGATGTACCGGAAGATAACGATAACTACTGAACTTGTCCGAAGAATGACATATTACTCTCCCGATTCACAATTTATTAGATATCGATAGACGGCAATTGCCAATGAAGGCTAATTAACACCAAGCGTGACATGTATATAATAAGAGGGTGATAAAATTTCGGCAAATATCATCTGCTTTTGATGTGGGTTCAGTACTTTATCTATGGCTATTATATCTATGGTCTTGCATACATTATCACATACCATCATGCAGTTCAAAAATTTTGACTGTAGATTTTTTTTACTTATAATAGGATTTCTGTTCAAATCTTGTTAGATTCACAGTTGGAAGAATGGAGACAACAGTCTTCTAATAATGGACTTCTTATAAAAAAATATACATTTTGATGTCTAGTTTAAAACTATCAATAAAAATAAATATAGATAAAGGTTGAATTTGGATAACCTCCATCTAATTAAGCTTGCATATTGTTGCTACGGTTTTCTTTTTTTAAAGTTTAATTTATAAACAACATTACAAAGAACATTACATTCCCTTTTCTCAAAACACACAACACTGAAGAGTTATACATTTCAATTTAAATAAATAAAAACATTGAATGGAAGGAATTCAAAATAATAATGAAAAAAAACCCCAACTTTTTTTTTATGAAATTTCTATTTTTAGTCTTGAAATGGAAACAAAAATAAACACTCAAGTGCTAAATGTAAAGCATAATAAGTATATTCATTGTCTAACGCATGTTCACAACATCCATATATAATGGCACAAATAAAACTATGACACTTTCCTGCTAAGGTTTAAAGGCACTGTGTAACAAATAAAAAGAACATTTATATTTATAATATATAACCTAACTTAAATTACAACAACTTCCAACCTTGTTATTTCTAATGAAGTATTCTTAATAATAGGTAATGGTTAGTTAATGAAAAGGTATATGCTATGAAATTTAGAGTGAGGGGCTTTGCCCTAAGCACTTAATTTCATAGTATATACCTTTCCTTTGACTATCCAGTTTAGCACATATTCACAACTCGATTAATCTTTTAATTGGTCTATTGATATTTTATTTTGCTGACAACTTGTTTCACAGGTGGTAAAAGGAAGCTCATTAACTAAGTATTTTGTTATGTAAATTTACTTTTTGACAATGATTTGCCAGATATTGAGTTCATACATACAGCTAAAATAATAATAAAAAATAAGGGATTTTAAAAGACTTCGACAGAAATGTGTTTACATAAGAATTATTTCATTTACGCTAGAAACTGGATTCAACAGTACATATTACATTTCCATTTCAGTCAATTTAAGAACAGTAGAGATTCAAAAGTATTACAAAGGGTGAAAATATCATATAAAATAAGTATAAAATTTTTCAAATATATTACCAAACTGCAAGTAACACACTATATCTAACATTACACTACTCTTAAGGGCATACAATACAGTTACAGGGGAGATAATGACGTTGCTAATATAAAATGTAATTTTTGCGACGTCAAACTGCGACATATCGGGAAAAGATGCATTTTTCGAGTGGTTTTAATCAATAGCTTGAAAACGAGTACATGGACCTTTTTTTTTTTAAATGACATTTGACTTGATACTGTATGAAGATTATTTGTTCCAATTTTTATGAAGAAATCACCAATGTCATTTTTTTAAATTAGATAAATATACAGCAAAAACAGGCGTTTTTTTCTAAAATCAAGAAAATTTAATAAAAATGAATTTATTTACAAAGAATTGATAGAAAATTAAGATCCAACTTTTGTAAGGAAGATATTCCAAATCTTTTTTCAAATATCCACATGTATTTATCTTTTGAAACAAAAAAGGTAAGTATGTCTGTCCAAAGAAAAGAAATGTTCAAGAAACCGAAATTTTAATTAAATGTATTTATCTCTAAATTTAGCGCATGAAGGTATATTTTACATTGCACTTTGAATTGATTAGGTAAACTATAGTTTGTTTGCAAATTTTCGTAAAAAAATCACTGTGGGATCAAAACTGTATCGTATCCCCTTAATTTGAGAAAATTTTTAAGGTTACAAAATTGTGATTAAAAATCAAAAACATAATATTCCTATAATCTTATGTAGCTCAGCAAACTAAAAATACTACATTTACATAATGGAAGACTAGAATATATAAAATATATAAATATACGACTGGATTACTCATGATAGTAAATGATTTACAGTTAAAAATATTTCACTAGAAACTTGGTTCACCTTGTTTGAAAATAATTTATCATTCCCAATCACAGCACTGTTTTGGTAAAACTTAACATGTTTCACACATTATTGTTATCAGACAACCCTTACACGTTTTAACAGTTTTACCTGGATTAGAAACCAAGAAAAAATCTTCGGAAAACTTTCAAATTGAAAAACATTAGTTAATAGTTATTATATAACAACTGTCAAAATCGGAATATGAAAAATGTTCATGTGAATAAACACCAAAATAGTTCATAAATGTGATTAGGAAATGGAATTTTCAGTGTTATTCTGTTTATTAAATAAATTGATATTTTGTAAAATATTGTTGAACTTTAAGAGCAAAAATTCTCTTCTTTTGTATGATCTCATATTTTGCCACTGTGATGATGTTGATGGTAGCATTTTAAATGGCTTCACATTAGATATTAAAAGCTGTTGAGTCGATGAAAAACCACTACATTTCTGTAGATATTACAGTATTTTGATGCTATCAATGTATATATATATAATGTCTTCTAAGTCAGTTATCAATTCTATCACGCTTAACCAGTACAGTTCTTAACTTTGCACCAACATGTTATCTATACATACGAATACATATCATATATAAAAATACATAATGCTGATAATATTAGCATGATAAGCTTGAAGCATTGCATATGTTTAAATAAATATTTGGCTGACTAATAATACTGTAAATTCAGAAATTATTGTGAAAAATGCAAAAGTATCAGGCTCGCAATTATAAAAACTTTCATTCATAATTTCAGTACTGATTTTCCTTCATAAAACTTTTGCAATCGCATATATAAGATTTCTCTTTTTTGCCAGTCGTCAAGGATTCACAACAATAAATGCACGCTTTAATTACTGAATTTACAGTGTTTTGTTCCAAAACAAACATCTCTGAATGAACAAATGTTTCAAAATGTATTCTAGAACTGGTGTCTAGCTGTTACAATTGAATGAATATTACAATCACAGAAACTGCTTACACAACTAAGGATGTCATCAATTCTCACCTCACTTTCAACTATACAAACAAGTAAGTGAAAAATATTGTATTCATCCTTGTTTATTTGATGTCTGCACACATTCTTTTTCTTTACTTTCCAGCATATGTTGGATTTTTATAAGTTGATGTAGCTGGTTTATATACTGGATTTTCACCCTGGAAATAAAATTTACTCAAGAAATAATATATTACCCCTATTTTCGATTTTCATCAGTGACAATGTTTTTTAATAGATCAAATCCCTGGATACAGTTATTTAACTACAATCCCTAAGTAAAATTCATGCAAAGTTTAGAAACATCATGCCAAGTTGTTTCAAAAGAGAAGATTTTTTTTAAAGTTAAGGCAACCGACGAAAAGTAATGGCAAAAGCTCACATGGCCTTGCAGGATAATTTTTGGAATTTGTTTTGGTTTGTATGAAATATATGTATGCAGTAAAATGCTCTTTTTTTTTTAACTTTAACGTATGCCAAATTGCTAAATTACTGTGGTACCCAATCTTTTATGTAAATGTTAATGTAAAAGCTGTTTCTTACAGTGTGAGTTGTTAGGTCTTACATTGCTAATATTTTGTCAGACTAATGTTTTATTATATTTTCCATATTTTTTAGATTTTTAATTTCAGGAAGATCAGATTGTTTGACCTATTCAAATTCTTCATTGTTTATCACAAAATGAATTCAAAAAAGGTGAATGTATAATAGAAATAATTTGACAATCTATAAGTAACCCAACAAGCATTTGAGTACCTAGAAGATTGGTCACATTTTAGTTTTTGGCATCTTAACCAAATAAAATATTCAACTTACGGTGTCCCATTTGGCATCTTTAGTCTCCTTTTCAAATCGAGCCAATTCTCTCCTGTCATTGATTGTAGTGACCAATTTCCATATGAGTAGAAGTGCAAGACCAACTAGAACAATACCAATCACAACACCCAAGACTATGGCTAAAACATTCACTTTGGTTGGACATTCTGTAATATGAATTATCATTGAAATGGTTATAATATATAATAACTGATTATAAAACTTTGAATTTTCCAAAATACTAATAATTTTCTACCCCAGGAATAGTTTACCTTAGCTGTATTTGACAAAACCTTTCGGAATTTGGGGTCCTAAATGCTCTTCAACTTCGTACTTTATTTGGCATTTTAATTTTTTTTATTGGAACATCACAGACGAGTCTTTTGTAGATGAAACGCTCATCATCTGGCGTACAAAATTTTAGTCCTGGTTTTTATGATGAGTTTATATATCAACAATATTGTTCTCTAAATTTTAATTGGTGGCTTTATATATAAATTTTCATAAAGTTTCCATGAAACTGTTTCTCTCCAATGACTGCTGGTTGACTAACTAAGAACTAAGTCCAATTATCCGTATAATACAGTAAAATGAAGAAGAAAAAAACTATAGAACTTTTGCCCAGTTTGCTATCTCTTGATATGAAGAAGCTTCTGACCAAGTTTTTAAAATTCCATAATGGTTTGACAAAGTTGTGTCTTAAAAACTTTTACCCTAGGATTTGAAAACATTCAATATGTTAAATGATCTTATTTCTTTTTTTGTCAGAAAATCAAATATTGACACAGAGAAATGTCTTGCTTTTTTGTAATTTTGATTTTATAATGCAAATTTTGAATTACAAATGGCAATATTAAAAGATTTAAACTATGCAAAACATTCAAAGTCAATGATCCATGACTGAAGGTGCAAGGTAAAATAACCTCCATTGAAATGAGAAATACCAATGCTTAAATAACTAAATACCAAATACTATTGACAAGTGGTTCCCTTTAAACTAACCTATCTTGTAAACTTTGCAAACGATTCAAAGTCAATGAACTATGATGAGGGGACAGGGCCATATATTCTCCATGGAAATGAGACTTGCAAATGCTAATACAACTGCATACCAAATATTGATGACTTAACATAAGTGGTTCTTCTTAAACTGATCTTATCACAAACTTTAACATGTAAACTATGCAAAACATTCAAAGTCAATAGACAATGACTAAAGGGGCAATGCCAAAAAATCTATAGGGAAATGAGACGTGTCAATGCCAATACATCTGCATATCAAATATCAATGAACTACTACCGGTGGATCTAATTAAATTGAACTAATAATCACAATCTAATATATGTTAACTAAGCAAATGTTTCAAAGTCAATACACAATAAAATGCTTCGCTGGGGCGCAGCTTGATACTACCGCAGAGGTCGAACCCTGAACAGTTGGGGCAAGTATGGACACAAAATTCAAGCTTGATACAGCTATGACTTTGGATTGTCATTAAATATTTGACACAGCATAGGTTTCTGACACAGGATGAATGTGGTGTAAGAACTGGAAAAAATTTAACTTACCTATTATGGTGGAATATCCATAAACTAAATTGTTTGTTAATTTCAATATATCAAAGAATATGTAGAATTCAATGTTTGATGTAATGTAATAAAGTTGAAATTTGGACCGTTTTTGTTCAATTTGGACCAATTTGGTAACATGTATAAATAATCAAAAATCTAAATACATGGGAGCCCATTTAAATACATCATAAAGGTATTAAAATAGAAAGTGACATCATAGTCATGGCTAAAAATAAACAAAAATCCTTAATCAGCAACATTTAAAGTAATATCTAAAAATTAAATTCCTTTGTAACCATAAAAGCCCATTTAAATACATCATAAAGATATTAAAATAGAAAATGACATCATAGTCATGGCTAAACATAGCAAAAAACCCTTAATCAGCATCATTTAACAGTAATATCTAAAAATGGAAATTACATCATAAAGGTATTAAAATAGAAAATGACATCATAGTCATGGCTAAAAATAAACAAAATCCTTAATCAGCATCAGCAACATTTTATAGTAATATCTAAAAATAAAATTCCTTTGTAACCATAAAAGCCCATTTAAATACATCATAACAGATATTAAAATAGAAAATGACATCATAGTCATGGCTAAACATAGCAAAAACCTTAATCAGCATCATTTAACAGTAATATCTAAAAATAAAAATTTCTTTGCAACCATAAAAGTAAAATAGAAAATGACATCATAATCATAGCTAAAAATAAAAAAAATTTTTTTTTATTGGCAAATTTTAAATGGAGTTTATTATACTAAAACAATAAATTTGCAACCATAAACATGATAAAACCCCATTTAAACACATCATAAAAGTATTAAATAATTCAACTACATCATAAGGCTATAAAAATAGAAAATGACTTCATAGTCAAGGCTAAAGGTAAACAAAAAACCTTCATCAGCAAAATTTTATATTGGCAAATTTCCAAGATGTTTATTACACTAAAATTGTTGGCAAATTTCCAATGCATTTATTAACAATAAAGTTATTGGCAAATTTCCAATTTACATAATTTAAAAGCAGTGTAGATGAGATATTTAAATGAGTTTGAATTACCAACCTTACACTGCTTTTAAATAAATATAATGTTCTTTACTCAATTATTTGTCTATTAAAATGGAAACCCTTGTTTTTTAACCTTTTTTCCACTTATTCCTTAAACATTAGAGCCATAACCCCCCCCCCCCCCCCAAAGCCAATTATTACTTTCCAATGTAACCTAAATTTCCAATATACATAATTTTAAATTTCAGTTCCTCATGATATATAACCGTATCATTATTATTTTCTTTCATATATAAATCTGAAACAACCATCTTTAAATGGAAAATTTTAAAGAAAAAAAAAGGAAAAAAAAAAATCCTACCCCCCACACATTTTTTCAACCCCCTTTTGATTCATCATCCCCCACCTCAATCACAACCTTCAATTTGTGGTATGGTACATTGCAATACAATTTCACAGAGATCCATACACTTGAACACAAGTTTTTGTTGCAAACTAAAAAAATCCTTATTTTCGACCAATATTTGGCCCCTTATTCATAAATGTTTGAGCAATTAACCCCAAAACTCAATTCCTACTTTCTCTTCGTGATAAAAAATAACCAACTTAAAATGTAAATTTTAAACAAAAAAAAAAGGAAAAAAAAAATTACCCCTTTTTTGACCCCCGCCCCCCTTATGATTCATCACCCCCACCCCCCTTTCCCCCCAAACCAAGCTCAATAACAGCCTTGCCTTTGTGGTATGGTACCTTGTAATACAATTTTATAGAGATCCATACACTTGAACACAAGTTATTGTCTAGAAACTAAAAAATGCTTATTTTAAACCCCTTTTTAGGCCCCTTATTACTAAACGTTTTGGGCAATTACCACAACACTCAATTCCAGCTTTCCCTTTGTGAAATGGAACCTTGTAGTAAAATTTCAGAAAGATCCATACACTTACACACAAGTTATTGTCATGAAACTAGAAAAATGCTTGTTTTTTGCCCCCTTTTGGCCCCTTATTCCTAAAATTTTGAGGCAATTACCCCCAAAATCAATCCCAGCATTGACCCTTTGTGATATGGAATCTTGTGGTACAATGTCAAAGAGATCCATATGCTAACACACAAGTTATGTCTGGAAGTTACAAAAATGCTTATTTTCGGCCCCTTTTTGGCCCCTAATTCCTTAACTGTTGGTACCATAACCCCTAAAATCAATCCCCACCTTCCTATTGTGGTATTGAACCTTATGGTAAAATTTCATAGAGATCCATTCACTTAAACTAAAGTTAGAGTGCGAAAACCATTGTGTATTCGGACGACGACGACGACGCCAACGTCATACCAATATACGACCTCAAAATTTTTTTTGCGGTCGTATAATGACTGAGGGGGCGGCCAAAAGTCTCTACATCAGTGAGATGTGCCAATGCTCTTATAACTGCATACCAAATATTATTGACCTACCACTAGTACTTACCCATAACCTGACCTTATCACAAACTAATACATTGTCGACCAATGCTGCAGCCAGAAACAGCATGCCTAAGTCTTGGTTTTTCAACTTCGTCTAGCTGAGACAAAAACTTATTCCTCATTCTGTGATGTAGTACTATGTACATAGTAAAATGTACATTTTGAGATGTATTCATGTTGTCTGTGTATATTTCAATGTATGTTCTGTGATACAGTTGTCTGTGTATATTTCAATGTATGTTCTGTGATACAGTTGTCTGTGTATATTTCAATGTATGTTCTGTAAATACAGAACTATTGTCCTTGTATATTTCAATGTATGTTCTGTAATACAGAACTATTGTCTGTGTATATTTCAATGTATGTTCTGTGATACAGTACTGTTATCTGTGTATAATTCAATGTATGTTCTGTAAATACAGAACTATTGTCCTTGTATATTTCAATGTATGTTCTGTAATACAGAACTATTGTCTGTGTATATTTTAATGTATGTTCTGTGATACAGTACAGTTATCTGTGTATATTTCAATGTATGTTCTGTAATACAGTACTATTGTCTGTGTATATTTCAATGTATGTTCTGTAATACATATAGATTCTACCACTGCATCGAGTGTGATACAATATTTATCCACTCGAGACAGTTAAATGTTCAAATTTAAAACGCGAGGCTTGCCGAGCGTTTTAAATATTTAATATTTCACTGTCGAGAGTGGATAAATATCGTATCACACGAGATTTGGTGGTGGAATCTGTTTCTCTAATGATTTTCAAACAATATGCAGGCAAGCTTATTCCTTTCTTTTTGAATGATCTGCAAAAAGATGTGTTCTTTCTATGTGATATCATCCGGCATGGTCGCCTTTTTTCATGTCGTCACAATAGGAAATTCAGAGGAAAGCAAGAAAATTCGACGTCATAATCGGATTTTAACCAATGAAGAACTGAGATCAAACGAACCACACGTTGATTAAATTTTTTTATACAATGGGTGCAGAAAGTGATAAATTGACGAAGAATTAGAGAAAGTACTGTTATCTGTGTATATTTCAATGTATGTTCTGTAATACAGAACTATTGTCTGTGTATATTTCAATGTATGTTCTGTAATACAGTACTGTTATCTGTGTATATTTCAATGTATGTTCTGTAATACAGTACTGTTATCTGTGTATATTTCAATGTATGTTCTGTAATACAGAACTATTGTCCGTGTATATTTCAATGTATGTTCTGTAATACAGAACTATTGTCTGTGTAAATTTCAATGTATGTTCTGTAATACAGTACTGTTATCTGTGTATATTTCAATGTATGTTCTGTAATACAGAACTATTGTCCGTGTGTATTTCAATGTATGTTCTGTAATACAGTACTGTTATCTGTGTATATTTCAATGTATGTTCTGTAATACAGAACTATTGTCCGTGTATATTTCAATGTATGTTCTGTAATACAGTACTGTTATCTGTGTATATTTCAATGTATGTTCTGTAATACAGAACTATTGTCCGTGTATATTTCAATGTATGTTCTGTAATACAGTACTGTTATCTGTGTATATTTCAATGTATGTTCTGTAATACAGAACTATTGTCCGTGTACTGTAAATTCAGAAATTATTGCGTGCATTTATTATTGCGATTTTGTCATTTTTGACTAAAATGCGATTTTAATTTTTGCTATATTGAGAAAAATCCTGTTTAATTCATATAAAAATTTCAAAATGCCAGTTTAAATTATTGCGATTATAACCCTGTCGCATTTTTCGCAATAATAAAAACATCGCAATAATTTCTTAATTTACAGTATATTTCAATGTATGTTCTGTGATACAGTACTATTGTCTGTGTATATTTTAATGTATGTTCTGTGATACAGTTGTCTGTGTATATTTCAATGTATGTTTTGTAATACAGAACTGTTGTCTGTGTATATTTCAATGTATGTTCTGTGATACAGTAATATTGTCTGTGAATATTTTAATGTATGTTCTGTGATACAGTTGTCTGTGTATATTTCAATGTAAATTCTGTAATACAGTACTGTTAGCTGTGTACTTATTCAAATGTACATTTTGTTTTACAGTATTCTGTGATTGTCTATATTTCAATGGTCATTGTGTACACTATGTGAATCAGTACTGTTGGCTGTATATAACTCCATGAATAATACAATGTACATTATGTGATGTAGTATTGTCGGCTGTGAATAATTCAATGTACATTATGTGATGCAGTACTGTTGGCTATGGTTAATTCAATATACATAATGTGATGTAGTACTGTTGGCTGCGAATAGTTCTATGTACATTATGTAATGTGATGTAGTTCTGGTTGTGTTAAATTAAATGTGCATGATGTGATGTAGTACTGTAGGTTGTGTATTGGTCAATGTACTTATATGACATAGTTCTGTTGACTGTGTATAGTTCAATGTGCATTACGGATGTAGTACTGTAGGATGTCACTTTCAGTGTACTTTCAATGCACTCTAGTTGAATTTTTACCGTAAATGTAGATGTATTTAATATCATACTTTATTCTTGAAGTAATAAAATAATAAATGTGTGCCAATCTTCATTTTTGTAAACCCTAGTTCATTTATCCCCCCCCCCCCCCCCCCCCCCCCCCCTCAAAAATTTTACAGAAGTCCTTTTCATCTTTCCATATATGGGTTGCATTCCTAGTAGACACACAATATATTTTCTAAGATATAAGACAACTGACCTTTTGTTTCCTGTGCAATAATCTTCAATGCATTATTATTATCATAGTCATATGTGAAATAAAATATACAATCATCTTCATCCTTAAACTCACAGGTGTTGTAACCCTCTGAAAAAAAAGGGAATGAATGTAAACATTTGACTCAACTTGTTTATATTTTTGTTGACTTCTCGATATGTAAAACTAGAATCCAATAACATCAAGGTACTGAGCTAGGTAAAAATGTAAATCATATTGATGTTATTTTGACTTATCAACATTATCGAAATGAAAGTCAGATGATTTTACTTTCTTCATTCTACTTTTTAAAATTTTTTAACAATTGGCAATACTTAAACAAACAGCCATTTACAAAAGTTTAGTTTTCAGTTGAAAGTTTTCAAAAATAAACTTGTGAATTTTCCAAACAGATGTTAAAACTTATTATTTCTAACCTCTGTTAGAGGGTTATTATCCCTAGAATCTAGACCTGTAAAATATACATGCAGATTTTTTACACCTTCTATTTATCTTTGTTCATTGAGGAACACCAAGCAGTGTCTTTACACCAGAAACTCAATTTCAATTACCTTAGTCTCAGAACAATTCAAAATGATCAAGAAATAAAAATTAACAAACAAGAGTACACACGCCGAGATTTTTCCATTTGTAACGGGGCATAACTCTAGAAAGGTAAAAGTGACGCCACCCAAATTCAAACTTGATCTGTGTTTTGTGGTAATAAGTTTTGTAACATTTGGTTGAGGCAAACTTAAGTTAGAGAACGGATACGAAAAATTTAGCAATTTTTCCATTTGTAAAGGGACATAACTCTAGAAAGATAAAAGTGACGCATTCAAATTCAAACTTGATCTAAGTTTTGTGGTAATAAGCATTGTGTATAAGTTTGATAACATTTGGTTGAGGCAAACTAAAGTTAAGATCGGAAACCAGTTTCAGGTTGTACGTATGGATGTACAGATGGACAAGGGTAAAACTTAATGCCCCCTCCACTACGGCGGGGGCATAAAAACTGTAATTGTACAAAGAAATAAATAAGAGGCGAAAATTCATTTACTTTTATTTTAATAATTAGAGAACATTACATTCGGATACATCGATCTAAGACCAGAATATCGATCCCCTTCAAAAATTAATCAGGATTTACTGTGGATTCATTTATTTTCTTGGGTACCAATTTTCGTGGATTAAGGAAAACTTGCATGTTCATGGATATTTAATTTCATGGTTTTGCCGAAGTCTGCATACAAGCCTATAGAAAATTTGTTATTCGTTGAACATTTAATTTCGTGGTTCATCTGTACCCACGAAAGCCACAAAAATTGGTATCCAACGAATAATAATGAATCCACAGTATTTTAGCCTTACTATGCTAAGCAAGAGTTGTATCCCTTGGTCTGTCAAACTTCCAGTATTCGTTGGAGTCGAACAATGGGTATCTCAAAATATTTCTGTAGTCCTACTGACTTCGAGATAACGAGAGAAAACTGTATCTGAGAAACAGACTTAATTACAAAAATTGACCAATAAACTATTATAATGAAGTCAAGGTTAGATGAACCTTGCTGATAACATGTACATCACGCAATCATTGCATACACCAAATATATTTGACCTATTGTATGAAGTATTCGAGAAACAGACTTGACCACAAAAACTTTACCTTGACTGTTGATCCATAAAATGAGGTAGGTTAGACAAAAATGTCTAAATCATGTCAGTGACAATAAAACTGGCTTCTGTGGCAACATTTAATATTACTATAAGAAAGGAGAATAAACAATAAACTGTTGACACAGAGATGTCTCTCCTGTATATAATTTGATAGTAAAATGTAAATGTTAAAATGAAAATAGCAATACTTTAACACATGTTTAACATGTAAATTATGCAAAAGAACCATGACTGACGAAACAGAGTCAAATAATTTCTGAGATAAAAGATATGCTAATGCTAATACACTGCATATTAAATATCATTTACTTATCATACCTGGTTCCCCTTAAACTAACTAATCACAAACTTGAACATGTAGACTATTCAAAAGTTTCAAAGCCAATAGACCATGAATGGGGATGGTTGGCCAAATAATCTCCATGAAAATGAGATGTGCCAATGCTTATACAACTGCATACCAAATATCATTGATTTATCATAAACTTGAACAAATTGTTGATGCCGCCACTGATGCCTCCACACTCCTAGAAACAAAATACCTAAGTCTCACTTTTTTACTCTGTCAAGGTGAGACATACGTTGCATCAATGCCTCATTTGACACACATGGTTACTCCTATACTTACATGTAAAACTGTAGGAAAATAATATATACCTGGTAAAGAAGGTTTCTTTAAAATGTTACGATCCCCACAATTTTCATCACAGCTATCCTTATATTCACCAGTATGGTGGACCACACACTGTACACAGGCTTTGTTCTGTCGACAAACCATTTTACAGTCCTGGAAAAATAAACAATATTGTACCCAAGTAGCTTAGAAAGGTACTGACACACTTGGTACCATACCCCTCATGAAAATCATAATTATAAGGAAATGTGGCATAATTCATGGTTAACTATCCATTTAGGATCAAAACATATATCTTATAGTAAGCTATAAAAGGCCCTGGGATGACAAATTGTGAAACAATTGATAAGAGGAAGAAAAAAGCCTGAATTATTTAACAATAAACCAAAAACAACTACTGGCTTCTATTAGCCACATAAAAATAAAAAAAGATGGGGATTATCTGTGCGGAGTGTAATGTCCATATGTTTGTCTTTTATCTTTGCCTTTGAAAAGACTTCAGCATAAACCCAACATCAGTTCTACTTCATGGTTGAACGATAACATATAGTTGCGACTTTGACTGTCAACCTTTCTCAAAAAAATACTTTTGGGTGGTGGGCTACATTAATACTATGTCTGGTCATTTATATCCTACATGGGATCGCCGCGATATAGGCTTTTTGTGCTTATGCGGTGTAAAGCAATCACCAATCAATCAATCCTACATGGGATTCAAATGTTAGGAGTCAGACAGACATAAAGAGACGATATATACCCCATGAAATTTGTTCACAGGAGGAACTAGACATCATTGAGATGGGAGCCATCTCTGTTGGCCCCGCTGTAAATAATGTGTGGTAAAAAGATAATGGGGTTGTCAACTGAAACCAAAGTTTTTGACCTTGAACTTTGACCTAGGAAGTTGTACAAATATTATGACACACCCTCTGGTGTTGGTTAATATACATGTCAAGTATAAAGTACGAAATTATAATGCTTCTCTAGATATAAAGCGGACACAATTTGTTAGAAACGGACGGACAGATTGATCACTATAGGGCGACCTGCCACTAGGCGGGGCCCTAATTAAAATAATATATACCTTACAATCCTCACAAGTGGTGCCTTGGTATTTAGACTTTTTTAGACATACACATCTATTGCATTCACATTTTCCTCTTTCTGGACCACCACATAAGGTTTTCTGTAACAAATGACACATGCTGATTTCAAAATATAAACAATTGTAAAAATTCAAGTAAAACAACTTTGAAACTGTTCATATCCTTAAAATGTAAGTATATTATTCAACAAACTATAGTCTGTCAATTTATAAAAGATTTGTCCTTCTTTACATCACAAGACAAATTTCTAGTCCTCCTCATATACTAATATTATCAGACTTTGAATGCCATTAGCCAACAAATTGAAATTTATCTTAGAAACTATGTTAATGTTACTTTTGGTTTAACTTAAATCAGTGAAAATAAAAGTAATCAATATCTTCTTAAAATATAATTAACCTTTTGCTTATAGTATTTGATAAACAGACGAAACCATGAAAACTTTAAACTGACCGATGAACCATGACAGGAGATGGATGAAAACTGCCAGACTGTCATGTACACCTTACATTTAATCCATACAACACATATAGTTGACCCTGCTTATAGTAGATGTAGTATCTGAGAAAAGGACTTTAACCTTTGTTACTGATCCATGAAATGAGGTGCAATCAGGTGAACCCTGTCTGACAGACATGCAAAACTTGCAAGGAGCCCATATACCAAATAGTGTTATCTTATTACTCATAATAATTGAGAAATTCACATGACAAAACAAGAGTGCACACGCTGAAATGTTTGCCTGTTTTACTCATTGAAGAGATTGTTCTCATTCTCTATTAAAATAATAGTTTATTCGAATCAACCAAGTTCCACTCACCAGAGTTAGAAATGTCTTGAACAAATGGTAATTCTGCCGGGGGGTCTGACAAAATATGTGGACTTATCTGAGTTTCCGACAAAACCAAGTTTGACACAACAATGTTAGACTGTATTAGTTTCATGTCACATGCATGAGTCATTGGTAAAATAAAAACAACATATCTATCAGATTGTTACAAGTTGTATATTTTTAGAAAAGCAAATCATACATGTAGCCTTTGTTATGCATCGACATTGTGTTGTTACTGAGAAATTAGTTTTCTGCAAAAACAGAATAAAATAGCAATCTGAAGTTAACCTAGACAATCTTGTTTTCTTTGTACAGAAATCAATGTTGTATATAAATTACAGTAACTTATAAGATATATTGACATTTGGATGTACTGTTGTATTTTAACTGTCAAGCAATAAATGATAGTAACCATGATTAAATCATCAATCATAGCAATTTATGATAAAAATATTTCTACAGATAAAATTTCCATGAACTGTCCTTCTTGCAAAAGCTCATGTAAAAAGAAACAGTATTACACTTACCCCATCAGAGGAAATACAGGAATCATTTCTGGTAGAACAGCCACAGTTTTCCCCAGTAAAATTAGATGTGCAGGAACAGTTTCCACATCTACATGTTCCATGGTCAGGGCCTGGAATACAATTCATTTTACTCTTATTCTTACTCAAAAATAACTATTTTAAAATTTGAAGGAATGTATAGTTATATGTGAAAAAGCTTTAACTGCAACCCCATATAAATAAATGCATGCCAAAAGATTCGTATAAAAAAAATTTGATCTGACATCTTGTTCATGTCAAATCTTTAAGAAAAGTTCAGACAGAATGAAAATCTATCAATATGAATTTCTTTAAACAACAATTTTTTTGACACTAAGGCATACTGACACTAAAACAGGTCCCATGTCCAAATACTGGCATAACCCATTGTTACACAGGGTACTCACTAAGGCGAGTCCATGAGTCATTTTCAAAATTGGCCAGTTCAAAGATGCGTCAAAATTGTAAAATGTTATATATCATTTTATAACAAAAGTTTAAAAATAATCTAAATTTGATGTTGTTTCCTTGCTCTATTTTGTCATGGGGACTGAAATAATAAATTATATAGCAATAAAATTTCATCTTCTCACCATTGGACTCAGCATGGCCAAAAATGGTAAGTCCCTGGACTCACCTTCAAAAATCCTTAGTGAGAACCCTGGTTACAGGATTTCAGTTTGTTCTGAATGAAAGTAAGGACTATAAGCATAACTATTCGACTTCTCCAAGGTTCAAGCCATCCTAATTAGCAGGTAACATCATGTATCAAAAACTAAATTTTCTGCATGGTTAATGTGTTGACAAAAAAATAACTTTGCCTTCCATTATTTCAACTGTTAAATGAAAGTGTCTACCTATCTTTATAAACCAGAGGGAAAAAAGAATATGGTGGCCTCCATATGGCATAACTGTCAACTGACTCGATTTTTGCAGATGACACCCAGATCTTAAGAGCGCACTTGAGATTTTTCAAGACCCGCCTGGGGTATCAAATAACCTGTTTTCATCCATATTCTAATGCCAATGTCTAATTTGAAACAAGAATGTGTCCATAGTACACGGATGCCCCACTCGCACTATCATTTTCTATGTTCAGTGGACCGTGAAATTGGGGTCAAAACTCTAAATTGGCATCAAAATTAGAAAGATCATATCATAGGGAAAATGTGTACTAAGTTTCAAGTTGATTGGACTTCAATTTCATCAAAAACTACCAAGACCAAAAACTTTAACCTGAAGCGGGACAGACGGACGAACGAACGAACGAACGAACTCACAGACCGAAAAACACTAGGTAAGGCATAAAAACTGCAAATTAAAAATTCTTCCTAGACAGGAAATTCGATAATTTACACTCTATTGAATGATTTACAGCTATCAAAACATAAATTTGACACTCAAATGATTCGCTTATTATTTTGTTAAATGCAACCCAGTTTGGGTTTACATAATTTCTTAATAAACAATGGTGTGAATGAAACAATCAATATGGGCATTGTTTTATATTGATATTTGAATAATAATAAATATTCAACAAAAATAATGAAGCTGAAATGTCAAATAATTTTCAGTAAATACTTCACATTTGTGAATATTTGTACAAAATTGGTCTATATTATAGAATATAAAAAAAATCCTCTAAATACTAAAATTCAACTGAAAAAAAGAATGTACGCATTATGACCTGACTTTTACTTCCTCAATGCAGGTCATGACCTGCATTTTCATTTTCAGAGATTGTTATGTTATAAACACTACTTTTTTCAAAATATTATATATAGAAATTTCATTGACTTTTAATTTCCTGATTCATGTTGCTGTATAGCTTGATTAACATGTGATAAAAGTCATTGCTGGCAATGATTTCAATTATGTGATTAGATTATCATTTTATATAATTAGTCTACTGACCACCACACAATGCATTATCATGAAAAGGACAACTATAATCATCACACTGGCACCATTTTCCACTGTATCTCTCCTCACTGTTCCCTCGTCTTGGTTTACATTCACAATTCCCACACACACATTCTCCTCGACCAGAACAAATCAGCTCTTTACCAGGTCTGCAAGACAGAAAATTATAGACATTAATTAAAATGCAAAATAATATAATACCACTTATCAATCTGATTTTGCAATACAAATAAAGCAATTTGAAATAATCCTGTATCACCCAGATTATATTTTTATTTTGCATGCACATTATTTTTATCAATATGCAGCAAAGATTAACATTTTCAGGTAGCAAGATTCTAATGCAATAAATAAAGAAAGTAAGACAGTATGTAGTTGCAAGTTTATTACAAATAACACAAAATTGAGAATGGAAACAGGGAATGTGTCAAAGAGACAACAACCCGACCAAAAAGCAGAAAAGCCCAAGGCCACTAATGGGTCTTCAACACAGCGAGAAAATCCAGCACCTGGAGGCGGGCTTCAGCTGGCCCCTAAACAAAAATGTGTACTAGTTCATAGAAAATGGACGTCACACTAAGCTTCGAAACATATAAACGAACCAAAAACATACAAAACTAACAATGGCCAGAGGTTCCTGACTTGGGACAGGCGCAAAAATGTGGCGGGGTTAAACATGTTTTGTGAGATCTCAACCCTCCCCCTATACCTCTAGCCAATGTAGAATAAACAAACACACAACAATATACACAGTAAAACTCAGTTTTAAGGAAGTCCGAGTCCGATGTTAGAATAGGTAACAGCAGAAACTAAGCAAAATGACAATGATAACATAAATTAACAACTACTAGCAGTTACTGACATGCCAGCTCCAGATCTCAATTAAACTGATTGAAAGATTATGTCTTCATCATATAACAAGAGTGCACACGCTGAAATGTCTCGCCTTCTTTACTAATCATTGATATTATGTTGATAGTCCTAAATATAAAGCTTTATTACAACTGTCACCTAAACTTAACATTAACCAAGAAAACTAAACATTGACCAATGAACCATGAAAATGAGGTCAAGGTCAGATGAACCGTGCCAGGCAGACATGTACAGTTAACAATTCTTCCATATAACAAATATAGTTGACCTATTGCTTATAGTTTAAGAAAAACAGACCAAAACACAAAAACTTAACACTGAGCAATGAACCGTGAAAATGAGGTCAAGGTCATATAAAACCTGCGTGACTGACATATAGATCATAAAATATTTCCATACACCAAATATAGTTGACCTATGGCATATAGTATTAGAAAAAAAGACCAAAACTCAAAAACTTAACTTTGACCACTGAACCATGAAAACGAGGTCAAGGTCAGATGACACCTGCCAGCTAGACATGTACACCTTACAATCATTCCATACACCAAATATAGTAGACCTATTGCATACAGTATAAGAAAAACAGACCAAAACACAAAAACTTAACTATAACCACTGAACCATGAAAATGAGGTCAAGGTCAGATGACACCTGCCAGTTGGACATGTACACCTTACAGTGCTTCCATACACCGAATATACTAGACCTATTGCTTATAGTATCTGAGATATGGACTTGACCACCAAAACTTAACCTTGATCACTGATCCATGAAATGAGGTCGAGGTCAAGTTAAAACTGTCTGACGGGCATGAGGACCTTGCAAGGTACGCACATACCAAATATAGTTATCCTACTACTTATAATAAGAGAGAATTTAACATTACAAAAAATGTTAACTTTTTTTTCAAGTAGTCACTGAACCATGAAAATGAGGTCAAGGACATTGGACATGTGACTGACCGAAACTTTGTAACATGAGGCATCCATATACAAAGTATGAATCATCCAGGTCTTCTACCTTCTAAAATATAAAGCTTTTAAGAAGTTAGCTAACGCCGCCGCCGCAGCGGGATCACTATCCCTATGTCGAGCTTTCTGCGACAAAAGTCGCAGGCTCGACAAAAATCAAGCACAATCCTTCACGTTGGGTTTAGTATCATACCATCATAAAAAATACAGGAAGAACATTACCCGGATCATGCCAACAACTGGTTTTAGAATAAATGTGTTTATTTCCGATGCAAAGACCCTATGAGTGAATCAATATTAATAAATGGAGAATGTGTCCCCATGGACACAGATGATGCCCCCGCTTGCATACAACATTATAAAGGTACATAACTCAAGAAAGATAAAAGTGACGCTGCCCAAATTTGTACTTGATCTGAGTTTTAAGGTAATAAGTATTATGTATAGGTTTCATAATGTTTGGTTGGGGCAAACTTAAGTTACAGAACGGAAACTAAAAATTTTGCAATTTTTCGATTTATAAAGGGGCATAACTCGATAACGATTAAAGAGACGCTACCAAAATTGAACTTGATATGTGTTTTGTGGTAAAAAGCATTGTGTATAAGTTTCAAAACCTTTGGTTGAGGCAACTTAAGTTAGAGAACGGAAACTAAAAAATTTGCATTTTTTCCATTTATAAAGGAAACCAATTTTGGGACGTACGTACGTACAGACGGACAAGGGTAAAACTTAATGCTCCCTCCGCTACGGCGGGGCATAAAAGTTCTTACAAAAGAAGTCAACAGTTCTTCTTTTTTTTTTATGAATTACTGTGGATTCATTACTAATCATGGGATATCAATTTTTTGTGGATTTCCTGGCTATAAGTGAACCACAAATATAAATGTTCAACTAAGTGCCAATTATCTATAGGCTTGTATGCAGACCTCTGCAAAACCATGAAATCAAATATCAACGAAAATACTATTTTTCCTCAATTCATGAAAATTGGTACCCATGAAAGTAAATGAATCCACAGTATATAATACATACTGGCATTATAATTCAGTACTTTTGGTTCCCAAGGAGGGAAATTTTACACAAATTGTGAGCTATATAAGTCTATGGTTCTTTAAAATTTTGTCGGCAGCAATTGAAAGTGCAAACATTTATTCTTTTTCTTTAAAATCATAAACCAGCATTATAATTGGGTACGTTTGGTACCTTGTGATGGATTACTTTACTCAAATAGAGAGCTGTATAAGTCTACGGCTACTTAAAACTTTTGTTAACAACAATTAAAAGTGTCAATATTTCTTCTTTTTTTTTAACAATATATACAAGCATTATAATTCAGAACTCAGGATGGATTATTTTTGATAAAATTGGAGCATTTTAAGTGTTTACAATTGCTAATTTCTTCTCTTTGCATATATTAAAGGTGCAAATATTTTATCTTTATTTTGAAAATTATGTACATGCTTTATATTTCAGTTCTTTTAGTACTTCATTATGTATTGTTTTACAAAGCATTTTTGTTAAGCAATAATTTATTTTTTATTATTGTTAACTATAAATGATATTAAGTAGATTCTGAAATTTAAGATTCAAGATGTTTATAATTTTGTGTTTCGTCTACAAAAGACTCATCAGTGACACTCGAATCAAAAAAGTTAAAAGGCCAAATAAAGTATGATGTTGAAGAACATATAGGACCCAAAATTCCAAAAGGTTTTGCCAAATTCAGCTAGGGTAATCTATTCCTGGGGTAGAAAATCATACATATATAAATACTTTGATTATAGTATTGTGTTTATAAAATTAGTTTATAAAATTAATATATATGTGTATCTTGTACTGATGAGCTCCCATTAAACTCCAGTTTTTAATTTTAAACAAGCATGCTATGAGTATTGCCTGGCAAAACATAGTCCTCTACCGGTTAAAAATTCATTGTACTGGAACAAAATGCTAACTTGATCTATAACTTGTCATGGTGTAAACTATATAACAAATATCATGTCAATATCTTCAAGCATGACGAAAAAAAAAGTGAATAAAATGCTCCGTTGGGCGCAGCTTGATACGACCGCAGAGGTCGAACCCTGAACAGTTGGGGCAAGTATGGACACAACATTCAAGCTTGATACAGCACTGAATTTGGATTGTGATTAAATATTTGACACAGCACAGGTTTCTGACACAGAATGAATGTGGTCTAAGAACTTAAGAATCTTTAATTTAACTTTTCAAACCATATCATTATTATTTGCTTTTATATATAAATCAGAAATAACCAATTTAAAATGGAAAATTTTAAAGAAAAAAAAATCCTCCCCCCAATTTTTTTATCCCCCTTATGATTCATCACCCCCAAACTCAATCCCAGCCTTCCCTTTGTGGTATGGTACCTTGCAGTACAATTTCAGAGAGATCCATACACTTGAACACAAGTTATTGTCTGGAAACTAGAAAAATGCTTGTTTTTTTGCCCCTTTTTGGCCCCAAATTCCTAAACATTTAGGGCAATTACCCCCAAACTCAAACCCAGCTTTGCCTTTGTGATATGGAACCTTGTAGTACAATTTCATAAAGATCCATACACTTACACACAAGTTATTGTCCTGAAACTAGAAACATTTGTTTTTTGCCCCTTTTTTGGCCCCTAATTCCTAAAATTTTGAAGCAAATTTACCCCCAAAATCAATCCCAGCCTTCCCTTTGTGGTATGGTACCTTGCAGTACAATTTCAGAGAGATCCATACACTTGAACACAAGTTATTGACTGGAAACTAGAAAAATGCTTATTTTTGGCCTCTTTTTGGCCCCTTATTCCTAAACGTTTTGAGCAATTACCCCCAAACTCAATTCCAGCTTTCCCTTTGTGATATAGAACCTTGTAGTACAATTTCAGAAAGATCCATACACTTAAACACAAGTTATTGTCATGAAACTAGAAAATGCTTCATTAGAACGTGATGAAATTTGCCTGAAGTAAATTGGTTATCCTTATATTGCATTAAAAATGTCATATTCCCTTCCAAATAGCGTGTCAAACATCGTTTATTTTTGTAAATTTTTCTTCGTCCGCCATTTAAATTTTTGGGCAAATTATTGTTCAACTACGGATTGGAGTCAGGATTTCATCGGAAACGGACCAGCTATGACCGAAATCCGGATTCTTGCGATAATGACTACGGACGCATAAATGGCACTGCTGACAGAAGAAAATTGATCCCAAAAGGAAAAATTACGCATTCCACAAGCATTAACATACTTTTGGTTAGATCTACTTGATAAATGTATATATTTCCATGTATATGCATTGTCTCAATTTATAAATTAAAGTTGCTCAACTCTGGGACTATTACACTAATATAATTATATTATGTCCAAGCTTAAAACTAAAACTGTTAAATTTAAATATCTTTTTAATGAGAAATACTTATTTTCATAAACATGATAACAGAGTAGTTTTTAATTGAATTTTAATTGATATAACAACTTTTTTTTCCTTTTTGATATAAAAAAAAATCTTTTTTATTATTGCCAGATATTTAATTGTTTTTTTCTGACAAGAGGACTAATATGATTGTGCAACTAGATATGATAAATTTAAACAACTTTGAATTTGAACTGTTACTTTAATTGTATACCCAGGTACAATTGAACAATATAAAAAAATGTGAACTTGATCTGAGTTTTGTGGTAATAAGCATTGTGTGTAAGTCTCATAACATTTGGTTGAGGCTAACTTAAGTAGAGAACAGAAACTAAAATTAAGCAATTTTTCTATTTGTAAACACGCATAAACTCTAGAACGGTTGTGTATAAGTTTTATAACATTTGGTTGAGACAAATTAAAATAAAATGCTCCCCGGGTGCAGCTTGATACGACCGCAGAGGTCGAACCCTGAACAGTTGGGGGAAGTATGGACACAACATTCAAGCTTGATACAGCTTTGCATTTGGATTGTGATTAAATATTTGACACAGCATAGGTTTCTGACACAGAATGAATGTGGTCTAAGAACTTAAAAATTCTAAATTGGACATTCACCTATTATGGTCCAATATCCAAAATCTAAATACATGGTTAGATTCAGCATATCAAAGAACCCCAAGAATTCAATTTTTGATGAAATCAAACAAAGTTTAATTTTGGACCCTTTTGACCTCAATGTGGACAAAGTTGATAACGGGGCCCAAAAATCAAAAATCTAAATACATGGTTAGATTCAGCATATCAAAGAACCCCATATATTCAATTTTTGTTGAAATCAAACAAAGTTTAATTTTGGACCCCGATTTGGACCAACTTGAAAACTGGGCCCATAATCAAAAATCTAAATACATGTTTAGATTCAGCATATCAAAGAACCCTAAGAATTAATTTTTTGTTAAAATCAAACTAAGTTTAATTTTGGACCCTTTGGACCTTAATGTAGACCAATTTGAAAACGGAACCAAAAATTAAGAATCTAAATACACGGTTAAATTCGGCATATCAAAGAACCCCAATAATTCAATTTTTGATGAAATCAAACAAAGTTTAATTTTGGACCCTTTTGACCTCAATGTGGACAAAGTTGATAACGGGGCCCAAAAATCAAAAATCTAAATACATGGTTAGATTCAGCATATCAAAGAACCCCATATATTCAATTTTTGTTGAAATCAAACAAAGTTTAATTTTGGACCCTTTGGACCTCAATGTGGACCAATTTAAAAACGGGGCCCAAAATCCAAAAACTAAATACAAGGTTAGATTCAGCATATTAAAGAACCCCATGAAATCAAGAATAAAACCCCATTGAAATTGGTCAAGAAATAAGCAATTTATAGGAAGTATCTTCTTTTGCACAATCCTGTGCTATTAAATATTTCTTGCTATTGCGCAATACTGTACAATTGACAATTTCTTGCTATTGCGCAATATTGTGCTATTGGATATTTCTTGCTATTGTGCAATACTGTGCAATTGAAGATTTCTTGCTATTGCGCAATACTGTGCAATTGAAGATTTCTTGCTATTGTGCAATACTGTGCTATTGAAAATTTCTTGCTATTGCACAATACTTATTATATAATAATTTACACATCCTGTTTGGTGTGTATCTCCTACCATATCATTATTATTTGATTTTAAATATAAATCAGAAATAACCAACTTAAAATGGAAAATTTTAAAAGAAACAAAAAAGGAAAAAAAGAAAAAAAAGGGAAAAAAAATAAATCCCCCCCCCAAATTTTTTGAGCCCCCATTATGATTCATCACCCCCAAACTCAATCCCAGCCTTCCCTTTGTGGTATGGTACCTTGCAGTACAATTTCAGAGAGATCCATACACTTGAACACAAGTTATTGTCTGGAAAGTAGAAAAAAATGTGTTTTTTGGCCCCTTTTTGGCCCCAAATTCCTAAACATTTAGGGCAATTACCCCCAAACTCAAACCCAGCTTTGCCTTTGTGATATGGAACCTTGTAGTACAATTTCATAAAGATCCATACACTTACACACAAGTTATTGTCCTGAAACTAGAAACATTTGTTTTTTGCCCCTTTTTTGGCCCCTAATTCCTAAAATTTTGAAGCAAATTTACCCCCAAAATCAATCCCAGCCTTCCCTTTGTGGTATGGTACCTTGCAGTACAATTTCAGAGAGATCCATACACTTGAACACAAGTTATTGACTGGAAACTAGAAAAATGCTTATTTTTGGCCTCTTTTTGGCCCCTTATTCCTAAACGTTTTGAGCAATTACCCCCAAACTCAATTCCAGCTTTCCCTTTGTGATATGGAACCTTGTAGTACAATTTCAGAAAGATCCATACACTTAAACACAAGTTATTGTCATGAAACTAGAAAAATGCTTGTTTTTTGCCCCTTTTTTGGCCCCTAATTCCAAAAATTTGAGGCAATTACCCCCAAAATCAATCCCAGCATTCCTTTGGTGATATGGAACCTTGTGGTACAATGTCAGAGAGATCCATACACTAACACACAAGTTATGTCTGGAAGTTACAAAAATGCTTATTTTTGGCCCCTTATTCCTTTACTGTTATTACCATAACCCCCAAAATCAATCCCAACCTTCCTTTTGTGGTATTGAACCTTGTGGTAAAATTTCATAAAGATCCATTCACTTAAACTAAAGTTAGAGTGCGAAAACCAATGTGTCTTCGGACGACGCCGGAAGACGACGACGCCAACGTCATACCAATCTACGACCACTAAAATTTTTTTGCGGTCGTATAAAAATCAGCAATTTTTATGTTTATAAAGGGACATAACTCAAGAATGGTAAAAGTGTCGCCACCAAATTTCATACTTAATCTGTATTATGTAGTAATAAGCATTGTGTATAAGTTTCATAACATTTGAATGAGGCAAACTAAAGTTTGAAAACGGAAACAAAAAATTTGTACTTGATCTTAGTTTTGTGGTAATGAATATTGTGTATAGGTTTCATAATGTTTGGTTGGGGCAAACTTAAGTTACAGAATAGAAACTAAAAATTTTGCAATCTTTCGATTTATAAAGGGGCATAACTCAATAATGGTTAAAGTGACACTACCCAAATTCAACTTGATCTGCGTTTTATCAGTGAAAGTCAAAATTAAACATTGCATTGTATAAAGCATTGATTGTAATTGATTCAACTATAATCATGGACAAAGGAAGATAACTCCAATTTAAAAATTACTTGATATTTAGAAAAAAATAAAATTTTTGCAATTTTTCCATTTATAAAGGGCATAACTCTAAAACAGTTAAAGTGATGCCACCAAAATTCAAACTTGATCTTTGTTTTGTGGTAATAAGCATTGTGTATAAGTTTCATAACATTTGGTTGAGGCAAACTTAAGTTAGAGAACGGAAACCAATTTTGGGACGTACAGACGGATGTACGTACGTACGTACATACGTACAGACGGACAAGGGTAAAACTTAATGCCCCCACCGCTACAGCGGGGGCATAAAAATTAGATACATAAGGCTCTTCGTATTATAGTAAAAAGCAAACATTGTAGCGCCGCGAGCAAACGAGCACTTCTCTTTCAAATCTCACCACTTCTCCCTATGATTCTGAAGTAGTGTGAGCCCTGGAATATGAGTCCATAGGACACCATGCACATCTCGCACATGTGTACATGGGGCAGTAGATTGGTCATAAAATTTGCAAAATTATAAATAAGGACTTACTCTTTGCACTGTTCTTCCAGAGCTGTCTGAGTGATATTACCAGTGTAACAATCACATGTTTTCCCATAATATTTGTCATCACAAGCACATGTTCCACAAACAAATGTCCCATGATTATTACAACTCTTACTCTGTCTGTTGTCCATCTGTAATTTTACATTAATCAAAATAATCATTCAATAACCTAAGGGGAAACAGAAACTATTCTAATCTCAGCAACATTGAAATTGCCCCCAATGATTTTAATCAAAATGAAGCGAAAAATCTTATTTTTGTAGTCTAAAAATTCATGTGTTTCACCTGCGATTGCTGCTGTAAGTGTAAAAGTGTAATGTTGACTTAAAAAGTGAGTCCATTTATCAGTAAAATACAGAATTTAAAATAATAAATGGGGAATGTGTCCATGGGACACAGATGATGCCCCCTCTTGCATATAACATTATGAAGTGATATTACTCAAGAACTGTAAAAGTGACGCTACCCAAATTTGTACTTGATCTGAGTTTTGTGTTAATAAGCATTGTAAATAAGTTTCATAACAATTAGTTGGGGGCAAACTTAAATTAGAGAACAGAAACCAAAAACTCAGCAATTTTTCCATTTGTAAAGGTGCACAACTCTAGAACGGTAAAAGTGACACCACCAAAATTCAAACTTGATCTGTGTTTTGTGGCGATTAGCATTGTTTATAAGTTTCATTACATTTGGTTGAGGCAAACTAAAGTTAGAGAACGGAAACCAATTTTGGAACGTACGGACGTAACGACGGACAAGGGTAAAACTTAATGCCCCCTCCGGTACGGCGGGGGCATAAAAATCAAACTTTTTCTTTAGATGCTATTTCATAGTCTTGCATGTGTATCAAAATTTTTGGAAAATTTTGTATACCTATTTTGACTTAAACACCATTAGAGAAACTTAATCTACTAGACTAGTTATAAAGTATCTATGTCATACTTACAGCTTTCTTCTCCGTTTCACAATCACATTTGCAGATCAGTTCCATCCTGACTTCTAATTTGTCTGACAGACCAACTGGTTTGATATCAAATTTTTTACTGTATCCTTGAGAATCTTTGGGACATTCTTTCACTTCAATTTCAACATCAAAACTGACCTATATGAATAAGAGGAATTGAAAGGAAAAATCAACATTCAATTCTTTTACTATGAAAAGACTTACAAATGTATTAAAAAACATGCACATGTGTTTCTGTCTTATACATACATCAGTTAAAATAGCTTTAATAGTAATGCATGCATGATCTGAAATTTTTAAAAACACACAGAAAATCCTACTAATAAATGTAAATTCTACAAGACAAGAGGCACAGGTGTGCCTGTACCACTCACTTGGTAAATAAAATAACCAATTTGCTAATTAGGAATTTTATAAGCCTATACTATAGTTTCTCTTCAGTTGATGATCATTTTTGCAATTTACATGTTTAACCTTACTTCTATAGTTTTTAAGCCAACAACCAATTCTGCAAAAAAAAACGGGAAAAATCAACATTTTTGGGGCAATAACTCTAAAAAGGGTTGTCAAATTTTCAGAGTAGATAGATCTTGTCATACTGATCATTTTTGCAATTTACACTTTTAACCTTGCTCTTCTAGTTTTTCAAAATACCAGCAAAAAATTTTCAGGGTAGATACATCTTGTCATGCTGATCTTTTTTACAATTTACACTTTAGCTTTAACAGACTAACTTTGGTTTCAATCCATCAAGCAGTTTCAGTGGAGAAGATTTTCAAAGAAAACAACAGAGAACTGATGGAAGGACGATGAATGCAAAGTGAAGGCAAAAGCTTACATGGTCCTTTGGGTCAGGTGAACTAATAAGAAAACAGGGAAACTTGTATGCTGAAAAAAGAAGGTATAATAAGGCCACTTTTATGGCCCTCTGAATTTGATTATAAAAAAGTTATCATAAATCTGCCAAATAACATACATCAGATGTTCAAAAGACATAACCCTGTCAATCGTCAGTATTAATAGTTTGAATTTTGTGTATTTGTGTTTCAAACTTCTTGATTGCGTGATAACGGCAAAAACTGACAAAATAGCCTCATTCTGAGTTTTTTCCTTAATATCTAAATATGAGGCAAGGCACACCCCAAAAGATATTTTGATACAAGATGTATTTTACAAAATGCAAATATTCATAAAATATTTTTTGGGGGAAGATCTTTCTCAAATCAATTATGATCCAAAACTAGCTTTTTATCTTTACCATTTTTCAGGTCAAATATCTCAATTTTGAAATATGTTCCTGAAATCATGGTGAGAACACAAGTGGCCTTTCTCCACTAAAATGTCCAGATATTTACAACCTGTTCATTTATAAATAAAATTAAAATAATTTTGAAATGCTTGATTAATTTTACTATTTCGGCAATTTCATTGGCCAAAAAATGATCATGATCGAATTTTTGTTGAAAGTCTTTAAGGGAAGGTTTTAATATCATATAAACTTAACATATAACCCATAAAATGAGTTCAAGGTATGTTTAACCCTGATAGATGGACATGCACACCTTACAGTCACTCAATATACCAAATATAGTTGACAATAAGCTTACAGTACCAGATATACATACTGACTTAACAATAAAAACTTATCATTAAACAATGAACCATGGTCAAGTCATACCACATACTAGATATCCTTAGTTTTTCATACTGTCAAACAGTACATACAAATACAAAGCATTTTTTTATTTAATTTCCAAACATGTTGACAGACAAAACTATCAGTCACTGCCTATAAATCATCTTAACAAGAAAGTAAAAACAGTATTTTCCTACTATCTATAAACCAATTCAATGTGACAAGTATGAAATCTAGTAGAAATCTATTTTTATTTACCTATAAGCTTTCCCATTGGAATAACATTAAAGTTTTATTTCCAACATGTTAATTACTAGGTGACAATTCTGGTGTTTAAAGAAAACTGTATAATTATACTGAAGATGGGGACAGAGAATAACCAGCAATCAGTAAATGCAGGATGGAAAATATGGTCACCTACACAGTTGAAACAGACAGCAAAACAGTATGTACAATAAACTGTTAACACATGTCTCGCCTATTTGTTATTTTGATAATGCAAATGTTGAAATTAAAATAGCAATACTTTAACATGTAAGTTATGCAAATATTCAAAGTCAATGAACCATGACTGAAGGTACAGGGCTAAACAATCTCCATGGAAATGAGATGTCCCAATGCTAACACAACTGCAAACCAAATACCATTGACTTTTCATAAGTCGTTCCCTTTAAACAAACCTAAACACAAACATTAACTTGTAAACTATGTAAAAGTTTCAAAGTCAATGAACCATAATTAGGGGGTGGGGTTATATAATCTCCATGGAAATGAAACTTGCAAATGCCAATACATTTGCATACCGAATATCATTGACTTAACATTAGTGGTTCATCTTAAACTGAACTAATCACAAACTAATACATGTAAACTAAGCAAAAGTTTCAAAGTCAATAGACCATGACTGAGGGATAGGGACCAAATATTCTCCATGGAAATGAGATGTGCTAATGCTTATACAACTGCATACCAATTATCATTGACCTACCACTAAGGATTCCCCTTAAACTGACCTAATCACAAACTAATACATGAAAACTAAGCAAAAGTTTCAAAGTCAATACTACATGAATGAGGGGGCGGGGCCAAATAATCTCCATGGAAATGAGATATGCCAATGCTTATACAACTACATACCAAATATCATTGACCTACCACTAGTGGTTCCCCATAAACTGATCTAATCACGAACTAATACATGTAAACTAAGCAAAGTTTCAAAGTCAATAGACCTTGACTGAGGGGGTGGGGCCAAATAATCTCCATGGTAATGAGATGTCCCAATGCTAATACAACAGCATACCAAATATCATTGACCTACCACTAGTGGTTCACCATGTTCTAGACCTAATCACAAACTAATACATGGATGATGTCGACGCTGCCGCCACCATCGTCGTCATAAACAGGATACCTATGTCTCGCTTTTTGACTCTGTCAAGGCGAGACAAAAATGAAAAATGTATGTCCAGGATAAAGCTTCATTGTGAGGATCCATGCAGGTATGGTTTAGTCAGGCCTTAATGTCTTGCTGTCAGGTGCCAGCTGTCCACCACTGAATATCTTCCAGCAAATGTCAAGATGAAGAACATCGATTTATTTACTTTTTTTCTAATATTTTGGTAAGTTCTTAGTATTTCATTGGATATCTTATTAATGACCAATAACCATTAGATAAGTTCTAATTTACTGACATATGCTAGTATTTATCAATATATCTGGCATGTTATTTATAAACTAGAAACAACTTTTTATAATTATAGAAATCATACATACAGAATCTCCAACTTTGAGACCTTCACAAATATTGGTTTCTGACAATTCACCAGTTTTACTACAAATATACAAGTATATATTTCAATATTGGTTTCTGACAATTCACCAGTTTTACTACAAATATACAAGTATATATTTCAATATTGGTTTTTGACAATTCACCAGTTTTACTACAAATATACAAGTATATATTTCAATCTACAAATCATTTAGTTCAAATAAATATACCATAATGTAGTCAAGTTGTTTAAAAAATAATATAGGGCTTATAGTAAAGTAGTTTTAAAAATAATATAGTCAAGTAGTTTCATAATCACATCTCCTAAGTACTTTATTAGAAGGCCAATCAAGGTAACCATGAAAGAGTATTAAGGTTTAGAAGTTTGGTCACAACACCTGAAAAGGGATATGTCATATTTTCATGTTTGTTACATTTACTGACAGTAACTCACACATTTATATGGGTTCAGTTAACGAACAGTAATACCCTTGAAGTGCAGAAAGTCAAGGAACTAAAGTGTGTGCTTTACTCTTTGTTAATGCAATAAAATTCTGGCATATGTTTTCCTACTACCCGATGTTGACTTGACAGTGATAAAGCTCAGAACAAAGATTCTGTGCATGACATGCATGTTTCTGTCAACCAAAAGCTTAGTACCTTTTCATGTTTCTTCAAATAAATACTTGAGAGAAATATGAAACAAGTGATACAACTTATTTATTTTGAAAAAACTTTTTGTATACATATTTCAACTGGCACAGGCACAGCACACATGTATGTATGCAAACAATGTGGTTCTGACAGTTTTGATATTATTTGGCAATATTAATTGGACAAACTTAATCATTTATTGCTAAAATTATTTGCAAACCATTCAAACATGAAAGACAACTTCAAAAAGACTAATGAATGTCTGGTACTTGTTTACCTGTCAGGTGTACAGTTTTTTGTCTTTATGGAAATTAGGGTGTTGATGGCAGATCTTTGATAGTCTTTGTTTAATTAATTACCAGGTAACAATTGTTTTTCCTATTGCAGCAACTTAGAGCTTGAAATACTGAATACAACCTTGTCTTTTGTTGATATAAATAAGATGTGGTATGAGTGCCAATGAGACAACTCTCCATCCAAGTCACAATGTATAATAAATTGCTTCGCTGAGCACAGCTGGATACAACGGCAGAGGTCCAACCCTGAACAGTTGGGGCAAAATTGGACACAATATTCGTGCTTGATACAGGTCTGAATTTGGATTGAAATTAAATGTTTGACACATAATAGGTTTCTGACATTGAATAACTGTAGTCAAAGAACTTAGAATTGGTTATATGATTTGAATTTATATTCAATTTTTTCCTTTTGTGCATTACACTATGCTGTTGCAAATTGCCAACCCCTTTTTTTTTGCTTTTGTGCAATACACTATGCTGTTGCGAATTGCCCCCCCCCCCCCCCCCCACACACAAAATATTTGAAGAAATTTTCTTTTTAATTTCTGAAATCAGCTCAAAAAAAAAAAATTGTGGATAGTGTCCACATGTGGACACAGATGATGCCCCCCCTTGCATATCATATAGTTATGAAGGGACATAACTGAAGAACGGTAAAAGTGACGCTACCAAAATTTGAACTTGATCTGAGTTTTGTGGTAATAAGCATTGTGTGTAAGTCTCATAACATTTGGTTGAGGCTAACTTTAGTAGAGAACAGAAACTAAAAATTCAGCAATTTTTCTATTTGTAAACACGCATAACTCTAGAACGGTTGTGTATAAGTTTTATAACATTTGGTTGAGACGAACTAAAAAATTTAGCAATTTTTATGTTTATAAAGGGACATAACTCAAGAATGGTAAAAGTGTCGCCACCAAATTTCGTACTTAATTTGTATTATGTAGTAATAAGCATTGTGTATAAGTTTCATAACATTTGCATGAGGCAAACTAAAGTTAGAAAACGGAGACAAAAAATTTGTACTCGATCTTAGTTTTGTGGTTATGAATATTGTGTATAGGTTTCATAATGTTTGGTTGGGGCAAACTTAAGTTACAGAACAGAAACTAAAAATTTTGCAATCGTTCGATTTATAAAGGGGCATAACTCAATAATGGTTAAAGTGACACTACCCAAATTCAACTTGATCTGTGTTTTATCAGTGGAAGTCAAAATTAAACATTGCATTGTATAAAGCATTGATTGTAGTTGATTCAACTATAATCACGGACAAAGGAAGATAACTTAAATTTTAATAATTACTTGATATTTTGAAGAAAATAAAAATTTTGCAATTTTTCCATTTATAAAGGGGCATAACTCTAGAATGGTTAAAGTGATGCCACCAAAATTCAAACTTGATCTGTGTTTTGTGGTAATAAGTATTGTGTATAAGTTTCATAACATTTGGTTGAGGCAAACTTAAGTAAGAAAACGGAAACTAAAAATTTTGCAATTGTTTTGTTCATAAAGGGGCATAACTCTAGAACGGTTAAAGTGACTCCACCAAAATTCATACTTGATCTGTGTTTTGTGGAAATAAGCATTGTGTATACGTTTCATAACATTTGGTTGAGGCAAACTAAAGTAAGAGAACGGAAACAAAAAATTTTGCAATTTTTCCATTTATAAAGGGGCATAACTCTAGAACAGTTAAGGTTACGCCACCAAAATTCAAACTTGATCTGTGTTTTGTGGTAATAAGCATTGTGTATAAGTTTCATAACATTTGGTTGAGGCAAACTCAAGTTAGAGAATGGAAACAAATTTTGGAACGTACGTTCGTACGTTCGTACGTACAGACGGACAAGGGTAAAACTTAATGCCCCCACCGCTACGGCGGGGGCATAAAAATCTTTCCCTCAAAATATGGTCATTATCTCAATTCAAATTTCCAATGGAGTTTGCAACCATAATTACCCATTTAAATACATCATAAGTCTTAAAATAGAAAATGACATACATAATCATGTCTAAAAATAATATCTTTAATCAGCATTTTTATTAGTAACTTCTAAAAATAAATTGACAGCTAATCACCTCAAGACAATACAAAATTTCTTTATACATAATTTTAAAGCAGTGTAAGGGAGGTAATCCAAATTTAACATTGTACTTAAAAGTGATTGTCCATTAATAAGGAAACCCCTGTTTTTTCCCCCTTTTTTGCCCCTAATTCCTAAACGGTTTGAGCCATAACACCCCAAAGCCAATTCTAACCATCCCTTTGTGGTATGGAAACTTGTTGTACAATTTCAGAGAGATCCATACACCGTTCCACAAGTTATTGTCTGAAAACTAGAATAAACAGCTGCGCCATGAGCGCATGATACGCCCGTCGTCTTGTGTGTGAATTTTTATGCAATAAGCATATTTAGTTTCTGACATACGGCGTGACATGCGAAAACTCCCCTTTTTTTTTTACAAAAAACTCAATATCTCTAAAATAAATTTTGAATCAAAACCAAAAAGTAAACAGATCTTTAGATTAATATAACTAAGAAGTGTGTAAAATTTTAAGCAATAATCATAAATCGTTTTTGAGATACAGCGCGACATGTGAAAACCCCCCTTTAAAAAAAAAAAATATCAATATCTCAAAAATAAAATTTTGAATCAAAACCAAAAAGTATACAGATCTTTAGATTAATATAACTAAGAAGTGTGTAAAGTTTTAAGCAATAATCATAAACTGTTTTTGAGATACGGCGCGACATGTGAAAAACCCCTCCCCCTTTTTTTACAAAATACTCAATAACTCAAAAATAAAATTTTGAATCATCACCAAAAAGTATACAGATCTTAAGGTTAATATAACTAAGAAGTGTGTAAAGTTTTAAGCAATAATCATAAACTGTTTTTGAGATACGGCGCGACATGTGAAAAACCCCTCCCCCTTTTTTAACAAAATACTCAATATCTCTAAAATAAAATTTTGAATCATCACCAAAAAGTATACAGATCTTAAGATTAATATAACTAAGAAGTGTGTAAAGTTTTAAGCAATAATCATAAATTGTTTTTGAGATACAGCGCGACATGTGAAAAAAAACACACACATGTTTTAGTTACTAAGTCCCGTAACTCAAAAAGTTTTAATCTTATTTTCACCAAAAAGTATACAGATCGTTTGACCATCATAAGAAACAACTATGTTAAGTTTCATGAAATTTGGATAAGTCATTCTCAAGTTACGGTGCGACATGTTTACGCTGGACAGACAGACGGACAGACAGACGGACGGATGGCGGACATTTGTATACCATAATACGTCCCGTCAAAAATTTGACGGGCGTATAAAAATGCTTATTTGGGCCCCTTTTTTGGCCCCTAATTCTTAATTCCTAAACTGTTCGGACCATAACCCCCAAAATCAATTCCAATCTTCCTTTTGTGGCAATGAAGTCAAGGTCAGATAAAAACTGTCACACAGACATGTTACACCTTACAATTATTCCATACACCAAATATAGTTGACCCATTGCTTATGGTAATTGTAAAACAGACCAAAACACAAAAAATAAATGTTAACCAATGAACCATGAATATTAGGTCAAGGCCTAGGCCAGATGATACTGGCTAGACAGACATGTACAAATTACAATCATTCCATACACCAATTAGAGTTAACTTTTTGCTATTAGTATTTAAAAAAACAGACTAAAGCACAAAACACAACTTAACATTGACCAATGAACCATGAAAATGAGGTCAAGGTCAGATGACGCCAGCTAGACAGACAAGTACCCCATACAATCATTCCATAAACCAAATATAGTTGACCCATTGTTTGAAGTACTTGAAATACAGACAAAACACAGGAACTCAACATTGACCAATGAACCATGAAATGAGGTCAAGGTCAGATGACACCAGCTAGACAGACATGTACACCTAACAATCATTCCATATACCAAATATAGTTGACCTATTGCTTACAGTACTTGAAAAACAGACCAAAACTCAAAAAATAACAATGACCAATGAACCATAAAAATGAGGTCAAGGTCAGATAAAACCTGCCAGTCTGACATGTACCCCTTACAATCATTCCATACACCACATATAGTTGACCTGCTGCTTGTAGTATCTGAGAAATGGACCTAATCACATAACTTTAACCTTGATCACTGATCCATGAATTGAGGTCGAGGTCAAGTTAACCCTGTCTGATGGACATGTAAGCATTGCAAGGAACACATATACCAAATATAGTTATTTTACTCATAATAAGTGAGAAATTCACATGACAAAAAAACTGTAATTTTTTATTTAATCAGTCGCAGACCATGAAAATGAGGTCAAGGACTATGGGCATATGACAGACGGAAACTTCATAACATAAGGTATCTGCATATAAGGTATGAAGCATTCAGGTCTTCTACCGTCTGAAATATAAAGCTTTATACAAATAGTTTACGCTGCCGCCAGATAGAAATAATACCTATGTCTCGCATACTGTGACTTTCGTCGCAGGCTAGACAAAAATAAACTAATAAGAAAATAATGGTTCATTAGAGTAATAATTGTACTGATTGTTTGAAAAAAAAAACATACGAATCTTGCGTTTGTAGCAAAGAGTTAAATGTACCGTGTTTAGATAAATATTTATATTTATCACTAATTTCATAGTACTAACCTGCTACCAAAATGTGAAAATTGAATCATTTTATGATTGTGGCTAATATGTTTCGGTATGCATACCATATTTGACCTAAAATCTATGGCATGTTTGAAAAAGTTCCTAGTTTTGCTGTCCCACCTTTATTTTTATAACATGTATATTCATCCTAGATGTATGATGTATTTACATGTGAAGGTCAAACATCCATTTCATTTGTTTCTTGCTGAATATCATATTTGTTTTATGTTTTTTATTTTGAACATAAATCAGTCTGTTAGTTTTCTCGTAATGTTTGTTATACATTTGTCATTTCTGGGTCTTTTATAGCTGGCAATGAGTTATGGGTTTTCTCATTGTTAAAGACTGTCCAATTACTTATAGTTGCTAACTTCTACGCCATTTGGTCATTTTGGGTGGACCGAAAAGACATCATAGAGCTTTTATCTCACAATACACATTGCGCTAGCTAATGAGCATAAACAATATGCTGTTTGGTCTTTAAACTTGCTATAATTTAACAGAATGCAAAAATTCTGTCATCAGCTTTTTATCTTTTAATGAATAGGCAATATATGTAGCATAGCACTAATGTATTTATTAAATGAATTTACAATCTCACATTCAGCATTTTAACAACAACCTTATGGACTTTATACAAATTACTTACTTCTTACATCTGGAGAAATATCTAATAATAACATCCTCAGCTCCTGAAGTTGTACTCATCTCTACTTTTGAAGTAATTTTCTGTTAACGATATGAAAGAGAAGACAGGTCGTTTGTTAGCAAGAAACATACAAAAACATTTCCTAAAGAATAGCATGTTTCAATAAACTGTGGACACAGAGATATATCTCACCTGTATGTAATTTTGATAGTATAATGCAAATTAATGTTGAAATCACAATGGCTGGGTCCTATAATCTCCATCTCTAAATTTTCACCATGAAAATGAGATGTGCCAATGTTAATACAAATTCATACCAAATATCATTAACATACCACTATTTGTGCCCCATGAATTGAGATAACCACATACTAATACATTGTTGATGTGGCCACCAAAAACAGCATACCTAATTTTTGTCTTTGTGACTTTGATAGGGCAAACAAAAATCATAGATTTAGATATGCAATTCAAAATTGTCATTAATAATTTTATCAGAATGTTTTTTATTCTAACCAATGAAGAAGTCACTTTTATACATAGTTCTTAATCCTTTAAAAAGTAATCATCAATGACTTTATCTCTAACAATTTTTTATGTCAATATTCACACCCTCCAAAAATAAAACAAACAAACAACCAGATCTCTTTACAGTTTTTGCTGATATTTGCCCATAAATTAAGAAATTCCTAGCTTTTAAAAGATTATAAGTTGTTACAATTATGGTCTTCATGTTCTTGATTAGTTACAATTTAATAAACTTAGGTATTAAAACATTTTTGTTTATTAGATAAACAAAGAAATTACAAACTTTACAAAATAATAAAAAGAAACTGTGCATTTTGTTTAAATTGGAAATCAATCAATACATATTATAACACTTTAAGAATTCTTTCTTTAATCTATACACATCATATCATATTTTTCAAGTCCTTACTTGATAGTTATCTCTAACAAGAGCTACAATATTAGATGAATCATCAGCTAAACGTCCAGTCACAGACCCAGGAATGAAGTTCTTCAACTGCTTGTAGATATCCACTTGTTTTTCTGTTACAGCAAAAATCAAGTTCACATTCTTTTCTTCTATCTTAGCAGCAATCTGACTGATTGATGGATAATCCTGAAAAGTCACATATTAATAAATAATTCTTATATTATTTTACGATTGCTACTCTGCAAGTACAATTTTATCAGTATCACTTATTTTCACAAGAGTGCACACGCTGAAATGTCTCGCCTGCTTTGCTAACCATTGATTTTATGTTGAAAGTAATAAAAATAAAGGTTTTACTACAAGTATCACATAAACTTAACAGTTTTAAAGATCCATGACAATGAGGTCAAGGTAAAAATAAATCCTGTCAGACAGACATGTACACCTTACAATTATTCCATACACCAAATATAGTTGACCTATTGTTTATGGTAATTGAAAAAAAGACCAAAACACAACTAAACATTGACCAATGAACCATGAAAATTTGTAAGGGTTCCGCGGAACCCAGTATCTTTTTCTACTTTTGCTGTTAATCGCAGGCTCAACAAAAATGAGGAAAAAAAAAATAAAAATATTCCTCTCTATACTATCTTTTGATTGTAAGTAGCTGCTGTCCAAGTTTGGTAAAAATCCAGGATAGTTTAGGAATCTAATAAATGTTTTAAAAACTTAAACTGCAGACGGTATGTAATGTTAACTGGAAGAAAATCTAAGTCCATTTATAAGTAAAATACGGAAAAAATGGAACAAAATTTTAACAAAATTTCCTTCTAGATACTTGCTTTTAATCATAAACAGGCTTCTGTCAAAGTTTGGTACAAATCCAGGATAGTTTAAGAAAGGTGTTAAAATTTTAAAGTATATAAGTAAATTATATAAGTAAAATACGGAAAAAATGGATTTTTTTTTTACAAAATTTACTTCTGGATACTATCTTATGATCATAAATAAGCTTCTTTCCAAGTTTGGTAGAAATCCAGGATAGTTTAAGAAAGTTATTAAAATTTCAAAAACTTTAACCACAGAGTGAATGTAATGTTTCCTGGCAGAAAAACTAAGTCCATTTATAAGTAAAATACGGAAAAAATGGAATTTTTGTTTTACAAAATTTACTTTTAAATATTATCTTATGATCATAAACAAGCTTCTGTCTAAGTTTGGTACAAATCCAGGATAGTTTAAGAAAGTTAATAAAATTTCAAAAACTTTAACCACAGAGTGAATATTTGTGGACGCCGCCGACTACGACAACAACGACGGAATGTAGGATCGCTATGTCTCGCATTTTCGACAAAAGTCGAAGGCTTGACAAAAATGATGTCAAGGTCAGATCATACCTGCCATACAGACATGTATACCTTACAATCATTCCATGCACCAAATACAGTTGACAACTAATTATAGTATTTGAAAAACCAACCAAAACACAAAAAACTTAACATTGACCAATGAACCATCAAAATGAGATCAAAGTCAGATGATACCTGTCAGACAGACATGTACTCCTTACAATCATTCCATGCAACAGAATGGACACATATATAGAAATTTCGTTTTTTCTAACGTTTACCTCAAGGTTTTTTTTTAATTTTGTTGTTGCATAAGATAACTTTCAAAGAATATGTAAACATCTTACTATAACTTTGGTTAATTTAGTTACGATTATAGGTAAACTATCATAGATAAAAATAAATGTGGATAGTGTCCACATGTGGACACAGATGATGCCCCCGCTTGCATATCATATAGTTATAAAGGAACATAACTGAAGAACGGTAAAAGTGACGCTACCCAAATTTGAACTTGATCTGAGTTTTGTGGTAATAAGCATTGTGTGTAAGTCTCATAACATTTGGTTGAGGCTAACTAAAGTAAGAGAACAGAAACGAAAAATTCAGCAATTTTTATGTTTATAAAGGGACATAACTCAAGAATTGTAAAAGTGTTGCCACCAAATTTCGTACTTAATCTGTATTATGTAGTAATAAGCATTGTGTATAAGTTTCATAACATTTGGTTGAGGCAAACTAAAGTTAGAAAAGGGAAACAAAAAATTTGTACTTGATCTTAGTTTTGTGGTAATGAATATTGTGTATAGGTTTCATAATGTTTGGTTGGGGCAAACTTAAGTTACAGAATGGAAACTAAAAATTTTGCAATCTTTCGATTTATAAAGGGGCATAACTCAATAATGGTTAAAGTGACACTACCCAAATTCAACTTGATCTGTGTTTTATCAGTGGAAGTCAAAATTAAACATTGCATTGTATAAAGCATTGATTGTAGTTGATTCAACTATAATCATGGACAAAGGAAGATAACTCCAATTTTAATAAATTGCTTTGCTGAGCGCAGCTGTATACGACCGCAGATGTCCAACCCTGAAAAGTTGGGGCCAAAATGGACACAATATTCATGCTTGATACAGGTCTGAATTTGGATTGTAATTAAATTTTTGACTCATAATAGGTTTCTGACACAGAATAACTGTAGTCAAAGAACTTCAAATTGGTTATATGATTTAAATTTATATTCAATTTTATGATGCGAATTGACCCCCCCCCCCCCCCCCCCCCCCAAAAAAAAACAAACTTTACCCTGTTTTTTTGCGTTTGTGCAATACACTATGCTGTTGAATATTAACCCCCCCCCCAAAATATTTGAAAATAATTTCTTTTAATTTCTGAAATCTGAAATGAGAAAGATTGTCCCCCTCCAATTTTTTTCACCTCCCCCTTTCCCTTATTCCAAAAAATAATTCTTCCCTCAAGTTATGGTCAGTATCTCAGACAATCATCATTTCTTAATACATAATTTACAAGCAGTGTAAGGGAGGTAATCAAACATTGTTATTTAAATTGATTTGGATTTTGATTTGGATTTCCTCCCTTACACTGCTTTTAAATTGTCTCAATTGTCCTTTAACCAGAAAAACCCTTGTTTTTCCCCTTTTTTTGCCCCTAATTCCTAAATGGTTTGAGCCATAACCCCCCAAAGTCAATCCTAACCATCCCTTTGTAGTATGGAAACTTGTGGTATAATTTCAGAGAGATTCATACAATTTAACACAAGTTATTGTCTGGAAACTACAAAAATGCTTATTTAGGCACCTTTTTTGGTCCCTAATTCCTAAACAGTTGGGACCATAACCCCCAAAATCAATCCCAACCTTCCTTTAGTGGTTTGAAACCTTGTGTTAAAATTTTATTGATTTCTATTTATTATACTAAACTTATTATCAAGAAACCATCTGTCTTCTTACGACGCTGAAGACGCTGATGACGACGACGACAACGTGATACCAATTTACGACCAAATTTTTTTTAATTTTAACGGTCGTATAACAATTACTGGATATTTAGAAGAAAATAAAAATTTTGCAATTTTTCCATTATAAAGGGGCATAACTCTAGAACAGTTGAAGTGACGCCACCAAAATTCAAACTTGATCTGTGTTTTGTGGTAATAAGCATTGTGTATAAGTTTCATAACATTTGGTTGAGACAAACTTAAGTTAGAGAACGGAAACTAAAGATTTTGCAATTTTTTCCATTTATAAAGGGGCATAACTCTAGAACAGTTAAAGTGACGCCACCAAAATTCAAACTTGATCTGTGTTTTGTGGTAATAAGCATTGTGTATAAGTTTCATAACATTTAGTTGAGGCAAACTCAAGTTAGAGAACGGAAACCAATTTTGGGACTTGCGAACATATGTACAAACAGACAATGGTAAAACTTAATGCCCAGACCGCTACGGAGGGGGCATAAAAATACAAATGTTTGGTCAATTTAGGTCAGGTGTATCAAAGTTTAAAGCCCAAATGTTCTTTTTTCAAGCAGTCGCTGAACCATGAAAGCTTGGAGCGCAAATGTTATAACGTGTTTCAGGTAAAAAAGCACAAACATCCTTTAAGTGGTAATACATTAAAAAATATAATGAATTCCTGCCATTTCATATGCAGAATGAACTCTGTAGATTGATCCAGATTCACTTGCAATTTATGATTAACTTCTGGTTTTTATTTTGTTTCTCAAAATTGAAAGTAGGGTGCTTGAGTCTTGAGAAATTTACAGTTTTAAGACATTAAGATCATAAATTGTTCTTGAATGTTTTTAAAGAAAACATCAAGAAACTTAATTAAGTAAATGTAGTGAAACTGTCCATATAACTTCTATGATGCAGTGAATCTAGTGTGAATTTGACAGATTGCAAAACAGACCTTAACTTTCAAATCAATTCAAAATAACAGTAATCATGTAACGGCCCGGTAAGACCCCTTTTTGGCCCCAAAATATAACGTTTTTACAAAGTTGTTAAAAATATAAACTTTAGCTATTTATTGGAAAGAAGAATACTTTTGTTACATAAATATGGTTGGTTTTGGCAATTTGGGCAATATAATGGACATGCATCAGGTACTAGCATCATTATTGCATGCAAAAATACTGAAATCTTCACAACTTTTGCATTTTTGCTAATTCAAGACGTTTTTTGTCTAAAATGCAAGTGGCCGCACTTGTGTTCAGTCTTAATATTTAGATATATGTTGTATTTAATGATATTACATAACATAAATAAATGTTGAGATTTAACACGAATGCGGCCACTTCCATTTAAGACACAAGAGTGCACACGCTGAAATGTCTCGCCTTCTTTACTAATCATTGATATTATGTTGATAGTCCTAAATATAAAGCTTTATTACAACTGTCACATAAACTTAACTTTAACCAAGTAAACTAAACATTGACCAATGAACCATGAAAATGAGGTCAAGGTCAGATGAACCATGCTAGGCAGGCATGTACAGCTACCAATTCTTCCATACAACAAATATAATTGACCTATTGCTTATAGTTTAAGAAAAACAGACCAAAACACAAAAACTTAACTATAACCACTGAACCATGAAAATGAGGTCAAGGTCAGATGACACCTGCCAGTTGGACATGTACACCTTACAGTCCTTCCATACACCGAATATACTAGACCTATTGCTTATAGTATCTGAGATATGGACTTGACCACCAAAACTTAACCTTGTTCACTGATCCATGAAATGAGGTCGAGGTCAAGTGAAAACTGTCTGACGGGCATGAGGACCTTGCAAGGTACGCACATACCAAATATAGTTGAACTATTGCATATAGTACTAGAAAAAAAGACCAAAACTCAAAAACTTAACTTTGACCACTGAACCATGAAAATGAGGTCAAGGTCAGAAGACACCTGCCCGCTAGACATGTACACCTTACAATCATTCCATACACCAAATATAGTAGACCTATGACATACATTATAAGAAAAACAGACCAAAACACAAAAACTTAACTATAACCACTGAACCATGAAAATGAGGTCAAGGTCGGATGACACCTGCCAGTTGGACATGTACACCTTACAGTCCTTCCATACACCGAATATACTAGACCTATTGCTTATAGTATCTGAGATATGGACTTGACCACCAAAACTTAACCTTGTTCACTGATCCATGAAATGAGGTCGAGGTCAAGTGAAAACTGTCTGACGGGCATGAGGACCTTGCAAGGTACGCACATACCAAATATAGTTATCCTATTACTTATAATAAGAGAGAATCTAACATTACAAAAAATCTTAACTTTTTTTTCAAGTAGTCACTGAACCATGAAAATGAGGTCAAGGACATTGGACATGTGACTGACGGAAACTTCGTAACATGAGGCATCCATATACAAAGTATGAAGCATCCAGACCTTCCACCTTCTAAAATATAAAGCTTTTAAGAAGTTAGCTAACGCCGCCGCCGCCGCCGGATCACTATCCCTATGTCGAGCTTTCTGCGACAAAAGTCGCAGGCTCGACAAAAAACCATCTGAAAAGTGACGTTTAATGGCATATTTGATAGATTTTTCATATTAAAGCTTGAATTTGAGTGTCTTTAATGACCAAATCAGTTCAAATTTTCAACATAAACTAATTAAATCGACTAAAGTAGACACTCAAGTGTTTAAAAAAGGTAAAAAATCTTTCATTAAATGTACTTTGAATTTTAGGCCAAAATTATCCCTTACCGGACGGACCTTCTCCTTTTCAATCCTTGCAAAGTTTACAAAATTTCTGACATTGGTCATTCCCCCTTTATAATTTTTATCCAAAAAAATGTTAACTCTTCAAGATTACAGCTGCACCTTATGTAAATGCTTAATTAAGTATGACTGAAGATTCAGGGCCAAATATTCTCCATGGAAATGAGAAATGCCAATGCTCATACAACTGCATATCAAATTCCATTTTATCATAAGTGGTTTCTTTTAAACTGACATTAACACAGACTTTTACATCTAAACCATGAAACAGTTTTAAAGTCAATAAACCATGACTCAGTGGGCAGGGCCATATAATCTCCATGACATATGAAAATGAGAAGTGTAAATGCTAATACCAGTGCATACCAAATATCATTGACTTACAACTAGTGGTTCATCTTAAACTGACGTCATCACAAACTTTAACTTGTAAACAATGCAAAAGTTTTCAAAGTCAATAGACCATGACTTTAGGAAAAGGGGGTTGAATAATCTAAAGATTTAACCTGTTTGGTAGGAACTTACAGATGGATGGAATGAAGGACTAATAATCGGGCACACAAACCAGAAAATATAATATCTTAATAGAAGGGCATGAAATATTCGGGTTACGAGTAATAGGCGGTGTCCAAGAACGCTAATCGCTCTATGTCACAAATTTCAGTGATTAGAAAACCGTGGATTTTTTTATTTATACAATGACTTGTGTCAGGAAATTTGGACTGTGAATGATATCCAAAGCACAAGAATCGTGGAATACATTGGTACAAAAACATGACTGGAATAAAGTAATTGACACAAGCATGAACTTGTGCGATTTATGACCGTATATTGAGTACAAAGAGTTGGCCAACATACAAAATGTATTATAGCAAGCCCTTAAATTTACCCCAAGGCTGTCGTTTTTGTTGACAAACAGCAAACACCCTCTGTCCTCAGCCCCTTAATAGAGTCATTTAACAACTTCTTCTTTTTGGTTCAGTTTATGTTTTACATTGTAATTATATCTGAACCTTGCATAAGAATCTTCAAAGCATCAACACAGTTTGAGTTTTATTTCACTCTGTACTCATATTTGTGTTGCATACCAATGCATATGCTTCATTTTATGGGCACTTCAAATCATAGCTTAAAAGAAAAATAAATTTGATGTAGGTAGCCTAAAAGAGAACATTTCTCCACATTTTTTGGTATTTATTAAAAATAGGTTTCTAAAGCAGCCATTACATGTAGAACAGTGGTTGCTTATCAGAAATATTAATTTAAGAATTTGAAAATAATGAAGAATTCCTTATATATGCATGATATAAGCTTATCATTACCCTTGTATATGAACAACACGTCACAAAAGGGTTTAGGAGAAAAAATAAAAATTAACAAGCATTCTGAGAGTATTGCATGGCAATATATAGTCCCCTACCGGTTAAAAGTTTATCAGACCGGAACAAAATTCGAACTTGATCTGTAACTTGTCAGGATAAAACTAAATATTAATCATCAAATCAATATCTTCAAGCATGACGAAAAAAAGTGAGGAAAATTGATTATTTGAGTGAATTTTCTGTCCAAGGACCATAACTCTGCACAAAATCATCAGACCGGAACAAAATTCGAACTTGATCTGTAACTTGTCATGATAAAACTATATACCAATTATCAAATCAATATCTTCAAGCATGATGAAAAAAAGAGTTGAAAACTGATTATTTGAGTTAATTTTCCAAGTCCAAGGACCATAACTCTGCACAAAACAAACAAAAAGAAAAAAAGTGTGGAAAACTGATTTGCCTGACTGACGGATGGACAGACAGACAGACAGACAGACAGACGGACGGAGTGCAAACCTAAAGTCTCCTTCGACTTCGTCAGTAGGGGACTAAAAAATAAAATCCTCCCACCTGCCCCATTTTTTTCAAAAATCTGCATGTAAATCTACTAATTAATTTTAGTTGGGCCTTTTAAATTCATTTTACCCCTAAGTTATAACTCTTACCTGAGTTGAACTCTCTGTGTATATATCATTAGTAAGATGACACTGTCCATCATTTGGCTTTATAATACCACCAAGCTGTAAGATAAACAAGATCAAATTTAATGGAAATGATACTACAGATAAAGGTTGTCTTTTTATCTACTCATTGTGTGGATCCAATGACAGGATCATTACAATTGTCCAAAGGAATAACATTTCTTACATTTTGAGAAAATATGAAAGGCTGAATAAATTAAGGTTTTCCCTTGCTTCCATCAAAACTCAATTTTTTTCAATTTAACATTTTTATTTTATTTTAATCTAATAAAGAAAATTAAGTACTACATTTATAAAATAACCTTTCCATCACCAGCAAAGTGAAAACCAGCATCTGTTGAATATAGCAACATTCTTCTGGATGGGTTTCTCCATCCAATCTGACTCTGCAAGTAAATTTATCAAATCAATGTTTATAATCAAAGACACTGCATGGCTGAACTGTTGAGCTAAATACATATTTTAAACATTCATAATAAATGCTTTGTCAATATATCTTGGCTACTCTTTCTTTCTTACACAACAATGAGACTTTCATAAATATGAAATACACAACTTAATAACAAAATAATAAGCAATTACCCCAAAAATTGGTAAAAATTGTTATTTAAGGGCAATTACTCCAGTAAGGGGTTAACAGACTATTTCGGCAAGTCGATTTATTTGTAGATCTTGTATTGCTGATCAGTTGTGCTATTAAAGTTTCTATCTATCTATTATATTTTTCAAGATATTTGGCAAAAAAGCAAAAAAAGGTAAAAATTGTCATAAAAGGCCAATAACTTCAAAGGAGTTGACTGATGATGTCAGCCATGCTGCCTTATTAGTAGATCTTGTCTTGCTGATCATTTTTCCTTTTTAAAGTTTCTGTCTAACTATTATAGTTTTCTAGATTACAGGCATAAATGAACAAAATTTGTAAAATTCTTCATTTAAGGGCAATAACTCCTATAAAAAGTTGACTGACAATGTCAGCCATGGTAACTTAAGTGTAGATCTTGTCTTGCTGATTGTTTTTGCTTCAAAAAAAGTTTCTGTCCATCTATTATAATTTTCAAGATTATAGGTAAAAAATGGTAAAGAAAATTTTTGTAACGATGACAGAAGACAGATGACAGATGCCAAGTGATGGGAAAATTCACACTGGCCTTTTGGGCTTCTGTATACACTGACCTTTAGCATGACACCTTGTTCGAAATTTGGCAATTGCACAAAGGAAAAAACTGTGATGAATGAAAAAGTAAACAAATGTGAAAGGAAGATAGTATTAACCGATTATGAAAGAAAAATTTAAATACACCTCATCATTTAACATCTGTTATGAAAAAGTTTAATTAACAAATTGTGGGAACACATGGAAAATTAAAAAAAATAAATGGGGAATGTGTCCATGGGACACAGCTGATGCCCCTGCTTGCATATAATGTTATAAAGGGACATAACTCAAGATCTGTAAAAGTGACACAACCCAAATTTATACTTAATATGAGTTTTGTGGTAATAAGCATTGTGTATACGTTTCATAACACTTAGTTGAGGCAAACTTAAGTTAGAGAACAGAAACCAAAAATTTAGCAATTTTTCCATTTATAAAGGGGCATAACTCTAGAACAGTGAAAGTGACGCCACCGAAATTCGAACTTGATCTGTGTTTTGTGGTAATTAGCATTGTGCATAAGTTTCATAACATTTGGTTGAGGCAAACTAAAGTTAGAGAACAGAAACGAAAAATTCAGCATAATTTCCATTTGTAGACGGGCGTATACGTAACTCTAGAACAGTAAAAGTGACTCCACCAAAATTCAAACTTGATCTGTGTTTTGTGGTAATAAGCATTGTGTATAGGTTTCATAACATTTGGTTGAAGCAAACTAAAGTTGGAGAACGGAAACGAAAAATTCAGCAATATTTCCATTTGTAAAGGGGCATAACTCAAGAACGGTAAAAGTGACGCCACCAAATTTCAAACTTGGTCTGTGTTTTAAATTAATAAGCATTGTGTATAAGTATCATAACATTTGGTTAAGGCAAACTAAAGTGAGGGAACGGAAACGAAAAATTTTGCAATTTTTCCATTTGTAAAGGGGCATAACTCTAGAACGATAACAGTGACACCACCAAAATTCAAACTTGATCTGTGTTTTGTGGTAATTATTATTGTGTATAAGTTTCATATTATTTGGTTGAGGCAAATTAAAGTTAGAGAACGGAAACCAATTATGGGACGTACGGACGGATGGATGGACGTACAGACAGACAAGGTTAAAACTTTATGCCCCCTCCACTAAGGCGGGGGCATATAAAATAAACTGCTTCGCTGAGCGCAGCTGGATACCCCCGCAGAGGTCTAACCCTGAACAGTTGGGGCAAAAATGGACACAATATTCAAGCTTGATACAGGTCTGAATTTGGATTGTAATTAAATATTTGACATACATGTATCATAGGTTTCTGAATAAATGTAGTCAAAGAACTTGAAGTTGGTTATATGAATTGAATTTATATTCAATTAAAGATTACTTGCTGTTGTGCAATACACTGTGCTGTTGCGCAATACTTAGTAAATCTGTTGTCAGACTATAAACAAATAAAATTTATAAAATTCTAAAGGGAGCTTACATCAATAGATATAAACAGTTCACCAAAGTTTCATACGAATTGCTGAAAGCATTTTTGAGTTATTGTCTGAAAAATGGAAAATCCCCCCTTTTTTAATGAATAAACCCCATAATTCGGAAATGTAAAATCTAAAATTTATAAAATTCCAAAGGGAGCTTACATCAATAGATATCAACAATTCATCAAAGTTTCATGAGAACTGCTGAAAGCATTTTTGAGTTATTGTCCGAAAACTGGAAAATCCCCCTTTTTTTTATGAATAAAACCCCATAACTCGGAAACGTAAAATCTAAAATTTATAAAAATCCAAAGGGAGCTCATGTCAATAGATATAAACAATCAACCAAAATTTCTTGCATGTTGGTGAAAGCATTCTTGAGTTATTGTCCGAAAACTGGAAAACCCCCCTTTTTTTAATGAATAAAACCCCATAACTCGGAAACGTAAAATCTAAAATTTATAAAAAACGAAAGGGAGCTCACGTCAATAGATATAAACAATTCACCAAAGTTTTATGCAAATTGGTTAAAGCGTTTTTGAGTTAATATCCGACATGTTGACGACGGACGAACGGACAGACGGACGTACAACGGTATACCATAATACGTCCCGTAAACGGGCATATAAAAACTAAATGCTCTTCATCTCACTTATTATACAAGTGCTCCATGAATATGTGTTTATTGTTATCAAGGTCACAATTGGTTAACTTTGACACTAAAACCTGAAAGTTAATAAACAGCCAATTTTTTCTATCAACATTCCAAATGAAATATCTTTTTGTTGATTATAAGTTATGGATTTGCAATAAATGTAAAACACATGCACAGATGACTTAATTTATTATATATACATGCATTGGTTCATTAGTTTCCTTAAGGATGTACAAAAATGTACACTTCTGAGGAGCCAAAAATTTCTAGAATTAAACTTTGATTAACATGATTTTTTGGTTTATATGACTATAAGAAAGTAATTGATGAAGAAAAAAAAATATGGTGGTGCACTTCTTTTTTTTTGTTTCGGCCATTTGAAAGTACCCAATTTTTAATGATTTTCCCATTTTCATCACTTTTTACCCATTTTTGGGCTAATATCATGAAATAAATCACAGTTTCACAATTAAACTTTTTTTCATTCTTTCACTAAAGATGGAGTGGACCAATCTGAATAAATTTAACTTAAAAAACTATAGGTTGCTGTTAATATTAGAAAGTTTTATAAAATTTTGTTGCTTTTTCGTGTCAAATTGAATTGACCATGCTGTCAATTTTGTAAATTTGGGATTTTTCTCTTTTTTTTAGAACAAAAAGCATATCATTTCAACTTTTCTTTGTTATAAATGATTTGAAAAATATGTATCAAAGAATTTTGAAAAGACAAAATTGATATGTGATGTACATATTTTTGGTAAAATCATTTTTTGTAGTCCCATTTTCTCAACATTTTGGCTGATGACACTGACCGGATTGGTTATAAAATTTGAAAACTTCATTACTCAAAAACTAGTTATTGTAAGTACACAATTTTTCACAGAGTTTAATTTGATTATAATATTTTTTAAATTCATTAATATTTTCCACTTGTATCACACGTTTTGGAAATTATGCCCGAAAAAAATTTCAACGAGACTGAAACATCAGATGAATACATTCTTAACATTAGAATCATAATAACTTTAATATGATGACATGCTTGTCTTCCTAATGTTTCCTCTACATGCATTTGGCATGATAAGATGTCTTGTAACACACAGTCTGTCCAAGTGAGATCGCTTACTCCAGATTTCAAAAATTCAAAAATGATTTGTATAAGTTGGAAGTTTGGTGTGTCATAAAACCTTGTTCCACCAAGTGCCTTTGTCACTCAGTAAGAGCCAAAGAACAATTTGCAAGAAAATTGCATCATCATTGACTTTTTAAGGAAAATCATATTCAAGTCAAAAAGACATGCATCTTTTTTCATTTATGGAGAAATACTTCATTTCCAAAAATTAAGACAACCTCAAACTTACCTCACATGCAATAGCTTGCATCACAGCATCCAAACCACCTTCTGGTGCATCTAAATTTCCTGACACTTTAGCCTCTTGTACTTTTGTCTGCAAAACAAAGAAACACAAGCACTTTAAAATAAGAATATGGCATATGGAACAAGTCTGTAATTTTCCAATGCAACAAACAATCAGGACCAATAAGAATGCATATGTTGTTGTGCTTAGCATATCCACACTCTTATTTCAAAGTATAGGAAAACAGGAAGAAGTTGTCTGACAGATCTGAAAAGCACACAAACATTACAACTCATCACTGTTGAGCAATTGACCATTCTGTTCATTCATATTGGAGAAAAGTGTGATCAAAAAGTTTAGTTCATTTAACATATTAATAAATTCAAAGTAACTGCAAACGGCAAGTAGATAGCTGACAGATGGCTATACATGATAAAACAAAGTCTTTGACAGAATATTTACCTTTTTGTTTGTTGGTTAACTGATTCGAAACTGTTTGTACGCACAAAATTATTGATTTCAATCATATTCTTTATAAAAGAGAGCTAAGAAAGAAGTATTAAATACTAACACAGAGAAAACATTACAGAAGTTCCATTTAATTTACTTGTTATTCAATCTATTTTAAACCGCCAATGACAAATTGTAAATTTGTAAAACCGCCAAATGACAAATTGTTGTAAATTTGTAAATTTTTACACTGTCCAATGAATAATGGCATCAGCAATCAGATCAAAAGGCAGCAACTGGCAATATATTGTTCACCAGCTGGGCAATAACTGTTGATAATTAAGGTATTACTATACACATTTTACTTGCATTGGCAACTTGGCCACCGCTGTTCTAATTTCCTAAAGCAGATTTTTTTTTTTTTTGACGATACAATATTTTTGAAAAGATAATATAAAACATTTAAATTTGAGTCAAAGATACTTTATAAATCATCAAACTCCATATTATCCTGATGAAAGCAACTTGTAAATACCCTGTTTGAATTATTAATTATGATAACATCCTTTCTCTAATTCTTCGTCAATTTATCCCTTTCTGCACCCATTGTATAAAAAAAATTTAATCAACGTGTGGTTCATTTGATCTCCGTTCTTCATTGGTTAAAATCTGATTATGACGTCGAATTTACTTGCTTTCCTCTGAATTTCCTATTGTGACGGCATGAAAAAAGGCGACCATGCCTGATGACGTCACATAGAAAGAACACATCTTTTTACAGATCATTCGAAAAGACAGAATAAGTTTGCCTGCATATTGTTTGAAAATCATTAGAGAAACAGATTCCACCACCAAATCTAGTGTAATAGGAAATTTATCCACTCTCGACAGTTAAATTTTAAATATTTAAAACGCTCGGTGAGCCTCGCGTTTTAAATTTGAAAATTTAACTGTCTCGAGTGGATAAATATCGTATCACACTCGATGCAGTGGTAGAATCTATATATATCATGAACATTTTAGGCATGATTTGTTCTTCGGATAGGAAAGGGGATAAAATCCAAAATCACAGTTGAAACTTAGTGACTATTATAATATTTTAGATCACCTGAAAAAGGCTGGGATCTCCATTCAATGGCAGCTGGTTTTTAAATCCATAAGCAGGCTCACATTGTTCACAGGGGTTATTGATTCTAGATTAATAAAAATAAAAACATGTTTATTCTTCATTCATATATCATAAATGTACATATAAATAAAACATAATTTTTAAGATCAAAGATATTCAATTCATGCTACATAGTTAAAAAAAAAAAAAAAAAAAAAAAACTGAAAAACATTACAACTGAAAAATAGCTTGTATATAATATATAGTCATAAGTGTCCAGTATTATTAAATAAAACGATACTTAGTAAGTAGGACAAGCACTTTAGTGAAGGAAATCCCCTGAATTAAGATGAGGTGTATACCTTCACTCCTGCACATTTGGTAGGATTTTCATGCATGGCTAAACGGTTAGGAAGAGTTGTGTATTGGCCTAATTAACCCTTATTGTTGAACTTGTCTGACATATGGCTGATCTTCACATTTGACATACACTCATTGAGAAATATAGGTGTGAGAACACTTACAATGTCTAATTTCCAATTTATTTAGATTCCCAAGAAACAAAACTCCATAAAACTATTTGATTGGCCCTAATTTTTGAAAATCCTTCGACAAATATTTCATTATTGCTATTTTCAAAATACCAGTACCAGTCAAGTTACAATTCTATGTGGCCTTTAAGTTTGTATATTAGCCTACAATATAGATATGTAGTCTTGAGAATTGAAAGGTCAGTTTATCCCATTCATACAAAAGGAGTTTATTCATTTGGCTTCATGCCATTTATCTTGTCAAAATATAGGCCAGAGCATTATTATTCCATGACCAAACTGACTGAGTAAAGGTGCAAGGCTTATCAACACTGAATTGTGTCATCATAGTACACAGGTAGCTAAAGTTAGATTTTGATTAATTGCTTTATGTAGAATTTTTTTTTTATCTTTTACAAACATAAAGGAGAAGGGGCATTAAGGCCTGGTTTTGGCCCAAGAATATAAAATGTTTTACAACTATTTCAAATTGGCACATAATGTTTGGAAATGCAAAGAATCAAGAAATATAAATGAAAAACATATTATTTATCTGATGGCGTCACAATAACGTCATCATATGTAGCGTTTTCATGAAAACGATGAAAAATACAGAATTTATGTCGTTTTCCATCGTTATTTCCATCGTGGAAACATCGTGCGCAGCCAAGAAACAACAAAATAATTTAAGAGAAGCTTTATCATAACTATTGACATAATCTCACCAAACATAAAGTTGTTTCTTTGGTGCCCACATAATTTGCCAATCTAAAATATACTTACAATTTGATGAAAAACAAGGAAAATCAAGAAATTTTACAAGATATCCAAATTTAGTCATGGTTTGTTGCCATGGTAACTCGCTAAATGTGAAATTTGTTTTTATTTTCTGAATACCTTGTACCTTAGTCTAGTTAGGAAAATTTAAGAATATATATATGATAACTTTTAAATTTGCTGTAATATTTGGGCCTAATAAGGGCCTTATTGCCCCTCTTCCTTTGGCAGAAAAAGTCCAGAATTTGGCAAAAACTTGTATGCCAAAAAACCTAAATTGATGCGAAATTTATTTAAATTTTTCCAAAAAAATTGTTAACTACCACATATTTTGATGAAAAAAAAAATAGTTATGTTAAAAAGAAAACATTTTTGAAAAAAAAAATACCAAATATAGAACAAAAAAATATTAAAAAATACCAAATTTTGTGATTTAAAGTCCAAACTTTGGCAAAAAACTTGTAAGGTAAAAAAAAAAATGCCTAATTGTGTGGAAAAAAAATGTCCTCCAATTTTCAAATGAAAAGTATTTTCTTTAAAAAAAAAATCCTCTCATTTGAAATATTTTACAAAAGTATAAACATTACCAATTTATCTGCACGGGATGCGCATTTTGACAATTAATGTCTCTTCAGTGATGCTCAAGGCCAAAATATTTAAAAATACAAAATGTAATACAAACGTAGAAGCGATGATCAACCAGAAGGACTTTAAGTATAGCCATAACCAGACAAGGAATCAGACCTTTGCATAAGGAAGATATATATTCCTTAATTTAAAATGAATTCTAAAATTTTATAACAGTATATTTCAATCAAAACAATATTCATATTTACATGCCAGTACCACAGTCCTGGCTACTGAATAATTCTCTATCAGGTTTGGGTGTGAACAAGAAAGTGTAATAGTAAAACATGTCAAGCACTGTATATTTTTATAAGTATTTTCTTATATCACAAAAAAACTACAATGGAATGTAAGGTGCAATTATTGCGAACCCAATGAAAGTTTTCCACAGTGCCATCTCTATCTTGACCAGGTATTTAAACTTTTGTAAGTTCACCTGTCCTATTGAATAAATACAATAGCTATTGTTCTCTGTGTAGTTTATTCTCTGGGACCTTTAAATTTCTTCTAAGAGAAATCTTATCATTCATTGATTAAATTACCTGAGTAAAAAAATGATCTTATATATTGACAAAAATACTTTTTTTATACTCATTAACTGCGTGTGATGATGTATTTATTCAATATTAATAATATGTTTTCATTCAGTTTAATATAAACATTGATTCAATCATAAAAAATTGATTTCTGACAAAACTTTCAACATTGTTCCTTTTAAAAAAAAATTTGTTTGACATGAATAAGAACTTGAAAATTATGATGTTTCAAATTAAGATCTTCTCAAATGTATTCTATAACTAAACAAAAAAAAAATCAAATTTCAATAGGAACATTGATAAAACCTTTGTTAGAAATCAACTTTTTATGATTGAATCAATGTTTATATTAAACTGAATGAAAATATATTATTAATATTGAATAAATACATCATCACACGCAATTAATGAGTATAAAAAAAGTATTTTTGTCAATATATAAGATCATTTTTCTACTCAGGTAATTTAATCAATGAATGATAGATTTCTCTTAGAAGAAATTTAAAGGTCCCAGAGAATAAACTACACAGAGAACAATAGCTATTGTATTTATTCAATAGGACAGGTGAACTTGCAAAAGTTTAAATACCTGGTCAAGATGGAGATGGCACTGTGGAAAACTTTCATTGGGTTCGCAATAAAAGGGCTAAATAATTCAACATTCACAGATTTTTAACAAGTATCTCCACACTATGTAAACAGTGTCCTATATATATATATATATATATGAAATGTGCCTTTGAGTTCTCTGTGTACTGTGACTTCCATTTTGCAACACCACATAGCAACAGGACATTCAGTTTTGTATGTTTATTTTGTTTCTACATTGATTCTGCAGTTCTTAATAACATAATATATTAGAGAATGAATTTTGCATAAATAAATTTGCATAATAAAAATAATAATACAAGTTAAAAGTATTTGGGTGTATTACATGTATTATCTGAATGCCCGATCGTGTTCCACGATTTGTTACAATTCAGTTAAAATTATTATTACAAATGCCAAAACATGAATTAAACCACTCTTCAAAATAATTTATATATGATATCAAACAAGCATGATCCCTAATATTGCTATATAGTTTTACATTTAATGACCTTTCAATTCTCAAAGCTAAATATCTATTTTGCAGGCTAATATACCAACTTAAATGGCAACAGAGAATTGTAATTTGATTGAAACAGGTCTTTTGAAAATAGCCATAAAACCCATAAAAACTGTATTTAGAGTTCTTAAAATGTCAGACTGAAGTACATCGTCATGTCCATATCCCTAGTCATCCTTTGGGGCGGATACGATTAAACACTAAACATTATGGTTGGTGCAGTTTTGTAAACTACTGTGCATTTAATGAATTTTTGTCTGAATAAAAATAGAAAAGATATTCTTATCTACAAGTTTATAAGATAATTTGCATGCGTTATGAATCTACTATGGCCATAATAAAGTAATTTAATGAACTGAAGTAAATCAATATATATTGAGGAAGCAAGAGTACACATGCTATAATGTCTTGCCTGCTTTTCTGATTATGACTGAATTTTATCATATCTTTGAAATCAATGTCTTACTACAGGTCCAAGAAAATAAGGCGAAGGTCATATGACCCCTGTCCAACTGATATAACCGCCTTTAAATAGTTCTATATATCAGGTTGACCTTCCAATTGTGGTTACTGGAAATTTGATGCAATAAAAAAACCTTAAAAGTTTAATACCAAACCATGAAAATTAGGTCAAGGTCAAAGGAACCCTGTCAGACTGACATGTTCACCTTACAATCATGCAAACAACTTACTTAGAAATGTAGAAAACTTAATAATTGACCAATGTTGGTGAATAGTTGTCTCATTGGCAATCATACCATGCCACATCTCCTTATGTTTATAATGAACAATGAAAATGAGTTAAAAGTAAGAGGAACCCTACCACCATCTACACTTTACAGTAATTCCATGCACCAAATAGAGGAGACCTATGACTTACAGTCTCTGAGAAACTGACCTAATCATAAAAAACTTGACTTTGACAAGTGAACCATTAAAATTGAGGTTGCAGTCAGATTGGCCTTGCCAGATGGACATACACATTAAAATCAAGCATTACACCAAAAAATAGAGTTGACATATAACTCATAAAACTGAAAACATGAGTGCAACTGCTGAAATATCTTATCTGCTTTACTGATCATGATTGATTTATGTTGAAAGTCATCAAGACAAGGATCTGGAAATTTTTCTCACAATTTCTGTTATTTCCAGATGACTTGAAAGTAAGGTTTATTTTGTCAATCTGTAGAATTCATACTACATTCACAGCATCAACAAAGTAACATTGATGATTTCACAGCATTTATTCCAGGAAATTTCTTACCATTTTACTACAAACGTTCAAGAATGATTTATGGAATAATACTGTTAAAAATTGAAGTGATTTTAATGACTTAAAACTGTATATTTCTCAAGAATCAACCACCCTACTTTTGATTTTGAGAAACAAAATATAAACAAGAAAGTTAATCATCAATTACAAGTAGTTCAGGATTCATCTACAGAATTTGTTCTGTTTATCAAATGGAAAGAAACCATCATATTTTTTTAATTTATTAATTGTAAAAATGTTTGAATATAACAGATACTAGCTTTACTTGTTTAATTTGGCAATTGTGTTTGCAAAAAATGGTCCTCTTTGCTTGGTATGGTGACCTGCACACTGAAGCATAAGTGATCATTCCCTTTCATTAAAGACCAAAAGAAATGTGACAAAAATTTTCCTTGTACAATGACTGTTGTAAAATTTCAAAATATCAGCTAACAGGAAGTGGTTGAAGTGGCCGATGTTTTTAGTAAAAAGATATAAACTGTTGATACAGAGATATGTCTCGCCGGTTGGCATAAAATTCAGAAAAAGACAGTCTGATGGACAGAGACATTGCTTATTAATTCAAAGTCACTGGACCATGATCTAGTGGGCAGGGCCTGAAAATGGTCAACAAACTGAGATGTACAGACAGTAATGTAACTTTATAGAAAATATAGTTTTCTATTGTAAGTAGTTCCTATCAATCTAACTTAAGAAGAAAACTTAACATTGAAAATTGCTAATAAATTTAAAGTCACTGGACCATGACCTAGGGGACAAGGCCTCGAAATAGTGGTCAAACTGATATAAACTGTTAGTAATGCAACTTTATATTATATATCAATGATCTATCACAAGTAGTACCTATCAAACCAACTAAAGCAGTAACCTTAACAATTGTTGACGCCATTGCCATTGCCAGAAAGGCAATCCCTATGTCTCGGTTTCTGCAACTTTTATCGCAGGCGAGACAATAATCATTCCCTTCAGTACCCGCCAAGAAAAGTTTGACGAAAATTTTCCTTCTAGAATGAGTGTTGTAAAATTTCAACAAAAAGTGAATGCACGGCTGATGTAAAAATTGCTTACTTGCTACAACTCAACATTATGATGCTGCAAATCAAATATAAAACCATTTCCCTTGATAGAAGCCAAGAAAAGTTTGACAAACATTTTCCTTGCACAATTGCAAAAATTTCAAATGATTGGCTAACAGAAAGTTGGTGGATGTAAAAATTGCTTACTCGCTACAACTCAACATTATCAAGGTGCAGACCAAATATCAAAATTTTCTTTGATAGAAAGCCAAGAAAACTTTCTACCAAAGATTTTTTGGACGGATGGACGGAAGGAGTTGAGTGGTTACTAAACCTGCCTTTGCGACACAGGTAAAAATAAAAAGGAAATTTATTCCACAAATACTTAAGATTGTGATTTATCAAAAACATCCCCTGGAATATGGCTTGTTAGTAACAGTTGTTAAATTTCTCTGATTATAATATTTTATCTAGGATCATCAAAGCAATCAAGCTCTTAGTTATCTACAATTCTTCTAATATAAAGACAGTGATCATGTTGTTAAGAATCATAAAACTGGAGGATCTTGCATCATTAACTAGCAGTTCTTGATTTAAATTTTGTATTTTCAAGTGTGACATTCTGCCTGCAATATACAGCCAAAAAGAAAATCAACAATATCCTTTAACAATGTTTAAAGAAATTTAGGGATCACCATCTTTAATTCCAAAATATCCAGACAATTTCATAAATAACTCTCAAAATGCTTGAATGCAATTTTATTAAAGATTTCAGTTGTTAATTTTAGATCGCATTTTCTTGATGCACCTTCATCAGGAATGCTCAAACCACAAAATTTGAATGCCAAGGATGTATGAATATGAGGAAGTTGACACCTTATTTCTTAAAAATTCTAAATTTATCAATGAGGAATTTAAAAAATGTATGCTTTAAATCATGTCAGTGCTAAAGCATTGATTTCTGAGTTAAATGTAGATTCCCTGAATCTCCAAGTGGCCCAAAGGTATCAGATGATGTCATAGTTTGCAAAGTCAAAATATGATAAGAATGGCAATAGCCCACACTTTCCCTCTTTTAAAAGTCATATCTAAATCTAACTAGAACATAATCACTGTCCAATATTACATATAAATTACAATTGTATTACATTTTTTGTACATAGAAATCATCTCTGTTACAGTGATTGTGAAGAGAAGTTTGACCTGGACTGTAAAAATGGCCAAATGTTACATGTATATTAACATTGTAGTAATTGTAAAAGAACACAAGCTAAACATCAGCTATCTTTTAGTTGAGGCATAATTCAAATTAAAAACTCCATATTACCCCTGTCTACTTTCCCTTCTAATCACTGTAAAGACAACATGTAACTTCAACAGCAGATAATTTTTAAGGGTTTATTATTCATATTTTTAAAAAAAGACTGTCACATCAAAATACAACATTCAAACAAAATTTTTACACTATGTTGGATGTCATACAACTTTATAAACATTAATCTAGTTAAATTACCTTTTCCTTCTTATGATGAAAAATTCAGTTTTAAAAAAAAGGATTTTTTGGCTTGGTAATATTACTTTTTCACATAATGATTGAAAAAGAAAGCAAAAAAGTCATTCATCCTTTATTATCACAAATAACTGGAAGAATACTATTTGTTGAAAATTAAAAAAATATAAAATTGACACAAGAAAACCTAAAGAACATAAAATCATTTTAGTGAGTAAGCCTATTATAGGGAATTACAAGTAAACTTTTCTATAATTTAGTCTGTAAATGACTAGATTTATCAATGAAATGCAAATGTAACTATCATAAAAAAATTCTTTTGCTGTCTGTAGAAATTACATGAAAATGATTGAGCTGATTTCTAACATAACAACATGCTACATGCACATTTCTGTTATCCTTTAGTTACAATTTGATGCAGTGTTTATGCTTTCAGATTATGGTTATTTTTCATAGGAAAAATATTTATTTAAATGTAATCTGATTTTATGCATGTGAGTTAAAGTCATATGATATTTCAATTTTTTTTTAAAGTTGAATATATGTTTTATATACTGGTACTTGAATGGCTAAGTTTTACTATAAAACACATGTATATGGACTTTTTTTCTGTGTTGTTTGTTTATCAAGGTCACGTTTGGTAAACCTCAGCAATAAAACATGAAAGTTTATTAGCAGGCAAAGTTTTCACTGAATGAAATATTTTTGTCGATTTTATGTTATGGATTTGTATATAAACTGCTTCGCTGAGTGCAGCTGGATACGCCCACAGAGGTCCAACCCTGAACAGTTGGGGCAAAAATGGACACAATATTCAAGCTTTATACAGGTCTGAATTTGGATTGTAATTAAATATTTGACATATTATAGGTTTCTGAATAAATGTAGTCAAAGAACTTGAAAATGGTTATATATGAATTGAATTTATATTCAATTAAAGATTTCTTGCTGTTGTACAATACACTATGCTGTTGCGCAATACTTAGTAAATCTGTTGTCAGACTATAAACAAATAAAATTTATAAAATTCTAAGGGGAGCTTACATCAATAGATATAAACAATTCACCAAAGTTTCATAAGAATTGCTGAAAGCATTTTTGAGTTATTGTCTGAAAACTGGAAAATCCCCCCTTTTTTAATGAATAAAACCCCATAACTCGGAAATGTAAAATCTAAAATTTATAAAATTCTAAAGGGAGCTTACATCAATAGATATCAACAATTCATCAAAGTTTCATGAGAACTGCTGAAAGCATTTTTGAGTTATTGTCCGAAAACTGGAAAATCCCCCTTTTTTTTATGAATAAAACCCCGTAACTTGGCAACGTAAAATCTAAAATTAACAAGAGTGCACACGCTGAAATGTCTCGCCTTCTTTACTAATCATTGATATTATGTTGATAGTCCTAAATATAAAGCTTTATTACAACTGTCACATAAACTTAACATTAACCAAGTAAACTAAACATTGACCAATGAACCATGAAAATGAGGTCAAGGTCAGATGAACCATGCTAGGCAGGCATGTACAGCTAATAATTCTTCCATACAACAAATATAGTTGACCTATTGCTTATAGTTTAAGACAAGAGTGCACACACTGAAATGTCTCGCCTTCTTTACTTATCATTGATATTATGTTGATAGTCCTAAATATAAAGCTTTATTACAACTGTCACATAAACTTATTATTAACCAAGTTAACTAAACATTAACCAATGAACCATGAAAATGAGGTCAAGGTCAGATGAACCATGCTAGGCAGGCATGTACAGCTAACAATTCTTCCATACAACAAATATAGTTGACCTATTGCTTTTAGTTTAAGAAAAACAGACCAAAACACAAAAACTTAACACTGAGCAATGAACCTTGAAAATGAGGTCAAGGTAAAAAAAAAACTGTGTGACTGACAAATAGATCATAAAATATTTCCATACACCAAATATAGTTGAACTATTGCATATAGTATTAGAAAAAAAGACCAAAACTCAAAAAATTAACTTTGACCACTGAACCATGAAAATGAGGTCAAGGTCAGATGACACCTGCCAGCTAGACATGTACACCTTACAATCATTCCATACACCAACTATAGTAGGCCTATTGCATACAGTATAAGAAAAACAGACCAAAACACAAAAACTTAACTATAACCACTGAACCATGAAAATGAGGTCAAGGTCAAATGACACCTGCCAGTTGGACATGTACACCTTACAGTCCTTCCATACACCGAATATACTAGACCTATTGCTTATAGTATCTGAGATATGGACTTGACCACCAAAACTTAACCTTGTTCACTGATCCATGAAATGAGGTCGAGGTCAAGTGAAAACTGTCTGACGGGCATGAGGACCTTGCAAGGTACGCACATACCAAATATAGTTGAACTATTGCATATAGTATTAGAAAAAAAGACCAAAACTCAAAAACTTAACTTTGACCACTGAACCATGAAAATGAGGTCAAGGTTAGATGACACCTGCCCGCTAGACATGTACACCTTACAATCATTCCATACACCAAATATAGTAGACCTATGGCATTCAGTATAGGAAAAACAGACCAAAACACAAAAACTTAACTATAACCACTGAACCATGAAAATGAGGTCAAGGTTAGATGACACCTGCCAGTTGGACATGTACACCTTACAGTCCTTCCATACACCGAATATACTAGACCTATTGCTTATAGTATCTGAGATATGGACTTGACCACCAAAACTTAACCTTGTTCACTGATCCATGAAATGAGGTCGAGGTCAAGTGAAAACTGTCTGACGGGCATGAGGACCTTGCAAGGTACGCACATACCAAATATAGTTGAACTATTGCATATAGTATTAGAAAAAAAGACCAAAACTCAAAAACTTAACTTTGACCACTGAACCATGAAAATGAGGTCAAGGTTAGATGACACCTGCCCGCTAGACATGTACACCTTACAATCATTCCATACACCAAATATAGTAGACCTATGGCATTCAGTATAGGAAAAACAGACCAAAACACAAAAATTTAACTATAACCACTGAACCATGAAAATGAGGTCAAGGTTAGATGACACCTGCCAGTTGGACATGTACACCTTACAGTCCTTCCATACACCGAATATACTAGACCTATTGCTTATAGTATCTGAGATATGGACTTGACCACCAAAACTTAACCTTGTTCACTGATCCATGAAATGAGGTCGAGGTCAAGTGAAAACTGTCTGACAGGCATGAGGACCTTGCAAGGTATGCACATACCAAATAGAGTTATCCTATTACTTATAATAAGAGAGAATCTAACATTACAAAAAATCTGAACTTTTTTTTCAAGTAGTCACTGAACCATGAAAATGAGGTCAAGGACATTGGACATGTGACTGACAGAAACTTCGTAACATGAGGCATCCATATACAAAGTATGAAGCATCCAGACCTTCCACCTTCTAAAATATAAAGCTTTTAAGAAGTTAGCTAACGCCGCCGCCGCCGCCACCGGATCACTATCCCTATGTCGAGCTTTCTGCGACAAAAGTCGCAGGCTCGACAAAAAACAGACCAAAACACAATAACTTAACACTGATCAATGAACCTTGAAAATGAGGTCAAGGTCAAATAAAACCTGTGTGACTGACATATAGATCATAAAATATTTCCATACACCAAATATAGTTGAACTATTGCATATAGTATTAGAAAAAAAGACCAAAACTCAAAAACTTTACTTTGACCACTGAACCATGAAAATGAGGTCAAGGTCAGATGACACCTGCCAGCTAGACATGTAAACCTTACAATCATTCCATACACCAAATATAGTAGACCTATTGCATACAGTATAAGAAAAACAGACCAAAACACAAAAACTTAACTATAACCACTGAACCATGAAAATGAGGCCAAGGTCAAATAAAACCTGCATGACTGACATATAGATCATAAAATATTTCCATACACCAAATATAGTTGAACTATTGCATATAGTATTAGAAAAAAAGACCAAAACTCAAAAACTTTACTTTGACCACTGAACCATGAAAATGAGGTCAAGGTCAGATGACACCTGCCAGCTAGACATGTAAACCTTACAATCATTCCATACACCAAATATAGTAGACCTATTGCATACAGTATAAGAAAAACAGACCAAAACACAAAAACTTAACTATAACCACTGAACCATGAAAATGAGGCCAAGGTCAAATAAAACCTGCATGACTGACATATAGATCATAAAATATTTCCATATACCAAATATAGTTGAACTATTGCATATAGTATTATAACTAGAGGCTCTCAAGAGCCTGTGTCGCTCACCTGACTCTACTTTGGTTTTAGAAATCATGTAAAGATAGATAATAAAATGCTCCGCAGGGCGCAGCTTGATACGACCGCAGAGGTCGAACCCTGAACAGTTGGGGCAAGTATGGACACAACATTCAAACTTGATACAGCTCTGAATTTGGATTGTGATTAAATATTTGACACAGCATAGGTTTCTGACACAGAATGAATGTGGTCTAAGAACTTAAAAATTTTAAATTGGACATTCACCTATTATGGTCCAATATCCAAAATCTAAATACATGGTTAGATTCAGCATATCAAAGAACCCCAAGAATTCAAAAATCTAAATACATGGTTAGATTCAGCATATCAAAGAACCCCATATATTCAATTTTTGTTGAAATCAAACAAAGTTTAATTTTGGACCCCGATTTGGACCAACTTGAAAACTGGGCCCATAATCAAAAATCTAAATACATGTTTAGATTCAGCATATCAAAGAACCCTAAAAATTCAATTTTTGTTAAAATCAAACTTAGTTTAATTTTGGACCCTTTGGACCTTTATGTAGACCAATTTGAAAACGGAACCAAAAATTAAGAATCTAAATACACGGTTAGATTCGGCATATCAAAGAACCCCAATAATTCAATTTTTGATGAAATCAAACAAAGTTAAATTTTGGACCCTTTGGACTTCAATGTGGACCAATTTAATAAGGGGGCCCAAAATCCAAAAACTTAATACACGGTTAGATTCAGCATATTACAGAACCCCATATATTCAATTTTTGTTGAAATCAAACAAAGTTTAATTTTGGACCCCGATTTGGACCAACTAGAAAACTGGGCCCATAATCAAAAATCTAAATACATGGTTAGATTCAGCATATCAAAGAACCCCATATATTCAATTTTTGTTGAAATCAAACAAAGTTTAATTTTGGACCCCGATTTGGACCAACTTGAAAACTGGGCCCATAATCAAAAATCTAAATACATGGTTAGATTCAGCATATCAAAGAACCCCATATATTCAATTTTTGATGAAATCAAACAAAGTTTAATTTTGGACCCTTTTGATCTCAATGTGGACAAAGTTGATAACGGGGCCCAACAATCAAAAATCTAAATACATGGTTAGATTCAGCATATTAAAGAACCCCATATATTCAATTTTTGTTGAAATCAAACAAAGTTTAATTTTGGACCCCGATTTGGACCAACTTGAAAACTGGGCCCATAATCAAAAATCTAAATACATGGTTAGATTCAGCATATCAAAGAACCCCATATATTCAATTTTTGTTGAAATCAAACAAAGTTTAATTTTGGACCCCGATTTGGACCAACTTGAAAACTGGGCCCATAATCAAAAATCTAAATACATGGTTAGATTCAGCATATCAAAGAACCCCATATATTCAATTTTTGTTGAAATCAAACTAAGTTTAATTTTGGACCCTTTGGACCTTTATGTAGACCAATTTGAAAACAGAACCAAAAATTAAGAATCTAAATACACGGTTAGATTCGGCATATCAAAGAACCCCAATCATTCAATTTTTGATGAAATCAAACAAAGTTAAATTTTGGACCCTTTGGACCTCAATGTGGACCAATTTAAAAACGGGGCCCAAAATCCAAAAACTTAATACACGGTTAGATTCAGCATATTAAAGAACCCCAAGAATTCAAGAATAAATCCCCATTGAAATTGATCAAGAAATAAGCAATTTATACGAAGTATCTTCTTTTGCACAATACTGTGCAATTGATTATTTCTTGCTATTGTGCAATACTGTACAATTGACAATTTCTTGCTATTGCGCAATATTGTGCTATTGGATATTTCTTGCTATTGCGCAATACTGTGCAATTGAAGATTTCTTGCTATTGCGCAATACTGTGCAATTGAAGATTTCTTGCTATTGTGCAATACTGTGCAATTGAAAATTTCTTGCTATTGCACAATACTTATTATATAATAATTTACACATCCTGTTTGGTGTGTATCTCCTACCATATCATTATTATTTGCTTTTAAATATAAATCAGAAATAACCAACTTAAAATGGAAAATTTTAAAAGAAAAAAAAAAGGAAAAAAAGAAAAAAAAGAAAAAAAAAAAAAAAAAAAAATCCCCCCCCCAAAATTTTTTGAACCCCCTTATGATTCATCACCCCCAAACTCAATCTCAGCCTTCCCTTTGTGGTATGGTACCTTGCAGTACAATTTCAGAGAGATCCATACACTTGAACACAAGTTATTGTCTGGAAACTAGAAAAATGCTTATTTTTGGCCCCTTTTTGGCCCCCAATTCCTAAACGTTTCGGGCAATTACCCCCAAACTCAATTCCAGCTTTCCCTTTGTGATATGGAACCTTGTAGTACAATTTCAGAAATATCCAAACACTTACACACAAGTTATTGTCATGAAACTAGAAAAATGCTTGTTTTTTGCCCCTTTTTTGGCCCCTAATTCCTAACATTTTGAGGCAATTACCCCCAAAATCAATTACAGCCTTCCCTTTGTGATATGGAACCTTGTGGTACAATGTCAGAGAGATCCATACACTAACACACAAGTTATTGTCTGGAAGTTACAAAAATGCTTATTGTTGGCCCCTTTTTGGCCCCTTATTCCTTAACTGTTGGTACCATAACCCCCAAAATCAATCCCAACCTTCCTTTCATGGTATTGAACCTTATGGTAAAATTTCATGGAGATCCATTCACTTAAACTAAAGTTAGAGTGCGAAAACCAATGTGTCTTCGGACGACGCCAGACGACGCCGGACGACGACGACGACGACGACGACGACGACGACGACGACGACGACGCCAACGTCATACCAATATACGACCAAAAAATTTTCAATTTTTGCGGTCGTATAAAAATCATAACAGATACCCAAATAATGATTGAGGCCAAATTTTGATTAATATTGGTCCAGTTATTTAATAAAATATCCTGGTGGCCATCTTGAACAGTAAATCGGCAACAAAGTAGCAACACTTGGTCAGCACTTCATAAGGAACATTCATGCCATGTTTGGTTTCATTCCATTCATTGGTACTCTAAAAGAAGACATTTGTATGTATTTCCCATAGGGTCCTATGTTATACTAAGCCCCCCCCCAAGCGGCCATCTTAGATGATGGATCGACTGCAAAGTAACAACACTTGGTCAGCAACTCATAAGGAACATTCATGCCATGTTTGGTTCATTTCCATTCAGTGGTTCTCTAAAAGAAGACAATTGTATGTATTTCCCATAGGGTCCTATGTTAAACTAAGTCCCCCGCTGCAAAGTAACAACACTTGGTCAACATCTCATAAGGAACATTCATGCCATGTTTGGTTCCATTCCATTTATTGGTTCTCTAAAAGAAGACATTTTTATGTATTTCCCAAAGGGTCCTATGTAAAACTAAGTCCCCCGCTGGCGGCCATCTTGGATGATGGATCGGCTACAAAGTAACAACACTTGGTGAGCACCTCATAAGGAACATTCATGCCTCGTTTGGTTTCATTCCATTCAGTGGTTCTCTAAAAGAAGACATTTGTATGTATTTCCCATAGGGTCCTATGTTAAACTAAGTCCCCCGCTGGCGGCCATCTTGGATGATGGATTGGCTACAAAGTAACAACACTTGGTCAGAACCTCATAAGGAACATTCATGCCATGTTTGGTTTCATTCCATTCAGTGGTTCTCTAAAAGAAGACATTTGTATGCATTTCCCATAGGGTCCTATGTTAAACTAAGTCCCCCACTGGTGGCCATCTTGGATGATGGACCGACTGCAAAGTAACAACACTTGGTCAGCATCTCATAAGGAACATTCATGCCATGTTTGGTTCCATTCCATTCAGTGGTTCTCTAGAAGAAGACATTTTTATGTATTTCCCTATGTTAAACTAAGTCCCCTGCTGGCGGCCATCTTGGATGATGGATCGGCTACAAAGTAACAACACTTGGTCAGCACCTCATAAGGAACATTCATGCCATGTTTGGTTTCATTCCATTTAGTGGTTCTCTAAAAGAAGACATTTGTATATATTTCCCATAGGGTCCTATGTTAAACTAAGTTCCCCGATGGCGGCCATCTTGGATGATGGATCTGCTACAAAGTAACAACACATGGTCAGCACCTCATAAGGAGCATTCATGCCATGTTTGGTTTTATTCCATTCAGTGGTTCTCTAAAAGAAGTCATTTGTATGCATTTCCCATAGGGTCCTATGTTAAACTAAGTCCCCCGCTGGCGGCCATCTTGGATGATGGATCGGCTACAAAGTAACAACACTTGGTCAGCACCTCATAAGGAACATTCATGCCACGTTTGGTTTTATTCCATTCAGTGGTTCTCTAAAAGAAGTCATTTGTATGCATTTCCCATAGGGTCCTATGTTAAACTAAGTCCCCTGCTGGCGGCCATCTTGGATGATGGATCGGCTACAAAGTAACAACACTTGGTCAGCACCTCATAAGGAATATTCATGCCATGTTTGGTTTCATTCCATTTAGTGGTTCTCTAAAAGAAGACATTTGTATGCATTTCCCATAGGGTCCTATGTTAAACTAAGTTCCCCGATGGCGGCCATCTTGGATGATGGATCGGCTACAAAGTAACAACACATGGTCAGCACCTCATAAGGAACATTCATGCCATGTTTGGTTTTATTCCATTCAGTGGTTCTCTAAAAGAAGTCATTTGTATGCATTTCCCATAGGGTCCTATGTTAAACTAAGTCCCCTGCTGGCGGCCATCTTGGATGATGGATTGGCTACAAAGTAACAACACTTGGTCAGCACCTCATAAGGAACATTCATGCCATGTTTGGTTTCATTCCATTCAGTGGTTCTCTAAAAGAAGTCATTTGTATGCATTTCCCATAGGGTCCTATGTTAAACTAAGTCCCCCGCTGGCGGCCATCTTGGATGATGGATCGGCTACAAAGTAACAACACTTGGTCAGCACCTCATAAGGAACATTCATGCCATGTTTGATTTCATTCCATTCAGTGGTTCTCTAGAAGAAGTTCAAAATGTAAAAAGTTAACGCCGACGACGGACGACGCCGGACGACGGACGCCAAGTGATGAGAAAAGCTCACTTGGCCCTTCGGGCCAGGTGAGCTAAAAAAAGACCAAAACTCAAAAACTTTACTTTGACCACTGAACCATGAAAATGAGGTCAAGGTCAGATGACACCTGCCAGCTAGACATGTACACCTTACAATCATTCCATACACCAAATATAGTAGACCTATTGCATACAGTATAAGAAAAACAGACCAAAACACAAAAACTTAACTATATCCACTGAACCATGAAAATGAGGTCAAGGTCAGATGACACCTGCCAGTTGGACATGTACACCTTACAGTCCTTCCATACACCGAATATACTAGACCTATTGCTTATAGTATCTGAGATATGGACTTGACCACCAAAACTTAACCTTGTTCACTGATCCATGAAATGAGGTCGAGGTCAAGTGAAAACTGTCTGACGGGCATGAGGACCTTGCAAGGTACGCACATACCAAATATAGTTATCCTATTACTTATAATAAGAGAGAATTTAACATTACAAAAAATCTTAACTTTTTTTTCAAGTAGTCACTGAACCATGAAAATGAGGTCAAGGACATTGGACATTGGACATGTGACTGACGGAAACTTCGTAACATGAGGCATCCATATACAAAGTATGAAGCATCCAGCTCTTCCACCTCCTAAAATATAAAGCTTTTAAGAAGTTAGCTAACGCCGCCGCCGCCGCCGCCCGTGCCGGATCACTATCCCTATGTCGAGCTTTCTGCGACAAAAGTCGCAGGCTTGACAAAAAAACCAAAAGGGAGCTCATGTCAATAGATATAAACAATTAACCAAAATTTCTTGCAAGTTGGTGAAAGCATTCTTGAGTTATTGTCCGAAAACTGGAAAATCCCCCTTTTTTATGAATAAAACCCTGTAACTCGGAAACGTAAATTCTAAAATTTATAAAAAACAAAAGGGAGCTCATGTCAATAGATATAAACAATTCACCAAAGTTTTATGCAAATTGGTTAAAGGGTTTTTGAGTTAATGTCTGGCATGTTGACGACGGACGGACAACGGTATACCATAATACGTCCTGTAAATGGGCGTATAAAAAATGTAAAAAATTGTGCATAGATTACTTAGTATAGTATACTCGTTTCATGTGACTTTAAAATTAAAAAATAGTATTTGCAAGTTATTGGCCCTACTTTTCTTCCCAATATTCAGTATATTTTTCCATGTATGGAAAGATAAATGGAACTATCTAACATTTGCCCAGAGCGTTTAATTATTCATGATAGGTTCATATTTACTCATTTGATGAAAATAATCCAAATAGCTTTTACACTTATCTAATAAATTATATAATTCAATCATGTTACATTCTCAGAACCATACAGATCAGAAGAACCAATGAGCAGAAAATATATAATAATCAAAATTGACATATAAAGTTTTGAGGAATCTTTTCCAAATAAACCATCGTTTAAAGAAAAGTTAATACAATATGACTGATACCAAAAACCTTCAACCTTACAAAGAGAAAGTAAGTAAGAAGCCAATACTATTCATTAAGAAAATATATATGTCTTATTTGGATTCAGCATACAATAAATATTTTATAAAATATATATAAAAAATATAATGTGCGTAAAAATTATAGTACTTTTATAATATATATATATATCATAAAAAATAATAATGGATCTATGAATTTTATTTCATATATTAATTCTATATGAGGATTCATCTTTTTTCATGAAATATTGATTTTCATGGATTTACTAGGTAGAGGTTGCTTAAACACAAATCATTACACCTCAATACAAATACATTGTATCAAATTCTTGGTAATTTTGAACAAGACCCATACCTGGTATGTACCTGCGTCGCTGCATGCAATTGATTGAGGTAACATGTAAACCAGAGAATAACTGATCATTCTCAAATCAAATATCAAAATTATTAACTTCAATTGGGGCCAAGAAAAGTTTGACAAAAATCATCCTTCTAAAAAGGAGGAAATTTAAACCACCATTAAAAAAAAATTCTTGAACATTTTTTGGTGAAATCAACAAAACCTGTACCAAGGATTTTCAACAGTAAGAGGAATTGGAGAGTAAGTGTGATGTTTCAGTCTGAAAGGTGATAAAATGATCTTATCTTATTTTAACTCTTCATTCTAAAGTACAAATTACATAATTTATAAAGCATAAAAAATCACTCTACTACACTTATACAACTCAACTAATCAAGATAAAAAGATAACCTTATTTAAAAATAAAGTGGAAAAGAATCTGTTAATTAAAACTCTAAATTTGAAGGTACTTTCTTTCAAATTAATACATACAGCTGTTCACTATTATATGTAGTCAGGACACAGAAAATCTTTTTATTAGCTTCTTAATAACATTATCCTTTTCACTTGAAAAAAAACTTCTGCATACATGTATCAAAAATATACCATATATACATTGAACTTAGTACTATATTTGTTTATTTGCCACTACATTGAATTTTTCTATGCCATCTATGAATTTCAACACTTGTTTTTTAAAGCTAACTAAGGATTTACTTGTTCTACTGTACATATGTTAAAAATACTGCACTGCAAAACAATCAACTGTTATTCCTGTGAAGGTAAAGGGTCAAACATTAGAAAAAAAGCAAAACTTAACTTCTTTTTTATCTTAATTACAGCTGCAAATCTGGATACTAGGTCAATATTTTACTAAAAGCTATTTAATGCTTTAATCTTATATACAAGACTTTTCATGTTTATATCTTTCAGCCATATCCAATGAAAAGTCAAATAGCAAGAGACAAAGAATATGATTGACTGAGAGCAGCAAGACTATAGGTAACGTGCAAGCTATATCACTTCATTCACTTACGTAGGTTTGTCTGTGCCTGCCGATCTGTGGTCAAAGATAAGTCACATGATGCACAATTCATAACAAAATCAAGCATTGGGTGAAGACAAATTACCATGCTCTTAAGAAAGGCAATGACTTGGAATAACTATTTATGCATGATACAATGATTTTTGCCAAAAAAAATTACATTAAAACATCTTTTTTTGTTTGCAAGGTGACTGCAATCTTCCTGTGCATGTTAAATTTAAAGAAGACACATATTCAATTCATATCAAATGTTATATTACATTTATAAAATGAATATGTTTTCTGTCATACAGTATTTACTTTTTCTTCTTTCAAGCTGACAGTTAAACTCTATATACTGTAAATTCATCAATTATTGCAATGATTTTATTGATGCATAAAATGCAGCACAAACATTGAAATAATTGAAAGTCAATCTAAAATGTTGCAAGTAATATTTTAAAAAGATGTTCAGAAATTACATTATTTAATCTATTATTTTTGGTTGAAAAAGTATAAAAGCACTTTTTATCGCTAATTTTTCATATCCAAATTTCAATTCAAGTACTTAAATGTATGCTTCATATATCAAGAACATTCATGTTTTCCAGCATTGCAAAAGAAATTGGACATTTAAATAGATATGATTAGTATTGTCTAAGCCCTACATATTTTTTTCTAGGAAACTCAAAACAGTGCATACCAGTTCCATAAAATTGTATGGTTTTGTTGGAGAATATATATTTTGTGGAACATTTATTAGAAGCCTTTGGTGGATGTTTATCTGCAGTTTGTAAAAGGAAACACAAAAAGCATTATGTATGTTGTGTTACTTGGTTTTATATAACCTAAACAAGGGAAATTAAAAGTTTGAAAGCAATTATTTTTTACAAAGTTTTTCCCATATAAGTTTTAAGCAATTTGTTTTTATCACATTAATTGAATAAACATCTGCATACTGAAATCTTATGACTTTATAAATCCTTAACATATTCTTCAACTTAAAATAAAGGCCTTTTCTTATTACTAAGTCAATAACTTTAAAATTAGAGACACCAACAACAAAGATATTTTCATGACTCTCTCTATTAACAAAGATTTATGTTCCTTCTTTATATAAAATACAGTGTAGACTTTAGTTTTTATTTTGACAAATCAATTGTTTCTTTCCTCTTTTAACTTGATTCTTTCCTTAAAAACACAAACTGGCTGTTAATGATACCATCAATTAACACAGTTAAAGTTGTTGGTTAGATTATGAATTATAAATTATATATTACTGCATTTAATATGCCTATGCATGTTAAAATTCAGTGAAATATGTATTTTAATGTGATCAATAAAGCAAAATACCACAGATTTAAATATTTAAGACTAGGGTACAATTAATGGTAAAATTTAATTGCATAGTCCCAACACTGAAACATTTTTAACTAAACAAATTTCAAAGAAAGTAGATATGTCTATTTCAGCTTTGAGTTTGTAGTTAATCACAACAGGGCCATAAATTAACATTCTATTAGTAACTTTTGAACAATTCATGCAAAGATTTGATCATGCCAGTTTCAAGGGAAACCTTCATGCAAACATCACATATCTGTATATAGTATGATCTGAGAGGTGGAGTGAGGCACAGTTTGTTTTTTATAAATAAAAATTAATTCAAAAGTTCAATTTCAAAAAGTAGCAAAGCCTACAACTGTATAAAGCTTCATTATAGTAAATGATTCCTTCTTATTTCTCCTGAAATTATTTAGAAAAATTAATTCTCAGTATTATTTAAAAATGTCGATTATATTTGATCTTGTGTATTAAAATTTCATATACATGAAATAGTCAATCACATTTAACCAGTAAACCATTACTAAAAACAAATCTTGTCATCAAATTTCTCTAAATCATCTAAAACCTAATAATCACAACAAGCAATTAATTTTTTTTGCATACATTTTTTTACTAGCAGGTTCTATACAAAAAAATTTCCTCTGAACCAAAAAATAAAACACTATAACCTTCACACATATACCCTTAGAAACTACTTTATACATACTTGTTTGGTGCCATGCTAACATATGGCATGACTACTTTGTCAACAAATGATCCAAATCCAAGGCGAAAGTTCTCTGTAATGTTGTTCATTTCATTAGCTGTCAATACAAGAAGACATAGCATTTAATAAATTAATAAAATGACCTTTTCTGTAACATTTTTGGAATATTTTTTCATCAAAATCAGATAAAAACAATGAGATTCTATGTTTTTGTTCTTTCAAAATTAAATATAAAATGAGTTCTCTAAATTAATCAAAATACAGGTAGACTCCACCTAATCGGATATCGGCTAAAGGAATATATCGGCTATTGTAATATTATTTCAAAACACCAAATCCTTCCCTATATGTTTAATGTTAATTTTATCGTGTAATCGAATATCGGATATGAGAATATATCGGCAAATCGGATAAGAATATTCAGGAAATTTGGTTCAAAACCATGCACAATCGGATATTTTCAATGTTTTTCTGACAGGAAATGGACCCGGAAGTTACGAAATTACAATCTTGCAGACAAGAAAATTTAGTTTTTTACTAAATAATAAAATGCTACGCTGGGGCGCAGCTTGATACAACTGCAGAGGTCGAACCCTGAACAGTTGGGGCAAGTATGGACACAACATTCAAGCTTGATACAGCACTGAATTTGGATTGTAATTAAATATTTGACACAGCATAGGTTTCTGACACAGAATGAATGTGGTCCGAGAACTTAAAAATTTTTAATTTACCTCTTCAAACCATATCATTATTATTTGCTTTTATATATAAATCAGAAATAACCAATTTAATTGGAAATTTTAAAGAAAAAAAAGGAAAAAAAAATCCCCCCCCAAATTTTTTGAACCCCCTTATGATTCATCACCCCCAAACTCAATCCCAGCCTTCCCTTTGTGGTATGGTACCTTGCAGTACAATTTCAGAGAGATCCATACACTTGAACATAAGTTATTGTCTGGAAACTAGAAAAATGCTTGTTTTTTGGCCCCTTTTTGGCCCCAAATTCCTAAACCTTAAGGGCAATTATCCCAAAACTCAAACCCAGCTTTCCCTTTGTAATATGGAACCTTGCAGTACAATTTCAAAAAGATCCATACACTTACACACAAGTTATTGTCCTGAAACTAGAAAAATGCTTGTTTTTTTGCCCTTTTATGGCCCCTAATTACTAAAATTTTAAGGGAATTACCCCCAAACTCAATCCCAGCCTTCCCTTTGTGGTATGGTACCTTGCAGTACAATATAGAGAGATCCATACATTTGAACACAAGTTATTGTCTGGAAACTATAAAAATGCTTATTTTTGGCCCCTTTTTGGCCCCTTATTCCTTAACTTTTTGGGCAATTACCCCCAAACTCAATTCCAGCTTTCCCTTTGTGATATGGAACCTTGTAGTACAATTTCATAAAGATCCATACACTTACACACAAGTTATTGTCATGAAACTAGAAAAATGCTTGTTTTTTGCCCCTTTTTTGCCCCTAATTCCTAAAATTTGGTGGCAATTACACCCAAAATCAATCCCAGCATTCCCTTTGTGATATGGAACCTTGTGATACAATGTCAGAGAGATCCAGACACTTACACACAAGTTATTGTCATGAAACTAGAAAAATGCTTGTTTTTTGCCCCTTTTTGGCCCCTAATTCCTAAAATTTGGAGGCAATTACCCCCAAAATCAATCCCAGCATTCTCTTTGTGATATGGAACCTTGTGGTACAATGTCAGAGAGATCCATACACTTACACATAAGTTATGTCTGGAAGTTACAAAAATGCTTATTTTTGGCCCCTAATTCCTTAACTGTTGGTACCATAACCCCCAAAATCAATCCCCACCTTCCTTTTGTGGTATTGAACCTTATGGTAAAATTTCATTGAGATCCATTCACTTAAACTAAAGTTAGAGTGCGAAAACTAATGTGTCTTCGGACGACAACGACGATGACGTCAACGTCATACCAATATACGACCACAAAAATTTTTTTGCGGTCGTATAAAAAGGAAATGTTTCTTAATAAACTGTTGTCCTATTCATTGTCTTCCTTTGTTATGTGAATAGGATGCCCTTTTACTTCAAATGGTTTGAATTTATTTATAAAATATACAAGAGCAGTATGTTGCTGGAGAATTTTGATAAAACTCTAAATGCTTACAGAATCAGAAATATAATTTAAACTGAATGTACCTCCTTGTGAATAATTTATTGCGATATAATTTTGTTACATGTGCATAAGTAACCACATGTCCATGATGTCATGGACGCCATTTTGGTTTGTTTACAAATTGTGAGGAAGCCTCTAGAACCATGACCTAAACATAAACAGTCTTCAGAAAACTTAAACTTGATGCAATAATATTTTATCAATCATGATTATCTTCATAAATCAAAATATGATTATTTAAAGAAATAAAATATATAACAAATACGATTTTAGTTTAGAGACTTCTCAGACTATGCTTTGATCTATTTATAGCCAATTAGTTTACCTGTGATAATGTAAATAATGGATAATTATTTGTTTTGTAAACAAATAAAGCCACAAACTATGGATGTTAGATATTTATTTTCATAAATATTTCAGGACATTTGATTTATTTTAATAAATATAGGATTTAAAAACACAAACATGAATGATGTAACTGATTAAAATCACTCCAGCCCTTTCACATATATAGCAATGGTCAGGGTAAGTAACATCTCAGGATTAGGTCTACTCATTATTGAAGAATATTCAATGAATATACATTTATCGTCTAATTGAATATATTGGATAATGGGATATTTTTAGCTGACATTTTTTGAATCCGATTTGCCGAAGTCTACTGTATTTAGTTTATTGTGGATTCATTATTATTGGTGGGGTACTAATTGTTGTGGATTTGGTGGGTACACATAAACAATTATAGATTTGGTGGGTACACATACACAATTATAGATTTGGTGGGTACACATACACAATTATAGATTTGGTGGGTACACATAAACAATTATAGATTTGGTGGGTACACATAAACAATTATAGATTTGGTGGGTACACATAAACAATTATAGATTTGGTGGGTACACATAAACAATTATAGATTTGGTGGGTACACATAAACAATTATAGATTTGGTGGGTACACATAAACAATTATAGATTTGGTGGGTACACATACACAATTATAGATTTGGTGGGTACACATACACAATTATAGATTTGGTGGGTACACATACACAATTATAGATTTGGTGGGTACACATACACAATTATAGATTTGGTGGGTACACATACACAATTATAGATTTGGTGGGTACACATAAACAATTATAGATTTGGTGGGTACACATAAACAACACATTTAAAAGTTAAATGAAGTACAAGTTTCCTATTTGACTGTATACAGTTTTTGGTAAAAATCTAATAACTCCCATAAAAATGGTCAAATCAAAATTATGATATAATGTGGTCAACTACACATGATGGCAAACAATCTTACCAAGTATGAGATTTCTGGCAAGTGGGTCTCAGAGAAGTTGCGTTACAAGGTGACACTTAGAATAATTACTATACTCCAAAAAATGGAGATTTTATATACAGCCCGGTAGACTCATCGATTCTTTAAACACTTATTCTTAAAGGTTACCAATTTAACACTGTAATTAATCCTTTGAATATTGTTTTTATCGTTATAAATATTGGTTTTGGTATCAATAAATTAAAACCCAACTAAATATTACTGCTATACACTTATGAACATTAGATATCAATATTTTGGCATTGTACAAAATCATGCTTTCTCTGACTGTTAATGACATTTTTACATTAAATCCCTTGGATGTGTACTGATTGATATTTAAGACTTACTCAGTTAGATATACGATTTACACGTTGAACTAGCTTTAATTTACTGTGAGTACTCCCAGATCTGTATTTTATGTCTTCAGTTTTTTTTTGTTATTTTTTTTTTTTTTTGCTTAATATCAATCTGATGAGTTAAGCCCTTTTCAACTGATTTCTATATAGTTTGTTCTTATGTTGTGCTGCTACACCACTGTCCCAGTTTAGGGGGAGGGTTGTGTGCCATGCATATATTATATATGTGCATTGTATATATAAACTTTACAGTCATGTATCAAAATAACCCAAACTATTTACATTAATTAGCACTAATACAGAACTATAAACTACCTACCTATTAAAACTCCCAATGTAGCTAGTTTTTCTTTATCATCCTTCATGGAGTAGGACAGGTCCATCAAGTAATACAGGTCCACTGGGTAGTTATTGGCAAGTCTAAAGTTCAAGGTGAATTTCTGGGGGTCATCTTTAAATAGGCATGCAAGAAGTCATAAAACATGATTGAAGGTGATGACGTTACAATTTACAACAGTCAAGAATTAAGTATGGAATATAAAGAGAATTTTTTCACAATCACCAGCATTCACTATAAATAAACTGTATGTAGTTTTGATAGTATAATTCAAATGTCGAAATTAAAATAGCAATACTCTAACATTTAAAATATGTAAAAACATTCAAAGTCAAGGTATACTTCAAATCTAAAAAAAAAAGTTGAATATGTTTTATATACTTGAATGGCTAGGTTTTACTATAAAATGACAGTACATGGACTTTCTTGTGAATAAATTCTTTATCTTTTCAAAATTCTCAGAAATGTACTGCTATTGAATTATTGTCTTCTCTTTTTCTAATTTACGATAGCATTTTTTGATTCCTGTTGTAAGTTTTCTATGAATAAAGAAAGCATTTCACAATAAAATTCCTTCCATGCTGACATATTTTGTACTCATGAAAACCTGTCAAATGCTTAAGGATTTCATTCAGTGAAATCAAATCTTAATTAGTGATTTAATGTATGTTCAATTCTTAAATTCAGAATGTGTGGCAAACATATCTTTCTAAAACATTTACCGTAATTGGGCTTGTATAGTTCGCACTGGTACATAGTCCTCACCCCCTTCTCCCCACGAAATTTCAGGTAAAAAAAACTTTTTGTAACTGTTAGAAAAGGTCTAATGAAACTCCGGTAATTTTAAATCGTGTGTGGACGTTTGCGGTATTTTCTTGGAAAAACCTATTTTCCATCACCAAACAGAAGCTGAAACTGCTTGTAAATGGTTCTAAAACACTTCACGCTGGTTAAAATAAGTCTAAATTACACAAAAAACAATTTAGCAACTTTGTGTATGTATAAACCGAAAGTTTGAAAAGCACGTGTAAAAGATGAAAAAACCCTGTGAGAGTCGAAATCCGTACACAATAGATATCACTATAATACGACTTTGAAAGTAAAACAGTTCCCTCCTTATGTTAAACAGTGTTTAATATACACTACAGCTCGGGTGGATTTTGCTTTGTCCACCGGCCCACCATGGGAGTGGGCACCGGGTGGGCAAAATTTGTACCTTGTCCACTCTGCCCACCTGTAGGAGTGGGCATTCAATTTCTTTTGTTTCATCTAAAGACTTGCAAGTACAATCACTTGAAAAAAGCAGATAAGCATTTGTAATCAATATTTTTACAAAAAAGAGATTATAGCTAGAGTGGGCACGGGTGGACTGCCCACGGTGGGCCGGTGGAAAAAGCAAAATCCACACGGGCTGTTGTGTATCTATCACATTAATGTTTGAAGGGTCTTAAGCTAATACAAAACATATTTGTCAATAGGAAACACCAAAACGGAACGAATAATAACTGATTACGTTTTGTAGTTTACACATCGTAAGCTGGTTTACGGTTGTCTTTTTTTACTTTTTTTGTACGGTTTCATTCAAGCAGATACCAGTTAATATTTAGCAATGCATTGAAAAGAAACGAGAATTTTGTAATGAAGCATTTCATTTTTAAATTTTTCAGTATTAATTTGATATTGAATAAAAATAACTTAATATGGATTGGGTAAAATTATTGGTTTGAAAAATGATAAGAGCGCCCTCTACAATGTCAATAACAAACACTGCGGAACGTAAACAAACCACATCGCGAAATTGAAATTTTCTCTCTTATTTCTTGCTTATTGTACTCTATAGTCCGCACCCCTGCTGTCAGGGTCAATTTTTTAGAATAAAACCGCGGACTATACAAGCCTTTTAACGGTACTGTAAAAATTCTTCCTTATAATAGCCAAGGGTGTATGTATGACTTACTTGGTCTCATTTTAAGGTTGATAAGTTGTGGTTGTAACTGGATAGGATTATCTGTTCTCGATCCATCTTTTGGTGGTAGGTTCTTAAATAAACATATAATAAAAATAAACATGAAAGAAAATATATTTACCTATCCTTATTGATTAAATAATTCAGGTGCAAATTATTTTTCTGTCTTTTATCTAATAATTGCACAGTTGGTGACAAAATAATCTAATTAGGTCATATTTTCATAGTAATTCTTATTATTTTTAAGAGCAAAAGTAAGTACATATCTGGACAATAGAAATTCCTGCTTGTATTATTTTAAAGACAGACTGATCTGATAAGTAGACATTTTTGGAGTCTTGCTACCCTTGCATGCTTCAACAAGATAATCATACACATGTACAACTATTTATAAAACACAAATAAATAATAATCAAGCATGTACTTTTATCAACAATGCTTTGAATACTGAAAGAATGAAGGATGATTGTTTATACTTGCAATAAATTTGAATCAACAGCTGAGCCAAGACTTAAATAATGAGCACATGATAAGCCCTTCTTGTGCATACCAAAATTGTTTCCAGAGTAAAAGGGAATATTTAGAAGGCATCTTATCAGAAGGTATTAAAATGGCTCTGCAGAAAACTTGCATGAAGATATCGTTTGGTGTATGAATATTGCCTATTATTGGACCAACTTAAAAACTGGGCCAAAAAATCAAAAAAAATTTTAGATTTTTTGTAGTACACCAAGAATACTATTTTTTTTGTAAAGTTTAATTTTGGATCCTTTCGACCTTAATGTGGACCAATTTGAAAACCAGGCCCAAAATCAATAAACTGTTATCACAGAGATATGTCTTGCCTTTTTGAAATTTTGATATTGCAAATGTTGAAATTAAAATAGCAATACTTAAACAGGTAAGTTATGCAAATATCCAAAGTCAATGAACCATGACTGAAGGTACATGGCTAAACAAATGAAAATGAAATGAAAATGAGATGTGCCAATGCTAATACAACTGCATACCAAATACCATTGACTTATTATAAGTTGTTCCCTTTAAACAAACCTAAACATAAACATTAACTTGTAAACAGGGTTGGCAAAGTATTAACCGGGCGGGAAAACCCAGTTGGGAAAACCTGGGTTTTCCCGGGCTGGGCAATACTAGGTAATATGATTTTTCAAGTTTGTTTTTACACAAAATAGTAAAGATTTGTTTTAGTTTAATAGTATTATAGCTAAATATATACATATTATACAGACAACCATTGAGAGTCATTCCTGAAGATTGAAAATTCAATTTCTTCCTTTTCTCCACTTATTCTATTTAGGCAGAATACAAGTTATGTAAAAGTTTTAAAGTCAATGAACCATGATGAGGGGGTGGGACTATATAATCTCCATAGAAAAGGTACTTGCAAATACCAATAAATTTGCATACCAAATATCATTGACTTAACATTAACATCTTAAACTGATCTAATCACAAACTAATACATGTAAACTAAGCAAAAGTTTCAAAGTCAATAGACCATGACTGAGGGGGCGGGGCCAAATATTCTCCATGGAAATGAGATGTGCTAATGCTTATACAACTGAACACCAATTAACATTGGCCTACCACTAATGGTTCCCCTTGAACTGACCTAATCACAAACTAATACATGTAAACTAAGCAAAATTTTCAAAGTCAATAGACCATGACTAAGGGGGTGGAGCCAAATAATCTCCATGGAAATGAGATATTCCAATGCTTATACAACTGCGTTCCCCATAAACTGACCGAATCACAAACTAATACATGTAAACTAAGCAAAAGTTTCAAAGTCAATAGACCATGACTGAGGGGGCGGGGCTAAATAATCTCCATGGAAATGAGATGTGCCAATACTAATACAACTGCATACCAAATATCATTGACCTACCACTTTTGGTTCACCATTAACTAGACCTAATCACAAACGAATACATTGTTGACGCCACTGCCGCCAGAAACAGCATACCTATGTCTAGCTTTTTGACTCCATCAAGGCGAGACAAAATCTAAATACACAATTAGATTCAGCATATCAAAGAACCCCAAGAATTGAATTTTTTTTTAATCAAACAAAGTTTAATTTTGGACACTTTTGACCTTAATGTTGACCAATTTGGAAACAGGGCCCAAAAAACAAAAATTTAAATACATGGTTAGATTCCTCATATGAAAGAACCCCAAAAAATCAATTACGATGAAACCAAAGAAAGTTTAATTTTAGAGACTTTGGACCTCAATGTGGACCTTAAACATGGTGTAAAAGCTAAAACCTCACTGCAAGTTCAAGATGACCCCAAGCTTTGCTGCATGTCAATTATCCTGCAGCTGTGCATTGAAGAACATGTATACAGTTTCCGGGTTATATCAACAAATTACAAATCATAATGGGCAAATAAATCTAATAAAGCACATGTGTTCAAATAAAGAGATGAGCCTTTGTGGTCTAAAATTTAAACCTTAAACCATACAAAGATTCTATCTTGAAAAGTTTGTTTTTTATGCCTTTATGGACCTGTATCAACTTATCAGCATACCTCTGTTTTAGCTAGAATGCTTTGTGGGAAGACTAAGTGTTCTTGTTTACAGTTGGAATGTTCACTTAATAAGTTACATCTTTCTTTGTTTTCTGCATCATAGGTCTGTAAAAAAAAAACAATACAAATGTCTGTTCTGGTTTTAAAAATCTTACAGTACTGTTCATTCATAACAACGAAAAGAAAAATTTTGACATTAATATTTGAACAGTACCTATAAATAATTACTACAACAGTGATGTATAGACATTTGATAAGTTACATGTTAAACACCACCTTACAATTAAAAAACATTTTTTGCCTCCCATAATTTTATGAGCTAATTATTTTTTTGACTGGTGGCCAATAATCTGAATCATAAACATTAAAAATTTAAAATGCTTAAAGAAAGAGAGTGTACAATGTATATACCGGTTCTTCACACCATGCACAGTCTTTTCCAACAGCTATACATTCACCACACATCTTCTGTCCTATACATGGATTCTTTGTAGTTGGAGTAAGTGAACCTGTCCCTGTAAGACACAAAACAAAATGAATATAAATCTGTCAGAGAGCTAGAAATTCCAAAAAAGGATAACAATAAAACAACACAATGCACAATAGAAAAAATAATACATGAATAGCAAAAATAATATATGAGTTTGTGGTCTGTTGTGTTTCATAGTCACTATACTCACAACAGGTGACAACCTTGCAAGAAAAACATCACATTATGTTCATTGTTTGTCTAAAAAAAAATAAAAGGCATTATAGGATACCTTACATCATACTCAGGTCGTCAGAATAGAAATAAACACACTGTTGGATGTTGTTAATAAATCTATCAACAAGAGGCTTCAAGGAACTGTATGAAATAATAATGTTAATGCAATATATTAAATCACATTATATTAAAGAAATATCTACATGTACATAGTTGATCATTGTGTTGAAGAAACTAGAAGTTGGCTAAGAGACAGATTTGTAAAAGCAACTTTGTTTATTTCTGAATCTTAGATATATATATATTTCAAGTGTATTAAATTGTTATGTAAACTAACAATAAGTTGTAGCAATCACATGGCAGTTGAAGAAAATGCTTCACAAAGATAATTCTGATCAAGTATTGGTCACAATTATTCAGTTGTTTCAGAGAAGTTTGTTTAATGTGCCACTGAATTCTTGCAGTAGCAGATAATTCAAAATTAGATGTGACACTGGATCACTTGATGTAACTTTGGTCGGTTGAAGTGATGATTTGAAGTAAGTTTGAAAGAACGCTCTGTAGAACTATTCCAAAATCTACATCCATGACACGATCACGAGACAATTCAAATATTTAATTATTTTAAAGAATCTGCTACAGACATGGCAGATACATAAATATTAGGTTGTACTGTTCTATTAGTCTCGGAGCAGGTAATTTTTAAATATTTTTTTCTCTCAGGTCCATGAAAATATGTTCTGCAAAAATAGCCAAACTGGACTGAATGTCACACAATTCACTATTGGTACTTCTGAAAGGGATCTTATCAGAAACAATAGTTTTCTTTTTAATGCAAAATATACACATCAACCATTATATCAAAATTTTCAAAATGACCTTCCCCCTATTTTCTATTCATAGATGCTAATTAAGCTAACTGGCAAAAGCCATTTCATGGTATTCCCAAAGAGTAATATTTTGGACATTTTCACCATTTGGTCAAAGCAAGCTCAGTAATTGAAGGTTCAGTAACCACTATTAATGTTTCATCTATTTTCTTTTTTCAGTACCAGTCAAATAAAGTAGAAGGGACTTTTATCAGACAAGTAGGCCAAATTCCTAATTCTTTGTTGAGCTAGATTGGTTAAGGATGTATTCTTCAGATGTTTCAGTCTTGTTGAAATCTCATTCAGGAATTATTTCCAAAACATGGGATACAAGTGGAAAATATCAATGAATTTCAAAAATGTTATAATCCAACTTAACTCTGTGAAAAAATTGTGTACTTACAATAAGTAGTTTTTGAGTAATAAAATTTTCAAATTTTATAACCAATCCGGTCAGTGTTATCAGCCAAAATGTTGAGAAGATGGGTGAGGGCTACACAGAAATGATTTTACCAAATATATATAAATATGCGCATTCCATATCAATTTTTTTTTTTCAAAATTCTTAGATATGTATTTTTTCAATCATTTATAACAAATTAGTTGAAATAATATGCTTTTTGTTCTAAAAAAACAAGAGAAAAATCCAAAATTTACAAAATTGACAGCATGGTCAATTTAACACAAATTTAAAAAAGCAACAAAATTTTATAAAACTTTCTAATATAAACACCAACCTATAGTTTTTTAAGTTAAATTTATTCCAATTGGTCAACTTCATCTTTAGTGAAAGTATGAAAAAAAAGTTTAATTGTGAAACTGATTTTTTTCATGATAATTGCCCAAAAATGGGAAAATCATCAAAAATGGGGTACTTTCAAATGGCTGTAACAAAAAAAAAAGTGCACCACTATATGATTTTTTTTTTCATCAATTACTTTCTTACAGTCATATAAACCCAAAAATCAGGTTAAGAAAAAAAGTGTAATTCTAGAAATTTTTGGCTCCTCAGAGGCTCCTTAAAGTACTTATCAATTAAAAGCAACTGTTTTGCATACATCAAAATACATAATGGATTCTTTTATTGTATTTTCTTCCAAATACAAACATGTTTTATTTAATGCAGTACTTATTAACTTATCAAACGTTCAAATTTTAAACTAAACATGGATCTTTTTTTTATTTTTGTCATTTAACAAGGATATATATATAGGCCTTGGAGGATTTTGTGGGTAACATACATTTGTACAATTCATCATTATATTTAAGTCATGATAAAAATATTTTACACCTACAGTATCTACAATTTACTTTCTTGGGGTTAAAAGCTTGCTGGTAAAATGTAAACAAATAATTGTACTTTTGTAACCATTAAGATTTTGACAAATAAAATAAAATGCCTTCCCATGTTTAAATGAGCATAAAGTATGACATGTAAGAATAATTCTTAAATAAAATATTTTTTCCAAAATGAACATTTTTTTACAAACAGAAGGATAGTTCCTCTGTTTTCTTTGAAATAATTCTGAAATATTCACTGATATAACAAAAGTGTTGAAACTTGCTAAAAAAGCCATTTTTCTCCACGTACAAGTTTGTGTACTATAAAAAAAAATATACTTTGATCATCGATATTTATATTCTTACACAATGATATGCATTAAATAACAAACTACAAACACTTGACAAGGTGTGTGTATTATGGTATGGCATTATCCATAACTTCATTTATAATGAGTTATTCATAATTGTATAATTTATCATAGTTAGTTAATGGAATGTATTCAACCCAGCTGATTCATCCTAAATATTATATTTTTATTTAGTCATGTTAGTCCTATATAACTGGGTTACAACTATCAAGTATAAATAAAAATAGTTTGTATGGATAACTAAACATGCAAATGTGAATATTAGTCAAATAAAAAATTAACAAAGAAACTTTCCTCTTCTATTTAGAACACCCCTTCAATAGGTTTTTTTAAACTGCATATTTAGGAACCAAAATTTTAAGACATGGTCACATACAAGAACAAATCTTCAATGTTTTTTTGTGTAGAAGGTCTCCCTTTTTTATGCAAAAATTGACTGCTTCTTTTTGTAATTTATTTTAAGAAATAATTCATGGAAGCCATAGATTTGTTGGAAATTTACACATGGCCTGGGCCGTGTTATTCAAATTTTATCCTGAGCGTTAGCAAGGGATAAAATTAACGAATATCACGGCCCAGGCCATGTGTAAATTTACAACAAATCTATGGCTTCCATGAATTATTTTGATTCTAATAGGACAAATACGGTTATTAAAAAACTGAAGCGAGGGTGGGTATCAGCCGTGTGTGTGGCTGTTCTTCTTTACTGCCTGTTATATAAAGCTCAAACATTCTAATAAATCTGTAGCTTGCATGGATTATTTAGTGAATAACCGCTAGAAAAAAATCTGTTTAATTCTAAAACCCAACATTTGCCATTTTTAATTTACATGTTTTTCTCATAAGCTACCGTCAAATCAAAAGTTGACATTTAGTAACTAAGGAGCCGCCATGTTGAATTGCTGAAATCAGTAAATATGCGAATAATGCAATAGAATAGAAAATAAAACAAAACCTACCTCAAAAATCAATTTTAATACAATATTATACGAATTTCGATAGTTCACCTAACGGAAAACCTTCAACTCTAGCGTTTTCATTTGTATGACGTCATGTTTTGAAATGACTTAAATGCGCAGAAAACATTAATAGACTTTCGCGGAATTTTATTTGCTTTTGATTTTGTTGATTTCTCCGAGCTCTTGTGCATTAATTCTTTTTATTATGCATCCGAATAAGAATAAAAATTCTTTTGTCTTTTTTTAAATGCAATTTTTAAAACAATAAAATCGGCAAAGGGTTTGCAAATAGGTTCCAATATATGTGGATTTACGTAGGAGGTATATTGTAGCATCCATTACCAATTAACCCCAAACTCAATCCCAGCCTTCCCTTTGTTATATGGAACCTTGTGGTACAATGTCTGAGAGATCCATACACTTACACATAAGTTATTGTCCGGAAACTAGAAAAAAGCTTGTTTTTGGCCCCTTTTTGGCCCTTAATTCCTATACTGTTTGCCCAATAACCCTTAAAATAAATCCCAACCTTCTACTTGTGGTATTAAACATTGTGGTACAATTTCAGAGCAATTGAAATACTTATACACAAGTTATTGTCCTGAAACTAGATAAATGCTTGTTTTGGGCCCTAATTCCTAAACGGTTGGGACCATCATCCCTAAAATCAATCCCAACCTTCCTTTTGTGGTATTGAACCTTCTAAAAAAATTTCATAGAGATCCATTCACTTAAACTAAAGTTATTGTCCGGAAACAAATGTGTCTTCGGACGATGACGCAGACGACGATGACGACATCATACGATCCCAAAAAATTTTTTTGCGGTCGTATAAAAAACTGCACTATAGTCAGGTTGTCATTATCGAAGTTAACTTGATCCAAGTCATCTGTTGTCTTGTCACTATCAAAGTTTTTCAATCAAAAACTTGGTCAAAGTTTTGTAAACTTTGTTCAAGTCATCAGTTGTCACTTTCAAAGTTTTTCATCAAAAACTTAGACAAAGAAAAACTGCACTGTGATTGGATAATTCCCATCAAAGTCAATCCAAATTCTAAGAAAGTCTGTCAAAGATTTTGATCAAAGTTTGCTTTGACGGTTGTCACTATAAAAAACCATCAAATACTTGTACAAGAAAACTTTGATATTGACAATGGGCTTTATGATTGGATTATTTCCATCCAAGTTTTTAGAACAATAGGATGAGATTATTAATCCTTTGAATTACATGTAACTTCTTCTAATCTAACAAGCATTCTGAGAGTATTGCATGGCAATACATAGTCCCCTACCGGGTAAAAATTCATTATACTGGAACAAAATGCTAACTTGTTCTATAACTTGTCATGGTATAAACAAAAAGAAAATATCAAGTCAATATCTTCAAGCATGACTAAAAACAGTGTGGAAAACTGATTATATGAGTGAATTTTTCAAGTCCAAGGACCATAACTCTGCACAAAATTATCAGACCGAAACAAAAATTTGAACTTGATCTGTAACTTGTCAAGATAAAACTATATACAAATATATATCAAATCAATATCTTCAAGAATGAAGAAAAAAAGTGTGGAAAGCTGATTTGCCGGACTGACGGATGGACAGACAGACGGAGTGCAAACCTAAAGTCCCCTTCGACTTCTTCGGTAGGGGACTAATAAAAGGTTATCAATTTAACACCATAGTTCTCCCTTGGCCCTTAAAGCACTGTGGACCTGTGATCCACTTTGCAAAATGTGCTTATAAAAATAAGAAGACGTGGTATGATTGCCATTGAGACAACTCTCCACAAGAGACCAAATGACACAGAATTTAACAACTATAGGTCAACTTTTAATGATTAGGTCAGTGTTTATATTGAACAGATTGAAAAAATATTATTGATATTGAATAAATACAACATCACATGCATTTTTTTTAATTGAAATATGTATTTTCATCTATTTAGAAGATGATTTTTTACTCAGGTAAATTAATCAAGAGTTATAGATTTCTCTTAGAAGAAATTCAAAGGTCCAGTAAATAAACTAAACAGAGAACTATAGCTATTGTATTTATTGAATGGTACTATAGAACTGACAAAAGTTTAAATAGATTGAACAATATGAGTTGACTCTGTGGAAAAGTTTCATTTGGTTCACAATAATTATTCTGATTGTTGATCATCATGATCATGAACAATGGACAATGTTTGAGATTAATCATTATGATTTCTGGAAATGCTGCATATAAACATGTGTTTTTATTTTTGAGACACCTACAATAAAATTGAGAATGGAAATGGGGAATGTGTCAGAGACAACAACCCGATCAAAGAGCAGAAAACAGCCGAAGGCCACCAATGGGTCTTCAACAGAGCGAGAAAATCCCTATGTTTGTTTAAAAAGATTTTTACTCACCAGAAAAACTGGACCCCAGTGACCAAGAAGGGTAAGTTATGTTATTCAACGTTATCACAAGCCTGTTACATGTATCCCTTCGCAATTTTGCAATAATAAAAACATCGGGGAAAATAACCAAGACAAGACGCCAATGACATATATATATATATATATAGGGCATTTCCACAAACATGTATGTGTAAAACTAATTTAGTTGAAATTAAGTCAATTAATAGATTTTTCTGGTAATGTCATTATATTACACCAAGTAAAATTATTGCTTGCCTAAAAGTCATGTAAATAATAAGATCCCAATATATACATTGTATATATAAGTATATGTCGTAACTTACTTTGTGACAAAGCAACACTTAAACAGGATAGCAGTAAAACAGCTGGTCTCCAGTCTATCTTCATTGCAGAATATTGCTACAAAATAATATGAATAACATAAAATTAAGGAGATGTGATATGATTGCCAATGAGACAACCAAAAAATGTATCCATTAAAGACCAGATGTGAACAATAACACCAACAATGAGATGACACCAATACAGCACCATAGCAATTCTAGAATTAAGATGGTGTTTAGTCTTTGTTAATTTATATTATTGACTAATTTTTCTCTTTGTGTTTTTTTTTTTATAATGCTTTATAGATATAAGAAGATGTGGTATGAGTGCCAATGAGACAGTTCTCCATCCAAGTCACAATTTATAAAAGTAAACCATTATAGGTCAAAGTACGGTCTACTTTTAATTTGTTTTTATTCATTCTTTTGTGTTTGTTTTTATTTGTTTTTTTCTTATTTGTTAGAATCTTATAAGATGTTGCAAAGGTGGAGAAATATGTGTACACATTTGTGATTATTATTAATTCTTTTTTTTTTTTTTTTTCTGAAATTATTGCAGGCATGTATTATTGCAATTTTAGAAGAATGGACAACAATGCAAGATTTATTATTGCGATTTCTGGAAAATCTGCATACAGATATATGTATCAGATATAAGAATGCGAGCTCTTATTATTGTGATTTTCACCCAGTCACATTATTCCCATTAATAAAAACCTCGCAATAATTTCTGAATTTACAGTTTTCAAAATTATTTTCAGAAGTAACAGCAGTTTTTGAAAGAGTTTTATAATAAAAAGATATTGATTTTTGTCATAATTTAATGACAGAAAATAATAATTGAACTTTATAAATTAAGGCCTAAACAAAAAAGTTATTTGGTTCGGGTAACATGTCCAAAAAATTTAGGTGGGATAGGCAGGCATTTTTAAAAATTTTTTTTTTATTAAGTATGCCGACATTGATAGTACTCCAGAAGTTGGCTTTATAGTATGTTTTTACAGTATGTGCACATTTATATATACAATTTTATACGTTGTCTAATTTTGTAATTATTTTGTTTTCAATTTCAGTCATTCATTGAAGATATATTGATTCAATTCTTCATTTTTTTTCAATGCTTAAAAAAAAAATTAGGGTGACCGGTTAGAGTTTTTTTTAAGGTAGGGTTTGGTTACCCGAACCAAACAATTTTTTTTTTCTAGGCCTAACTTTGGTAGATAAAGATCGATACAGTCAGAAAATTGATGCATTAACAATGATTAAACAGTGTAAAAATTTACTGTCATATTAACAATACAATAGTTTTCACTGTAGATACAGTGGTCATTACCATGAGGCATTTATTGTCACATTAAAATATCCCTACATGGTCTTCTTTGACTGCTTTACTGAACATCTCAGGGCTTTGTTGATTTTGTTAACTACCATGAGCTTCCATGCTAGAGGATGCTTTGCGTCTTGACAGGTAGGAGTGGCACACATACTACATAAGATACTAAAAAGGAACTGGGTCTTATGGATTCCTGTGTTTCTTGAAGTCACCATGGTAAAAATAGTAGTGCCTTAAACAGTATTGTGTAAAGAGTTCTGGGAAAAAAATATCCAACAGAGGTTCAAACAGTCTCCGGGACAAGTTTGCACTTCCGCTGAGTGCAAAAGTTGTCACCTTAATTTTTGGAGTAAAGTCAAAATGAAGTTGATAACTTGGTTGGTATTGGTTCCCTGATATTTGTCCTAAAAAATTTTGGCTCTAGCACCACTGTTGAAAAAGTTATGCCCCTTTTTTCAACAATTTCCTCAGAGGAAAAGTAGTTTTCCTCAAGGGAAATCAAATTTCCCTGAAGGAAAAAGATTTTTCCTTAAGGGAAATTGTATTTTCCTCAAGGGAAAAAGATTTCTCTTAGGGAATTTGCTGCATTAATATTTCCTTTGAGGAAATTCTATTTCCTGTGAGGAAATTTGCGGCTTCAAATTTTCCTTTGAGGAAATTCTATTTCCTCTGAGGAAATTTGAGGCTTCAAATTTTCCTCTGAGGAAATACTTTTTCCTGTGAGGAAATTTGCGGCTTCAAATTTTCCTTTGAGGAAATACTTTTTCCGGTGAGGAAATTTTGTCAACAGCAATTTCCTGTGAGGAAATTTTTGACAAACACTTTTCCTTGAGGGAAAATTCAAGACCACAAATTTCCTTTAAGGAAAACATTGTTCTCCAAATTTCCTCTATGGAAATTTCTCTTATTCAATTTTCCTCTATGAAAATTTCATAACAGTAAAAACAGTATGAATATAATTTTTCCTGAGACTGAATAATTGATACAAAAGATAATTAAAACTTTAATAAAATGTTCACTGATGAGTAACATGACATATAAAAACAATAGGCTAGCTGTTTGAGACAATACAATAATAAGCAAAACGCTATGAATATCATACTATTTGTGATGTTATTAATATTGTGCTCATATTTGCGGATTAAATAAAATAACCACTTTTCATGTTAATTTAACTTTTCTGCTGCGTACAATTATTCAATCCACTACAAAACAGTTCAGTGCATAAATAATTCCATCCACCAGACATCTTCCTTCAATTGGTAGAGAATACATTTTTGCAATTTGTTCTTCAAACATCTTCCTCTATATAGTTGATATGACAGAGCTATGTACATGAATGGATAAAGCAGGTGTTTATTTCGACAAAAAAATATTTCTCCCTAATCCTTCAGTGCAGGTTGTTGCAATTACACAATTGTGTTCTTGTGCATCTATGATTGTACTCCATTTTGTTTACAGCCATTTTGTAGAAATTTCCTATTTTCTTTTTCCAGGTATGCACACATTTCATTTCACATTAATCCAATTAGCACACAATGTAGAAAAGTATTAACCTTAAGTTTCCTCTTCTGTATTGATCTGTTGATGATCATGAAAACCAAGAAGTCTCTGCACCTATAAATACACAAAATATAAATTGAGAAAAAAACAGCAATATGAAATAAGCTTATTTTATCATGTTTAATATGAACATTTTGAGAAACTTAAATTTGATATTCCTACTAATCATGATTATGAGTTCTGTTATTTCAGTGATTTGTGTCCATGACTTAATATCAGTCGTTTTAGTGCCTTGCAGTGATAATGAGTTGAGCCACTTGCAACAGTTTTTACAGTTTGTTCATATGTTGTGCTATTTGAACCACTGTCCTAGATTATGGTTAGATGGAGTGCTCACAGACATGATTTTTTTATTACTTTTTATTGGCTTTAAACTAATTTGGATTGTTTAAATCTTTTCCTGTTGGGGTCTTTATTGGCTGACTTATAAGGTATGGGTTTTCTCATTATCGAAGGCCGTCATTGGTCTTTAATTGCTTGCATCCACTTCATTGAACTCTGGTGGATAGATAACTCATTTACCATACCACATCTTCTTATTTTTATAATAGTCATCATTCAAGGGCAATCACTTTTATTATATAGAAGTGGTCTTACCATTTAGGCCTTGTTGTCTTCTGTTTATCTTGTTTTGCCGATCATTTCTACTGTACAGTTGTAATTGTTTATATTTTTCTTTATCTTCTATATATTTCTTGCCCTAAACTTAAAAAAGGTATTTTAAAAAACTATAATTTAATGACAGTCACTATAACTATTATTATACATCAGTATGTGTTTTTCTATATACCATGATATAAAAAAGAATGAAATATTTGTGCTATTTCATTTCACAAACTATTTGCTAGTCAACAGTTTCAAAGACATAACCACGGTCAATAGTTTAACAAACAAACATTCCCGTACTTTTTCATTGTGTTCATACTAATTTTTCAATGGACAACAATGACGTGATTAACTATTCTTCTATGATTTGTGTGCTTGACAACATTAAACTCTGAAATATTGTTAACAGTATAATCTGTATGTGTCTGTCGTCAAAATTTCAAATTAATATATTACTTACAGAGGCAATTAAAACAAGAGGCTCACAAAATGAATGTGGTCTAAGAACTTAAAAATTTCTAATTTACCCATTCAAACCGTATCATTATTATTTGCTTTTATATATAAATCAGAAATAACCAATTTAAAATGGAAAATTTTAAAGAAAACAAAAGGAAAAAAAGTAAAAAAAATCCCCCCAAATTTTTTGAACCCCCTTAAGATTCATCACCCCCAAACTCAATCCCAGCCTTCCCTATGTGGTACGGTACCTGCAGTACAATTTCAGAGAGATCCATACACTTGAACACAAAGTTATTGTCTGGAAACAAGAAAAATGCTTGTTTTTTGGCCCCTTTTTGGCCCCAAATTCCTAAACGTTAAGGGCAATTACCCCCAAACTCAATCCCAGCTTTCCCCCTGTGATATGGAACCTTGTAGTACAATTTCATAAAGATCCATACACTTACACACAAGTTATTGTCCTAAAACTAGCAAAATGCTTGTTTTTTGCCCCTTTTTTGCCCCTAATTCCTAAAATTTTGAGGCAATTACCCCCAAACTCAATCCCAGCCTTCCCTTTGTGGTATGGTACCTTGCAGTACAATTTCAGAGAGATCCATACACTTGAACACAAGTTATTGTCTCGAAACTAGAAAAATGCTTATTTTTGGCCCCTTATTCCTAAACATTTTGGGCAATTACCCCCAAAATCAATTCCAGCTTTACCTTTGTGATATGGAACCTTGTAGTACAATTTCAGAAAGATCCATACACTTACACACAAGTTATTGTCATGAAACTAGAAAAATGCTTGTTTTTTACCCCTTTTTTTTAGCCCCTAATTCCTAAAATTTTGAGGCAATTACCCCCAAAATCAATCCCAGCATTCCCTTTGTGATATGGAACCTTGTGGTACAATATCAGAGAGATCCATACACTAACACACAAGTTATGTCCGGAAGTCACAAAAATGCTTATTTTTGGCCCCTAATTCCTTAACTGTTGGTACCATAACCCCCAAAATCAATCCCAACCTTCCTTTTGTGGTATTGAACCTTAAGGTAAAATTTCATCGAGATCCATTAACTTCAACCAAAGTTAGAGTGTGAAAACCAATGTGTCTTTGGACGACG